AAGTGCTTTGGAGAATAGCGTTACTCCTCTTCTTTGTGGAAACCTCTGAGATATTGAAAGACCACTATCAGGTCTTCTAGTCCAACCCCCTGCTCAAACAGGAGACCCTACACCATTTCAGACAAACGGTTGTCCAGTCTCTGTTTGAAAGCCTCCAGTGATGGAGCATGCACAACTTCTGAAGGCAAGCTCTTCCATTGGATGATTGCTTTCACCATTAGGAAATTCCTCCTTAGTTCTAGGTTGCTTCTCTCCTTGGTTAGTTTCCATCCATTGCTTCTTGTCCTGCCTTCAGGTGCTTTGGAGAATAGCTTGACTCCCCCTTCTTTGGGGCAGCCCCTGAGATACTGGAACTCTGCTATTATGTCACCCCTCGTCCTTCTCTTCATTAAACTAGACATACCCAATCCCTGCAACTGCTCTTCGTAAAACTATTGTAGCTATAGGAAGACAAAAACACCTCCTTGCCATCAATTAACATCTACATAAGCAGTGATTAATACTGGACCAACAATCAAACAGTAAAGAATACCCCAATCAAGGAACTACTATCTCAGACAAACAAGCGAACAGTAAACAACAGCCTAATCAAGGACCTCCCACTGACAAGGCAAGCCACTTGTATATAGTATAAGCAGAGAGCAAACCCTTCTAGCACTGATAATGTTACCTAGTTGGGTAATGAAACCTCTGCAAAAAAATAAGCAAGCTCAGAGAGCACCAATGACCCCACAGTCCTTCCAGTTGTACTGCTGTAGCTTGGCTACGCTATGAAAACTATGTGGCTACGAAATATTTTACCTTGAGAGGAAGATCCAATTCCTTCAAAACGCTTGTCCTCTTTCCACACTTCTTCCAGAAGGTTAAGAAATAACTCAAAGATGAATGAAGTTAATGTAATGTAATGGGTAATGTATTTGTTCTAATTGTCCTGAAGTTCTAATTGTCCTGAAAGAGCCTGGTCCAGCATCTAAGGGCCAGACGTAGCCTCGGAATAGGAATATCTGGCCATTCTGATGTGTTTTTTTCTCCTAGTCACGTTAGATTTTTGTTCATTTATATTACAAGTTAGTCTTTTCAAGAGTAAGATAATAATAATAATAATAATAATAATAATAATAATAATAATAATAATAATAATATAAACTTTGTTGTTGTTTTTTTTACTGTGGGCACCCTGGCACACATAAAAAATGAAATCCTGTTGTTTGCTCTCAAACGTGTACACATACATAACACACATATAGAGATGCTACATACATACACATTGCTCCTAGAAGCATGAAGCCGAAAACACCAGCCTGAAGATGACGAATGAGACTTTGTCGAAACGTCGCCAAGATACTTCCAATTTGACGTGGGAGAAAACCCGAATAACCAAAGACCTACATACATACATATGTATATACCTACACCCTTACATATAAATACATATAAATATTAATCACTGTCCATCTTGGATACATAGCGGAAAGAGGAAGCCTGAGAGTTCCCAAGGTTGATACTATATGGAACAAAACTGTGACTGAATCCAGATGTTCTGCTTTGGATACCATGGAGCCCCCTCCTCCCAGAAGATAATAAACAAAACAGGTCGTGAAGAAGATGTGTAGAGTCCCAGACAATCTTGTGGACTCTGCTCAAGCAATGCTTCTGGGCCATGTCCTGGATGGGAGGGAGGGAACTGCCAATAATCTTTTCTGCTGTCCTCACCACTCTCTGCACCGCCTCCCTATCCAACGAAGAGATGCTTCCAAACCAGACTGTAATGACAGATGTTCTCGATTGTCCCTCCGCAGAAAGTGGTAAGGATGGGGGAAAGAAGATGTACTAGGGTTTGTGGCTGGATCCACTGGGAAATGTTGAGATACCAACCTAATGTTCAGATACTCCAGGTCCCTGCAGGCTTCACAGGATGAAGCTCAGGGGACAAGCATGTCTCCAGACTGGAAAGGTTTAGCAAGGGGCTGGGATGATATAACAAATTTCATTTTCCACTGTGTCACATGGTTTGTTTTGTTTTTAATCAGCAGAGTCTCTAGTTATATTGTTTTGGCGCACTCAAGGTCCTGTGAAGCGCTTCTCAAGAAAGGCAACATCAGAAGACAGCATGAGAGTGAGCTATCAGCCTCAGCTTTTTAGAACCACAGCCTTTGACTGATCTGCACACGATGCTGAGCCACCGTTTGCTTTGAGTAAAGGGCCTTTCTTTGAAACTTCGAGCCAAAATGAGACATGCCACATGATGTTCTCATGCGATGCACAGCCCAGATTTTTATTGACCTTGAGGCCACCAGCTGAGATGACAGTGCATAGAGCCAACTGACCGGAGACGGGACTGTCTCCTACAGGGACAACTGCACTGCATCTCCATCCAGCAAGGACATCTGCTCTTTTGGGTTTTGTCTCGGGGGCTGCAGCCAAGCACAGACTAATAGGGTCCTTTTGGTTGCACCAGCTGCCTGGCTGGACTTAGAGGCAAACGGGAGTCTCTTGACAACGGAGCAGATTAAGGAAGGCCGATTAAGGCCTGTCCAGATCTGCAATTCAGCAGAATCAACAAGCAAAGAATAAACAAAGGAAAGCTGATCCCTTACCTACATGCTCCACTTCTCTCAGACTGAGATTTTAAGTAATAATTAAATGCGTTCAACTAATGAACCAGCTGTATAAATAAATAGAACAAAGATGATTGGGTGGGTGGTGGTGGAGGTTAAAACATATGAAGAACGGTGGCAAGAATTGGGTGTGTCTAGTTTAGTGAAAAGAAGGACTAGGGTGACATGATAACAAGGTTCCAATATTTGAGGAGCTGCCAAAAGAAGAGGGGGTCAACTTATTTTCCAAAGCACCAGAAATAAGACAAGAAGCAATGGGTGGAAACTGAACAAAGAGAGAAGCAACCTAGAACGAAGGAAAAATTTGCTGACAGTGAGAACAATCAACCAGTGGAACAACCTGCCTCCAGAAGTTGTGAATGCTCCAACACTGGAGGCTTTTAAGAAGAAATTGGACAGCCATTTGTCTGAAATGGTGTAGGGTTTCCTACCTGAGCAGGGGGTTGGACTGGAAGACCTCCAAAGTCCCTTCCAATTCTGTTCTTTTGATTCTAATGGTTGGGTCAGGTTTATTCCCCATTGAATTATGAATTCCCCCAATTAAAAACCTTGAGGATATAGTCTGAATCTCAACATAATACAGCGCTGGATTGGCGCTGATTTGTGTTTAGCATCCTGTTTGTGTGAAACAACACTCAACCCCACATCCCACATGTTAGAACAAAGCTTCACATTTCTACAGGCCAATGTCATCTGCCCAAATCTTGGAGCTCCAACCTAGTCCTCAATGACTCTACTGTCAACTTAAGAGTCGAATTGTCAACTCATGGGCAATACCAGCTCACAGAGAATTCAGCACTAGGAGACGATAAAACAGTAAGTCTGAGGTTCTACTATTGTTCTTGCTGGGAACAATGAAAACAGCACATCTTCTTTGAAGAAATTCCCGAAAAAAACTCTCAGGATTAGGAACTGTTTAGACATCATTAGCTAAAGGAAACATTTCCCAGCCCTGAAGCCACCTGAGCAACAATAAAATTTGCAAGGTGCAAATTGTGCATACATCAATCCTATCCATGGACTCCTATCGTCTCACTTCACAGATCCACAATGTTGTCACGGGGTTTGACTGAACCATGGAGCTACATTATTTCTTTCAAATCTTCCTACGTCGCCAGGGCAGAATATGGGAAGGTCCAAGTTCTGCTTCCTTTCACGGCACAGATAAGTGTGTCTTTTTCTCTGCTGTGTATATTTCTCCAATATATCCCCTTCAGAAGACAATATTTGTAGATCAGGGTTGAGTTATGGACGCCTTAGTGATCTCTGAGTTGGTGGTTTTCTTGCAGAGGTTTCATTACCACATTAGGTAATGAAACATCTGCAAGAAAACAAGTAAGTTCAGAGAGCACCAAGGACCCCATAACTGTTCTCCTCCTCCTCCTCCTCCTCCTCCTCCTCCTCCTCCTCCTCCTCCTCCTCCTCCTCTCCTCTTCCTCCTCCTCCTCCTCCTCCTCCTCCTCCTCCTCCTCCTCCTCCTCCTCCTCCTCCTCTCCACAAATCCCACTCCCTTCTAGCATTGATGGCATCACCTAGTTTGGTAATGAAACGTCTGCAAGAAAACCACCAAGCTCAGAACACCAAGGACCCCACAGTCCTCCTCCTCCCCCTCCTCCTCCTCCTCATCTTCTTCCTTCTACACTTCTCCTCCTCCTCCACTTTGAAAACATCCCTCCCTTGTAGCGCTGGTGATGTTATCTAGTTGGGTAATGAAACCTCTGCAAGAAGACCACCAAGCTCAGTCCTCCAGGTCATAGTTATCCCAAAGATACTTTTTCACGAGGCAACTGGACTTTCTTGTTTTTCTTTGAAGACGTTTCACTTCTCATCCCAGAAGCTTCTTCAGCTCTGACTGGAAGGTGGGGAATGAATGGATTTCTATTCAAAGAGGCCCTCTGTGTCAAAATTGAACAGACCTCTCTCAACAGAGGGGGAGGGATACAACATCATCTGCCTCCAGTCTACCACGCAGTTCCAAGAAGGCTCCACACCCATTTGCACCACTCGGGTGACCTTCAGGACACAGGTAAACCTCCAGATGGCCTCAACGACGCTGTAAAAGGAGGCCAATGACCAGCTGTCTGCAAGGAGTATAAGTCCTTCCCTTCCCCACCATCCAGTCAGAGCGGAAGAAGCTTCTTGGATGAGAAGGGAAATGTCTTCAAAGGAAAACAAGAAAGTTCAGTTGCCTCATGAAAAAGCATCTTTGGTACAAGGACCCCACAGTAGCAGTCTCTTTGCCTTTTAAATGGGGAGAAATGAGGTGAATCTGTCTCAGACATTCTTTGTAGGACTACATCAGGATAATCATTTGCTGAAGGCACGGCGAGCATACAAACAGCAGCCAAGCAACGGTCCTGCAGTTGCCAATCAATGTCTTACCTCCACGTCCTTTTCTAACTCCAGACCAGCTTCCGCCAGGTTGCGTTCAAACTCCTCCCTCTGCTCCTGTTTTGCCACCTCCAAAGCATCCTGTGGAGCAACGTCAATGACTTGGGCTTCTGGAGTAGAACCTTCCTGATGTTTCTGCTGGCTTTTGGCGGTCTCCCCGTTAGAAATAATAGCCAAGGACCCCGGCCTATGTAAGGGGCCTTGACAGTCACCGCCATGATCTGAGAAATGTTTCCGGTAGTGGTAAACTAAGACGTAGTCCACTTTTCTCTTGCTGTCTCGGAAATGCATCCCTCCAGGTGACGGCGATGGGCTTTCTGAGACCCCAGTCTGAGCCCCATCCAGATAGTTGTTAATCACCTGGAAGGAAAAGGGGAAAGAATTTACCGAAGGATGCAGTGAACAGAACCGCTGCTTGTAAAAACAGAGGAGAAATAGAGAGCGTGCTGGATAGGCAGGAGAATTGCCGTTGAAGGGATGGAGCAGATGGGACCCAGATTAAACCACGCAGGAAGCTTTGATTTCACAAGCTTTGAGCGACCGAGGCATCCACGGGGTAAATACTTTTGGAAGATTGATAGAAATAATCCTATGCTGAGGTGCAAAGAAGGCAAATCCCACCCTCTAAAAAAGCAACAAAGGGTAGGGGGGGGGGGGAAGGAGCAAAAGAGCACCAAGGCTGGAGGAAGCTAGACGTTTATTACATGTTCTCCTCTCCGCGTTTACCGTAATTCAGATTCCCGTTGCTTTTCCTCCTAACGATAGAAATGGCAGCATAAAATACATCCCTTCCCCCCTTGATCTTCTATATATCCTTAGCTATTCAAGAATTTAACCGGTTTCTCTCCAAACGTACACACGAATGAAAGTCAATAACACTCAATGTTCTGGTAGTCTTGGAAACCACCAAATATGCAGGTTTTTTTTTCTAAAAAAAGTTGCAAAGTATTGTTTATATACAATGAACACAGGATGTAGGACGTCAGTTAAGAGGCATTTTTCCTATTCAGCCGATTAGCAATAACTACCTTGTTTGGTTTTTATTTAAAGGAATAAATGGGCCTCTTGAACTTATTGGTTGTTTTTGACTACTTCGTTAACCAGCTGAAGCTCAATTAACAAACCAGCATTGACTTCCTACATTCGTATATGTGTCCTATCAATGTCAAGTAACTTACAATTAGATGGATTCATATATTGAGGGGTCCACAACGGCTTGTATCACAAAGCCAAACCATAGTTTCCTTAAGACGTTAGAATGGCTAGACTGGGTGAATACAGCCAGATGATTTGTTTTCCAGTGTTCCAATATTTGAGGGGCTGCCCCAAAGCAAATGTTGCAACCGTGGGCAACCTATATTCCAAAACATCAGATAAATAAGAGCTAAGAACTCAACTGACATGATGGCAGTGTTCCAGTATATAAGGGGCTGCCCCAAAGAAGAGGGAGTCAAGCTATTTTCCAAAGCCCCTGAAGGCAGGACAAGAAGCAACGGGTAGAAACTGATCAAGGAGAGAAGCAATCAGGAACTAAGGAGAAACTTCCTAACAGTGAGAACAATTAACCAGTGGAACAACCTGCCTCCAGAAGTTGTGAATGCTCCAACACTGGAAGTTTTTAAGAAGAGACTGGACAGCCATTTGTCCAAAATGGTATAGGGTTTCCTGCCTGAGCAGGGGGTTGGACTAGATGACCTCCAAGGTCCCTTCCAACTTTATTATTATTATTATTATTATTATTATTATTATTATTTATTATTTATGGATCATCGCACAGTCAGCCAGATGTTCAGACTGGATTTGGCATTTTGTCTACCTATCGAGTCCTTACCCAGGACCTGGGATAGGCAGATGTGGATGTTTGATGGTATTACAGGTATCGTCGCAGGATGGAAGCAGTTCCTAATAAGGCCGCCTTTTGCAATTGACTAATAGCGAATTTGTCAATGCCAATGGTGTTCAAGTGGTGCTCCAGTTGTTTTGGGATTGCACCCAAGGAGCCTATGACTATTGGTACTACCCTTGCTTGCTTTTGCCACAGTCTTTCTATTTCTATTTGTAGGTCTTTGTATTTTGTTATCTTCTCCAGTTCTTTCTCTTCTATTCTGCTATCTCCAGGCACTGCCACGTCCACTATCCAGACTTTTTTGTCTTTCTTATCGACAATTGTTAAGTCTGGGGTGTTATGTTGCAGGTGCTTGTCTGTTTGAATTCTGAAGTCCCAGAGCAGTTTAATTTTATCATTTTCTATGACTTTCTCTATTTTATGATCCCACCAGTTTTTGCTTACAGGCAAATGATATTTTTTGCAGATCTTCCAATGCACCATTGTTGCTACTTTGTCATGCCGCTGCTTGTAGTCAGTCTGTGCAATCTTCCTGCCACAGCTTACCAGGTGGTATTACTATTATTATTATTATTATTATTATTATTATTATTATTATTTGAGGACTACCTGTAGGTAGTTAACTCCAGCAAGCAAAGTTATGGTATGTTTCTCTCTCTGAGTTCCAAGACAACATTGCTTCAGCTTCTGTGAAGTCTTCTTGAGAACAAGGGAATAGGGGTTACAGCCTTATTGCCTGGGGAGTCATCAATTTGAAAACAAGTCCTCCTTAGAAAGCCCAGCTTAGCAACCGCATGCAAATAAGCAGGTAATTCAATGTGGCCTTTTTTTTTCATGGGTTTTTTTTCTTTACATAATAACAAATGTGCATTGCCAAATACAGAATCCCTTAAGCGTGAGACACTAGGCCAAGAACTCTCTTTTTTCAAATGCCTCCAAAGCTCCCTCCCTTAATAGTCAGAATCAGAATCACAGAGTTGGAAGGGATCCTGTGGGTCATCTAGTCCAACCCCCTGCCCAAGCAGGAGACTCTACACCGTTTCTGACAGATGGAAGTCCAGTCTCTTCTTGAAAGCCTCCAGTGATGGAGCTCCCACAACTTCTGAAGGCAACTTCTGTTCCAGTGGTTGATTGTCCTTGCTGTCAGGAAATCTCTCCTTATTTCCAAGTTGAGTCTCTCCTTGATGAGTTTCCATCTGCTATTCCTTGTCTGGCCTTCAGGTGCTTTGGAAAATAGGTTGATCCCCTCCTCTCTGTGAGACCCCCTCAAATATTGGAAGACTGCCATCATGTCTCACCTGGACCTTCTCTTCACTAGACTCACCATGCCCAGTTCCTGTAACCGTTCTTCATATGTTTTGGCCTCCAGTCCCCTAATCATCTTTGTTGCTCTTCTCTGCACTCTTTCTAGAGCAGTGGTTCTCAACCTTTTTAATGCTGCGACCCCCAACCGGTTGTAAGTCGAGGACTACTCAACTGGTGCAGCACCATTTGCAGAATGGGACTTTTGGCGGGCTCAGCAGGGCAGAGACAGCCTGGACAATTCCTATTGGCTTTGAAAGCCAATAGAATTAGACTCTATTCAAGAGAGTCTATTCTATTGGCTTTCAAAAGCCAATAGAATAAAAGGGAGTAGCACAGCTAAGGAAAAGGGGGAAAAAAATGGCGGACTGTGTTGTTTGGCGACCCCCGTGAAATGGTCGTTCGACCCCAAATGGGGTCCTGACCCACAGGTTGAGAACCACTGTTCTAGAGTCTCAACATCTTTTTTGTGGAGACCAAAACTGATTGTCTCATGTCCAATGAAAACATATATATCTGCATTTCCTCAGATTCACTTTTATATATATATAGCTTTAATCGGACGTCAAGAGTGCTGAGAAGAACATCAAAGAGGATAAGAAACTAAACTGTATGAGGAACGATTGAGGGAACTAGGTATGTCTGGTCTATCAAAGATAAGGATTGGAGATACACGCTAGCTGTCTTCCAGTATTTGAGGGGCTGTCACAGGAAAGAGGGGGGGTCGACTTCTTATCCTGCACCTGAGAACAGGAATAGGTAGAAGATCATCAGAAGAAAATCCAAGAAGAACGAAGGAGATCCTGACACTCAGAACAATTAATCAATAGAACAGCCTGCCACCCAGATTTGTAGATGCTCCATCCCTGGAGATTTTCAAGGAAAGATTGGACAATCATTGTCTGGAATGGCATAGGGTTGGACTAGAAGACCTCCAAGGTCCCATTCAGCCCTATGTTTCTATGTAATTCTGTGCAAAGCACAAAAATGTTAGCCTACGTTAGCGCCTCTTCATAGCAGATAGAATCCCATTATCGCGTCCTTTATTTATTTTATTTATTACGAGATTCACTGGCTGCCCCTCTTATCTCCAAGGACTCTGGATGGCCAACTTATGGCGCCCACCATCCTTTCCTTGCCTTTTTTTCGTTTTTTTCAGAAAACAGGATATTTAAAAGTCATCCATCCTTGCAAAATTTGAGCACCGAGCCCCCCAATTAATCCTGTGTTACATTCCATTAGATGTAAACATTTACAGGATGAAGAGGGGCTATGGATGTTCACGTTGGTACAGATTGCACAATCGCAGAAAAGCTGATCGTTGATCGTAGAAAGAAAACAAATTTCCAGTTCTTAACGCTTGCCGAACAAATTTGAAAGACACACTAGGGAAATTAATAAATAAATATCTCCAGAACCCAAGTGCAGTGATTTGCACAAAATTGCGGTCGGCTAAGAAATGAAGGTTTCGTGACACACACAATTTGTTCACCTTCAGGAGGTCAGATTGGATGACCTCCAAGGCCCCTTCCAGCTCTGTCATTCTATGAGACTCAACAATGTCACTATTTCATTCATTGCAGAAGGGTGGCTAACCTAATTATTTTGCAATTTATTCTACCCCCAGTCAAATCTGTCATGGCATTTTTTTTTACATGTCCTCATAGGGTCTATGCTGTACTTACAGGCAGTCCACGCAGATTCTCCGGTTCCATTCCTGACAGGGTGGGAAAACCTAGTCTTAAATTTCCAATCTACTCTTCCAAGTGGGGAGAGCACATCCCAGCCGCCGATGTCACCATTTCCTACTGGCAGATCTGGGAAGAGATCTCGGGGAATCCATCGGCCGAATCTAGAAAAGACCGTCTCCCTGCTGTGGTCCTTTCTGTGACACGAGAAAGCTGCGCAGAGAATCCAAAGGAACCAACGCACAACCGGTGTGGTTGCAAAGAAGTTACTGAAGCTGTTGTGCTGTTCGCGATCTTGGGCTCCCCAGTGGATTCATTCCAGGAGCTGCCATCTCCATAGTAACTCCGGGGAGAACGAAGCAGGTGCAACCACCAAGAGGGAAATGTTCAAAGTCTGCAGAGATGCTTGTGTTGAAAAGGTCCAGAGCACAGTCTCAATGGACATTAGGATTGTAGCTCTGGAATCCTTGTTGGGAAGAGGCCCCGTGGAACTTTTGTCTGCTCAATCCCACAGTGGACATTAGCACCAGGAGTAAGGACCAGTAAGAAGGCCTCTCCTTTCTGGCCAAGCACTGCTCATTTTAATTCTTTGAGGATAATGGAGGTGGAGAAGTCATCGATGGATGTTGCTGGAGAAGGCAAGTTGTGATGGTGTTGCAGATTAATAAAACGGAGAGCAATAGTTTGCTGCTGAAGTTCTGAGACATAGTCTTGGGTGGTCCTAGGGACCAATCTCCTAGGGACCAGTTCATGGCTAGTTGCTTTGGGTCAACCCGGTTATCACAGCTGTGTCAGAAAATATAGTTAAAACAGATACAAGAATATCAGATTGGGAAGGGACCTTGGAGGTCATCTAGTCCAACCCCCTGCTCAGGCAGGAAACCCAATACCATTTCAGACAAATGGCTGTCCAGTGTCTTCTTGAAAGCCTCCAGTGATGGAGCACCCACAACTTCTGGAGGCAGGTTGTTCCACTGATTAATTGTTCTCACTGTCAGGAAATTCCTCCTTAGTTCTAGGTTGCTTCTCTCCTTGGTTAGTTTCCATCCATTGCTTCTTGTCCTGCCCTCTGGGGCTTTGGAGAATAGCTTGACTCCCTCTTCTTTGGGGCAGCCCCTGAGATACTGGAACACTGCCATCATGCCAGTTGAGTTCTTAGCTCTTATTTATCTGATGTTTTGGAATATAGGCTGCCCACGGTTGCAACATTTTACATCTAAATCTGTGATTTGAAGACTTAGTGAGATGTGGCCATTGAGTAAATTGCCCTCTTCCAGATGTTGTTAAGCAGGAAACATCAGTAGCTTTTGATCTGATAGCTAGAAGATGGCAAGTAATCATAGAATTGATCATTGTGGGACTGATTTTTTGAAGGTCAGAAGTCAGAAAGCTATTTTATAACCAGTGGGCTCTGGAAACATTTACAAGAAAAGGCACGCATTCTAGAGAAATGCCTTCACGTGATATACATCAAGCGGTACATCAGTAGCTTTTGATCTGATAGCTAGAAGATGCACCCAGCAATATTTGATCTGATTGCTGGAAGATGCACCCAGCAATATTTGGCTACCTAAATATTTTTAATTAGAAAGAAAAAGAAGAGTGTTCATGTTAACCTAAGATATGGAGGCCAAGCTGTGGGTAAACAAACCCCAGATGGTCATGTTCAGTACAAGCTCAAAATGTAAGATTGAAGATCTAACAGAATAAGAGAGTTGGAAGGGAACTTCTAGTCAAGCTCCCTGTTCAGGCACTTAACCGAGTTAGAAAGAGCCTAATCCAGATTATCTACACAGATTACAATGCATGGCATATGAGAGAGCTATCGGAAATATTTATTTCTGTGGTATTTAGAGCAGAATGGGGATATCAAGTGTTTTCGACCAAAGGCTGTCCTTTTTAACTTATAATAGATCATATCAGAGCACAGACATAAAGTATAAATCATCAAGGAGGTAACAGATTCTTGCACTTATGATCAGAATGACAGAGTTTTAGGGACCTTGGAGATCTTCTAGTCCAACCCCCTGCTCAAGCAGGAGACCCTATACCATTTCAGACAAATGGCTGTCCAGTCTCTTCTTGAAAACCTCCATTGATGAAGCACACACAGCTTCTGGAGGCAGGTTGTTCCACAGATTAATTCTTCTCCCGGTCAGGAAATTCCACCTTAGTTCTAGGTTGCTTCTCTCCTTGATTAGTTTTCATCCGTTGCTTCTTGTTGTGCCCTCAGCTGGCTTTGAAAAACAGGTTGACCCCCCCACCCCTCTTCTTTGTAGTAGAAGCTGAGGTAATTTTTCAGGCTCCTTTCTGAGATAAAATCTCTGAGGAGGAGATTGAATAGGGTAAGAAAGTGAGATTTCTGCACCAATTTAACAACTGTTAAGCAATTTCTTATTCAGGACAGGATCTGTGTTTTTTGTCATCGCCTTTTTAAAAACTGGAACGCTCTCGTTCATAAACAGATTTCAGAGATGTTTAAATGTTTAAGTGGTCCTCCCAGTTTACTTACAGACGTTTTCCAGGTTTTCCTGTGTTTAGTTGGTCCTGATATCCCATTGACTTGGTCAACATGCATAAAGGGATAGCCTTGAGGGACGGTGAGATATTTTTTGCTTTCTTTTGACACTGAGGTCCTGGTGGCTTTTTTACGGAGAGTAGGTGAGGGAGTTAAAGGAAAATCTGAGAAATAAAAGTAAAGAAGAGTCAGGATCTCAAAATTGATTAATCAATGCCTTGTTCAGTCAGGGCTGGATTCCTGATTTGAAAGACCTGATATGGAATCAGTAAGAAGGTTCTGGTGATGGAATCCACCAATCCTCAGAGAGGACACAGACTGGCTGCCTCTGCACCCAGAGATCCTGATCCAGTGGGATCTACAGAGTCAGGATCTACAATCTGTTTAGCAACAAGTCCCAGCGTGACTGCAACATCCACGCCAGGTTGCAGACCCAGAGTTTTTGATGGAAAAAGAAAAGGGACAAACTCAGATGCTCCCCTTTGAGGTGGGAAAGTGTAAGAGAAGACTGAGCTGGAAGGTGGTGTTAAATATGTCATAAGTTTGGAATCCTTGCATTACCACGAGAGGCTCAAGTCCAGCCCCCGTGAATTCCGTTGAGTCTTCTCTAGGGCCAATTCAGCACTGACCATTAGTTGACTAGATCAGCGGTCTCCAGACGTGGCCCTTTTAAGACTTGTGGATTTCAATTCCCAGAATTCCCCAGCCAGCATAGCTGGGAAGAGGAGTTGAAGTCCACAAGTCTTAAAGTTGTCAGGTTTGGAAATGCCTGGACTAAATTCTTGGGTATAGGTGGCAACAATGAACACTTCTGTGTTTGAACTGAGTGAATGCTGCTGGCCAATTGCATCTGACAGAAAATTCCCTGGTGGCCCCAAATTGGGAAGCAAAGCAAATCCACCAGAGTTCAAAAACCTTACACTTCTCTCCTTGTCTACTCCAAGATGTCTAATTTCTCCCCAAAAGGCATTAGAGGAGCTCCTGGTTGTAGATGCACGAGAATTTTCATATACACAGCAATAGATCCTGGGCATTAGAAAATGGCTGTGTTCCTCTGCTTGGGCAAGAGATGAGAAATGCCCTCATCTCCTCCCACAGAAGCCTCTCTGGGAGTTGTCAGGAAAGCCACAAGCGATTGCCCCGGGGACAAGTTTCACTGGCTACTTGTGCTGATTTAAGAGACTATAAACAAATCTGGGCAGGTCGACTCCATTGGGCACCCCAGGGCACACAACTGTTTAATAACAAGTCAAGCAACAGAAGCTTGCCAAAAAGAAAAGAAGAAAGAAAGGAAGAAAGAAAGAAAGGAAGAAAGAAAGAGGAAGGAAGGAGAGAGACAGAGAAAGAAAGAAAGAAGGAAGGAAGGAAGGAAAGAAGGAAATAAAAAGAAGGAAGGAAGGAAGGAAAGAAAGAAGGAAGGAAGGAAATAAAAGAAAGGAAGGAAGGAAGGAAGGAAAGAAGGAAGGAAGGAAGAAAGGAAGGAAGGAAGGAAGGAAGGAAGGAAGGAAGAAATAAAAAGGAAGGAAGGAAGGAAGGAAGAAATAAAAAGGAAGGAAGGAAGGAAGAAAGAAAGGAAGGAAGGAAGAAATAAAAAGGAAGGAAGGAAGGAAAGAAGGAAGGAAGGAAATAAAAAGAAGGAAGGAAGGAAGGAAGGAAAGAAAGAAAAGGAAGGAAGGAAGGAAGGAAGGAAGGAAGGAAGGAAGGAAGGAAGGAAGGAAGGAAAGGAAGGCTATTTACTCAGTCAATTATCAGCCAAATTTGAAAAAATACAATGTCGAAATAAAATTAAGTAGATGTGATGTAATAACAAGTCAAGCAGCAGAAATTTACCAAAAGAAAGAAAGAAAGAAAGAAAGAAAGAAAGAAAGAAAGAAAGAAAGAAAGAAAGAAAAAGAAAAAAACGAAATGAGATACAAGAAGGTGGGGATCAAAAAAATTCAAGATGGCAGCCTCCTGACAGAAAGAGAGGAGAATGGCCATTCATCTCTATTTAAGGCTCATTTTCTTTAGGCAAAATCTCTTCCTAATGCTACGAAGGACATGGGCTCTGACAGCAAAGGAGTGAAGATCCTGGTTTTTTCCCCAGACAGCATAAAAACCAGAGACCACTCAATCAGTCTAGAGCTGGAAAAGACCTTGGAGGTCTTCTAGTCCAGCCCCCTGCTCAAGCAGGAGACCCTATAATTATTCCAGACCAATGGCGGTCCAGTCTCTTCTTGAAAACCTCCAGTGATGGAGCAACCACAACTTCTGGAGGCACGTTGTTCAACTGGATGATTGTTCTCACTGTTGGGAAGTTTCTCCTTAATTCCAGGTTGCTTCTCTCCTTGGTTAGTTTCCATCCATTGATTCTCATCCTGCCTTCGGGTGCTTTGGAGAATAGCTTGACTCCCTCTTCTTTGGGGCAGCCCCTGAAATACTGGAGCACTGCTATCATGTCCCCCCTCGTCCTACTCTTCATTAAGCTAGACATATCCAATTCCAGCAGCCGTTCCTTATATGTTTTAGCCTCCAGTCCCCTAATCATCTTTGTTGCTCTTCTCTGCACTCTTTCTAGAGTCTCAACATCTTCCTTTACTTTTTCCTTTCTGCCATATCTTTCCTTCCCTCCTTCTCTTCCATCCTCTTCTTCCTTTCCTTTGTGGCTACATTTTCCCTTCTCTACTGGCTGAAGGTGACAGATGGTGTGTCCCCAGTCTGGTTTTCATGAGCTGCTCTGCTTGTGGAGAAGATTCCCTCTCGCTTACAGTAAGCCTAGTCTATTTATCCATGGAAACTTTTTCTTTGCCTCCTATCTCCCTGGATGTCACGTAAGGAGTTTGGTTGAAAATGGGTATTCAAACCCCGTTTTGGCTCAGGGCAGGTATGGCAATGCTCTGGAGGTCAAGCACCCCTTAGGAATTGACAAGGATACAGTTCAGGATCCTGGAACTCATTAACCCGTTGCCCTTTTGCAATCAAGTAACGGGAAGAAGGATGCTGAAGAAGGTTAACTGAGCAAGTAATTTCCCGTGCAATTGACTTAATTATCATTCCAAAACAAGGAGAGAGAGAGAGAAAAAAGATGCAGCCATGGAAAAATGATCTAAGTAGGCCCCAATTTGCCTTTCTTCCTCTCAATTTTTATTTTTACCATTTTTTTGTCTGAGAAAGCAAGACCAATTTGGAGTTCAAGGCTTATTTATATGCTGGATGCTGGCAGAAATCAATCCTTCCCATGCTGGACCCAGAAATCGGATTACAATTCTCTCTAAATCTCCCTTTCCTTTCCTTTCCTTTCCTTTCTTTCCTTTCCTTCCTTTCCTTTCTTTTCCTTTCCTTCTTTCCTTTCCTTCCTCTTTCTCTTCTTTCCCTTTCCCTTCTCCTTCCCTTCTTTCTTCCTTCCCTTCCCTTCCCTTCCCTTCCCTTTCCTTTCCTTTCCTTCCCTTCGCTTCCCTTGTCCACCCAATCTTTCTTCCTTCTACAGAGAAGATGGTCTCCCCCCCCCTTTTTTTTTTTAGTCCTTTCCCTCTCTTGGGTAGCTAACGCCTCAAAATTTCTTTCGATGTCCTCTCAGCACACAAGGTCAGCTAAACATTACAGTCTGATCCACCCACACTTGCTCCAAATATCCAGAGAGGTGCCGTTAGGCTGCCGGGGTTGATGGCAGCTGCCTAATTTTTCACAAAGCCCTCTCAGCCATCTGTCCAGCTGATCACAATGACAGCCTCCCAATAGGGTCACAACCCTGATTCTGAATCCAAAAGGATGAATCAGAGACTTTGACTGCACTGTTCTTTTTTCTATCTGTTTCCAACTGTTATTTCCACCCCCCCCCACGTCTCAGATTGTATAGGGCAGTGATGGCGAACCTTTTAGAGAGCGAGGGCCCAATGTGTGTGGACCTCAAGTGGCTAAGGTTGAGAAACACTGTAATAAACTCTGTAGTAATCTCTTAGTAGTAATAATAATAATAGTAAAGTTGGAAGGGACCTTGGAGGTCATCTAGTCCAACCCCCTGCTCAGGCAGGAAACCCTACACTATTTCGGACAAATGGCTGTCCAGTCTCTTCTTAAAAACTTCCAGTGTTGGAGCATTTACTGCTTCTGGTGGCAGGTTGTTCCACTGGTTAATTGTTCTCACTGTCAGGAAGTTTCTCCGTAGTTCTAGGTTGCTTCTCTCTTTGATTAGTTTCCATTCTTTGCTTCTTGTCCTGCCTTCAGGTGCTTTGGAGAATAGCTTGACTCCCTCTTCTTTGGGGCAACCCCTGAGATACTGGAACACTGCTATCATGTCCCCCTTGACCTTCTCCTCATTAAACTGGACATCCCCAATTCCAGCAACCGTTCCTTATATGCTTTAGCCTCCAGTCCCCTAATCCTCTTTGTTGCTCTTCTCTGCACTCTTTCTAGAGTCTCAACATCTTTTTTACATCGTGATGACCAAAACTGGATGCAGGATTCCAAGTGTGATCTTACCAAGGCATTGGATAGCCAAGTAAACAAACCAATCGACCATTGAGCAAATCAATCCAGAATTGTTATTCAAGACACAAACCGCCAGGCTGAAATTATCCTAACTTCAGACACATTATGGGAAGGCTGTATGATTGGGAATGGTGGGAGGAAAGAGAAGAAGACCAGCAGCAAAGTGGACAACCACAATTACAGTAGGGATGGAGACCAGGTTTAGGGACAGTTCCTTCGATCACCTTGGAAGAAGGGAATCAACAGGAGGAACCTCCCCAACGTGTGAGGTGAACATCCATCTACAACACTGACTGTTCTTTGGAAGGACAGACTCTGAAGCTCAAAAGACTTTGGCCACCAAAGGAGAAGAGAGGATTCCTTGGAGAGGATCCTGATGTTGGGAAAGATGGAAAGCAAAAGGAGAAGGGGACAGCAGAGGAGGAGATGGGTAGATGGTGTCATCAATGCAAAGAATGTGAATTTGGGCAGACTCTAGGTGGAGGACCAGTGTATTATGGTCCATGGTTGTGAAGACTGAGACATGATTTAGTGAATGAACAACAACAACCATTGTTGTTGTTAGTTGCAAAGTTGTGTCCGACCCATCGCGACCCCATGGACAACGTTCCTCCAGGCCTTCCTGTCCTCTACCATCTTCTGGAGTCCATTTAAGCTCACGCCTCCTGCTTCAGGGACTCCATCCAGCCCCCTCATTCTCTGTCGTCCCCTTCTTCTCTTGCCCTCCATCTTTCCCAGCATTAGGCTCTTCTCCAGTGAGTCCTTCCTTCTCATTAGGTGGCCAAAGGACTTGAGTTTCAACTTCAGGATCTGGCCTTCTAAAGAGCAGTCGGGGTTGATCTCCTCCAGGACTGACTGGTTGGATCGCCTTGCAGTCCAGGGGACTCGCAGGAGTCTTCTCCAGCACCATAGTTCAAAGGCCTCCATTCTTTGGCGCTCAGCCTTTCTTATGGTCCAACTTTCACAGCCCTACATTGCAACTGGGAAAACCATGGCCTTGACTATACGCACTTTTGTTGGCAGGGTGATGTCTCTGCTTTTTAGTACGCTGTCTAGATGTGCCATAGCTTTCCTCCCCAGGAGCAAGCATCTTCTAATTTCTTGGCTGCAGTCCCCATCTGTGGTGATCTTGGAGCCCAGAAAGATAAAATCTGTCACTACCTCCATTTCTTCCCCATCTATTTGCCAGGAATTGAGAGGGCCGGATGCCGTGATCTTGGTTTTCTTAACAACAACCATACAATCCAGCATTTTCCTCCTGACCTGCTGTTGCAGCCTTAACCTCCACTGCTCTTTGCAGATATCAAGGTAACATCAACAGAAAACGTTCATGGAGCAGCTATGTAAAAACCGACCTATGACATGCTGTATCCGAGCTTCTCTGTAACATAGGTAGCAAACTGCTTCTCCTCCCCCTCCTCTTCGCCTAGAAGATCATCTATTTAATGAGTAAAGAAGCTCTGTGCTGGGTTCATATGGTTAATTGGAAACTTTAGCCTCGTGAAAAAAAGAGAGATGGTACTTAAGGGTATCATAGCTCAGTGTCCACAGTTATTTCCAAACGCCAGATGCCCTTTTCCAAGCAGGGATGAAGCGTCTCTTCGCTCAGTCCCATCGGATGGCAAATCTCTCAACCAGGCAAATTTTTCTTGGGGAAGAAAACCACCCATTTTATATTTCGCTATTTTTAACTTCAAAAAAGACTCCAGGAAACTCAGATCAACAAGGGTATATTTAGGGGACTGGAGGCTAAAACATATAAGGAACGGTTGTTAGAATTGGGTATGTCTATTTTAAGGAAGAGAAGGACTAAGGGGGGACAGGATAGCAGTCTTCCAGTATCTCAGGGGCTGCCCCAAAGAAGAGGGAGTCAAGCTATTCTCCAAAGCACCTGAAGGCAGGACAAGAAGCAATGGGTGGAAACTAATCAAGGAGAGAAGCAACCTAGAACTAAGGAGAAACTTCCTGACAGTGAGAACAATTAACCAGTGGAACAACCTGCGTCCAGAAGCGGTGGATGCTCCAACACTGGAAGTTTTTAAGAAGAGACTGGACAGCCATTTGTCCGAAATGGTGTAGGGTTTCCTGCCTGAGCAGGGGGTTGGACTTGATGACCTCCAAGGTCCCTTCCAACTTTATTATTATTATTATTATTATTATTATTATTATTATTATTATTATTATTATTATGGAGGATCATCGCACAGTCAGCCGGATGTTCAGACTGGATTTGGCATTTTGTCTACCTATCGAGTCCTTACCCAGGACCTGGGATAGGCAGATGTGGATGTTTGATGGTATCGTCGCAGGATGGAAGCAGTTCCTAGCAAGGCCGCCTTTTGCAATTGACTAATAGCGAATTTGTCAATGCCGATGATGGTGTTCAAGTGGTGCTCCAGTTGTATTATTATTATTATTATTATTATTATTATTATTATTATTATTATTATTATTATTATATTTCTCTCTCTAACTTTCAAGAATTGGGACGGAGACGGATCCCATTACTTAGCCTTCATTCAGAGACAACCCATGAATGCTAAGGGAGCTTTGAGGATTCATACAAATCTGGAGCAAAATGGCAATAGACTGGTTTAATTCCCGTAAATACATTTTTAAAACGAAATGAGCCAACTGGTCCTAGATTCTAATTCTTTCACGTCAGATCCACACCTCCGCTTTCTAAACCAACATCACCGGTCTTAAAAACGAGATGTTCTTCCTTGGCAAACAGGTTTGAGAATCTCAATGTCCAGCTGGGATTAACTCTGAAAGCTTTATGCTGTACTTCTTGCTCGTTTTTTTTTTTTTTTAAATGGTACCCAAGTTAAAAAAAAACAAAAAGTTTGATAGACCTCTCACTCTTTGGACTCTTTATTTTTTGCTTTGCAACTTCTGTTGTTTCAGCATCTCTGCTCTGTTGTAGAAACTCTGCAGAACTAGAAATAGGAGCCCTCTGGGGGTGATGCCATTTAGGATCCCGACTCTGCAGAGAAGGGCGACCTATAAACATGTTGCTAGAGTCAACAGTCTGAGGAAATCAATAGGAAAAGGTTAATCAGCACCACCCACTAAGCCACCTAATTGGGTGGATTAGCCTGCTTTCCCAAACCAATTAAGGTGCCCGTCAACGTATAAGAAACTTCAGAAGTGGTGAAAAGAGATATCTTGCAGAGGCAGAGCGAAAACACGGCGTGGTAGGCAAACAGGCTGAAGCCCACCACCACCACCACAGAACAGCAATCAGCCGCAAAGCTAAGGATAATCTTACCGTAGGCTTCAGCTTCCATAGCTCAGCAAAGATCTGAAGTGAAAATTGCTCCCAGGTGAAGAAGACACCGCTGTGCTGCCTGCATGAACTTCGTCTGTGTGTCTTCCGCTTTCCGGTCATGAACAGGCAGGTGCCATGGTTTCCAACACCCGGGGAAGAAAGATACCTCCAAATCTGCTTGCCCAGAGCTCCTGTTTCAATTATGGCCACCCCAGGCAGCATCCAAATAGCCCAGCTCTGGTGTGACCTGAGACATATCCAGCTGGGGCACCAGCTGCTCTTGGTAGACCACCCAAAGCCACTGGCCGAAGGAGGAGGAAAAGGAAATAACAAAAATCCAGGACAAGAAGTCTTCTCTCCCTTGCTTCCACCACCACTACTCCAAAGCCAGCAGCCGTTTTCTGCCAGCCAGGATTAGATGACAAATCCCATCTTCTTATCTGGGCAGTGACAGCCACCGTTTAGCCCCAACACCGGACACTGCTATTTAGCAGGAGAGAAGAGAGACGAGTTTTTCTATCAGGCAACGCCTAGGTTTTCTCGTGTTACCCTCCTGCTGGCCTGCTCGCTTCAGCATGAAATATTCACGGGATTATCTTGTAATCAACGGTCTAATCAAAGCGCAGCTATCAGCTCTTGTTTAGCCTCGAACCCTTAAAGTACGCCCAAGTTAAACTGGCAAGCTGGGGGGGAGACCTACAATCTGGAGCAGTGGTTCTTCACCTTTTTGAACGAATCGCCCCCTTGAGCCAATGAGGAAGTTGTCATCGCCCCCCTCCCTCAACATAACCTCTCAATCACAACATAGGAAATAATTCTTCAATTTATGCAAACCCTTTTTTTGTTTTCTTTAAAATTGTTGTCAGGACATATCAATGTAAATAATTTATTTCCAGTCTTTTTCCCATATCTCCCATATTCTGGCCAATAGCGCACCACTGTATGGGTCGAGGCTGCTGCGCAACGCACATGAAGATGCGTATTCACATATGTATGGGGTTCTGTACTGAAGCTAGCTGGAGGAACATTTGAAAACACAATTCAATCCACTAATAGCGAATGATCTGATGTTTTTGTACGACAGATATACAGCCATTCACTGTACGAAAAAGTCTCAAAAGTGTCCCCAAAGCTTCTCGCTCCATCGCCCCCATTTTGTTCCTTCGCCCCCGCGTCGCCCCTTTCGTTCCAGAAGCTTCCAGAAGCGGCATCCAGACAGAAAACCACATATTTGAATTCCACCACTGCGCTAACTAGGTAACATCAATGCTAGAAGAGAGTGGGGTTTGTGGAATGATGGAGAGGGAGGAGAAAGAGGAGGAGGAGGACTGTGGGGCCCTGCGTGCTCTCTGAGCTTGCTTGTTTTCTTGCAGACATTTCATGAGCCAAACTAGATAATATCATCAGTGCTAGAAGGGAGTGGGGTTTGTGGAATGATGGAGGAGGAGGAGGAGAAAAAGAAGGAGAAAGAGGAGGAGGAGGACTGTGGGGTTCTTGATGCTCTCTGAGCTTGCTGGTTTCCTTGCAGACGTTTCATTACCCAAACTAACTAACATTATCAGTGCTAGAAGGGAGTAGGGTTTGTGGAATGATGGAGAGGAGGAGGAGGAGGAGGAGGAGGAGGAGGACAACTGTGGGATCCTTGGTGCTCTCTGAGCTTGCTGGTTTCCTTGCAGACCTTTCATGAGGCTAACTAGGGAACATCCTCAGTGCTGTCGCATACACCCACTTGTACACCCAGCTCCCCATGAACGCTCACTTTGACAAAGTCTGGAAATCTGAGTTGAACAAGAAGACTATATTTGCAGCAAGTCCCACAGAGTTCAGGAACATTTATTTCTGACTTGAGCCCCATGCAGCCAATATGTCGGCTTGGTTCTTCTCTCACTCCTGTCCACGGGCCTTTCCTTGAAATGGAGAACCTTCTTAAGCCCGAGGCAATCACGAAATACTTACCGCAATCTACAAACCTACCACAGCTTGCAAGACTCTTCACCGTTTCTCTTGCAAACAAACAAACACAAAAACAATCATCTGATGTGGCTAATGATGATCTTGACCACAGATCTCAGTTTGAAATACTACAATGTGTTTTCTAGAAGTTTTGGGAACAGTTCATTGTTTTAATTTTTAATTTTTATTTTTTTTAAAAAAAGGACCATTAGGCTTGATTTATTGTGTGTGCTAAATTCTGAAGCAGCCTTTTTGGAGCGTGTAGCCACATTCTTGACATAGTGTGCAAAATGCGTTCAAACTGTCTGTTGGTGTTCAGGAATAAATGAAATTATTAGCATATGATTAGTCTATTATATGGATGATTAAGCCAATTAAATTGGTATTCTAAATGTAATAGAAAAAGCAAAGGGGGCCATCATGACTGTAATTGTTTTCTGGCATTGCATATATACATGTCACATTAATATTATGCATTATTTTTTTTATTTGTTGGCGAGGAGCAGAGAGCAGAGAACTATTGCTGATAAATATGATACTGGAATTTATTTTTTTTCCAAGGTTGATCAAAGAAGCTTCTTGGATGAGAAACAAAATGTCTTCAAAACAACAACAACAACAACAAATAAATCCAGTTGCCTCCTGAAAAAAAAAAAAGCAACTTTGGGACAATTGTGTTTTTAATTTTTAAAGTGTACATCCATTTTGTGGTGTTTTTGTTATTGTTGTTGAAGAGCAGTTTTAAGAGTGATGGGCTTTATAATCAGCCTATTTTTAAGGGCAATAATGACTTAGCTAACAAACACGATCATGCAAAATCCGGAACGTTGAACTGCTCGAGCTGACGATGCGATTGCTTTAAGACAATTGTTGAATTGTTGCTCTTAGACGCTGGCTGAGCTAGAAGGACACAGCAGAGGGAACCCAGGATTTGCAAATTCCTCTCATTTTTTGAACGTCAGAGTTGAACTAACAAAAGTTGAATCCAACAGCATATTAAAAATACAGATTCTATTATTCATGCCAGTATGTTTTTAGAGCAGGCCTCATCCTACTGCGGATGTATCAGGACCTGAATCCCCCATCGTAGGGGAGTCGTGAAAGAAAATTGAAATTTCAGATGTGATGGCACTAAAATTTAGCTTCGGCGAGTGAATTTTGCTGCTGAAAGACCGGCCTGCTTTTGATCCCCATCTCCCAGGGATCCGTGAAAGAATTCCGATGGGAAAATTCATTGGTCTTACATTATAAGCCTTTTGAAAAGAAAAAAAAAGTAAAGAAAAAAAGAAAAATACGACGAGGATGCATACATTTAATTTTGTATGTATTAATAGTCACAAGAACTGTGTTGGCGTAGTGTTGGGAAAATGAAAACAATATGGGACGAAAGGAGGATCAGGAAAAAACAACAACATTGGTTTGTGTAGTCATTGAACAGACTCATATTGAAGAATGTTAAGATGTAATATTGAGTAACAAATGGACCCGGACATCGCATTGTTTACTAAGCACTTACGATTTGTAATAATAAAAAATGAATAAAACATGGGGGGGAAAGAAAAGAAAAAAAGGAGAGAGACGTTTTTGAAAGACGCTGCTAACATCGGATGTTTTTGCTTTGACAACAGTTAGAGATGCAACTCTTTTCTTCTTATGTTTTACTCTTAGAGTTAGAGCTAGAGTTAGATGATGCTGGGGAGGAGAGGAAGGTGCATGAGAGTTTAGCTAGAAATAACAACACTGGACCTAGTGTGAGAACCAAGGTTATTGAAATAAGAGAGGATAAGAATTGTCGACTGGAGAACTGGAGGGGAAGCCTGCATTTCAAACTAATTGGAGAATGTGATTTATGACTGTTAATTGGAGGAGGGAATTGTGTTTTGATACTATGTGCTCAGGGGTGGGGAATCCAGTTTTTGGCTTCGGTTGTGTGCCAGAGGCAGCACTCAGAGCCCGCTCTGTGGGCATGCACACCGTTGCTCCAGCAGAGTTTGCTAGAGCACGTGGTATTTGGAAGTGACAGGGCAGAAAGTGAGTGAGCAAGAGGCGTTGGCCCCCCGGGGATGCCCCAGAGATGGGGAGGGACTGGCCCCCACCACCCTGGCCTCAGCCACGCTCACCCAGTCTGCCATGACCACTGCAGCCGCTCCCACCCAGTGGGCCATGCCCACCAGACCCGCTGAGGGCACCACAATGCTGATGCAGCCCTGGCACTTTGCGGATAAATAAGTGGGTTTTGGGTTGCAGTTTGGGCACTCGGTCTCTAAAAGGTTCGCCATCACTGCTTTAAGGTAAACAATGCCTCGAAGTTCTTTGAAGAGTTTCATCTGTCGGAACCAGGACAGTCAGCTTTTAGTCAAATGTTTTATTCAAGCTTGTAACAAAAGCCAAACAACTCTGATTTTGAAAGGTGAGCTAGAGTTAGCCCTTCATCATAAAAGTAATTGAAACGAAAGTAACTATATGCCGAAACTCTTCTGTCAGTTCATCGCGTGGATAGAAGTCCTTTGATGGAACAGAGCAGAACGGAACAGAACAACAGAGCTGGAAGGGACCTTGGAGGTCATCTAGTCCAACCCCCTGCCCAAGCAGAAGACCCTACACCATTTCTGACAGAGGGCAGTCCGGTCTCTTCTTGAATAGTCACCCTCGGCAATGATCTGACTTCTTGGGGCTTTTTCAAAATACGGCATCCCTGAAACAATCAAAAGTAAAACATCCCCAGTGTGCAGTGTCTTCCTTGGCTGCTTACCTGGCTTTGATTAAACTAGCATCAAAACCCCTCCCAATACCCAAAGGAAACTACAATCAGGTTGTACACGCTTCGGCATCTGGAGAAAAAGCTGGACATGCCTTCCCTTCCCGTTTGGGGATTACGGTTGGCATTTCCGAGAGAGGCAGTCGCACTCTCTGGCGTTAAAAACTTGGTGATGAACTAGAGAGCCGTTGGCGCAACGCAAGGGGACGCGCATGGTGTCGGCTGCGGTGGCCGAGCAGCAGCTGCAGAGGTCTTCAATACGGTTCAGGGTTATGTTGTAAATGGCTTGGCTTGAACACTTGCCCTGCAAGGAAAAAAACAACAACAATCCCACAGAGTTGGAACTTAAAATCCTGATTTCACCACGAAAACGGCTGGAATGATGTGAAAACAGAGAGGCAGATAGACCGTGCCTAGCTGGTGGAAGGAATAAGACGGCAGAGCTGAGCTCACCGTGTAAAATGTTGCTGCTTGGGGGAAAGTTTTATTACACAGGTCACCCTGGACTTACGATCGGTTGCTCAGCAACTGTTCGAAACTACAACAGACTAGTAGGAAAAGGACGGGCAGGGACGGGTGGCGGAGTCAAGAGAGGAATCAGCCTAGAGTCATTATGTTCTCACAAGAGGCCTGCGTTCAACCCCTCTTGAATGATGTTAACCCTTATCTAGCACCAATTTAATGCTGACTGTTTGTCTCACTTAGTGACATAAATTTTGGGCTCAGTTGTGGTCATAAGTCAAGGACTACCTGTGCAGTTAGACCCAAGCTCTTTGCAAAGAAAAACAGAAACAAAAACAATCCACTTTGCTTTCATAGACTCCAGATCAGCAGGCCTTACCTCGCAGTAATGGAGGTTCAGCTGGTTTTCATTCACACAGTCGTCTACTTTCACAAATTCCAGCCTGCCTGTGGCTAGCCTGCATTCTGGCTCCACACCTGAAATACAACACTTGTGAATGTTTCAACTACTTAGACAAAGGAAGCAGAGAACTGCACTTCTGGCTAGCCATGAGCTACTGCCTGCAAAATTAACAGGGCGGCCGTGATCAGCCAGTAATAGTTAGCTTACCGTATTTTAATAATGTTACTACTCCTTTAAGGGTTACAGTGATGACAAAGTTGGTTTTAGCTATTGCTTCAACTAATGCATCGCCTTTAAACTTTTAGAAAATTGCTTATACACAGAGGACGTTATTATCATTTTAATGTATGCCGATTAGTGTACATTCAAAATGACAATAAAATTATTATTCTATTCTATTCTATTCTATTCTATTCTATTCTATTCTATTCTATTCTATTCTATTCTATTCTATTCTATTCTTAATCTTTCCTATTCTTCTTTCCTATTCTTCTTTCCCATTCTATTCCATTCCATTCCATTCCATTCTTATTATTCTATTCTATTCTGTTCTGTTCTGCTCTGCTCTGCTCTGCTCTGCTCTGCTCTACTCTACTCTACTCTACTCTACTCTACTCTACTCTACTCTACTCTACTCTACTCTACTCTACTCTACTCTACTCCACTCCACTCCATTCTTATTATTCTATTCTATTCTATTCTATTCTATTCTACTCTACTCTACTCTATTCTACTCTACTCTACTCTATTCCACTCCACTCCACTCCACTCCATTATTATTCTATTCTATTCTATTCTATTCTGTTCTGTTCTGTTCTGTTCTGTTCTGCTCTGCTCTGCTCTGCTCTATTCTATTCTATTCTATTCTATTCTATTCTATTCTATTCTATTCTATTCTATTCTATTCTATTCCATTCCATATTCTACTCTACTCTACTCTACTCTACTCTACTCTACTCTACTCTACTCTACTCCATTCCATTCCATTCCATTCTATCGCCTGCAAGACTGGAAGGACCTCAGATGAAACGAACGTATGTTTTGAGCTGCGAAAGTGGAAGCAATTGTTGAAATAAGGCTTTTCAATGAAAAATTAAAATCAAATACCGGTCATAAAGTTCAAAGCTCTCTTGGGTACACTAAAACTCAGAACAGGGAAATAACCCCTGAATTACTGATAAGTGGAGACATAATGGAGACCAGGTGGGAAGACTCTCAAGACTGCAACACGGGAATGAAATAAAACAATTTGTTCGCCCAGAACAGAAATGAGCCAAAGTCAGGAGTTGAAATATATGTTAAAACGGCCCAGTCCTGCTCAGAAACCTGATGACGGTGTGCGCTGAACGGGGTTGTAAAAGAAACCAATGAATAAAAAACAATATTGTTGGTAGTATCTGCTGTGACTAAGGAGATATGGTGGATGATGCTCTTTTGAAAGCAAACTGCGGGCCTTTCAGAAAATATTGGCAGTTAGGGACCATTTATTCCATCCGTTCTGGGGAGTCAAAAGCTGCCAAGAAAACACGCCTGGCTTGTTCTATTCACAATTTTCTCCTTCAGAGGCATTAAGGAAAGTGCAAGAACAGACTTCTTGGCTACGGAAAGAACTGCGTAGAAAAATAGGGCAGGAATCCTCTTGTATTATCTCTGAGAAAATTTGTGAGGTAGCAAAGGAGTAAATTTCCAAATAAGGGAAAAAGAGAAGAAGAAAAAAACTACAGATCATTGTTGCTGTCAATGACTTCTGGATGGTATCTGGACACCGATGTTAAAGAGATCAGTCTTTAAGCTTCTTGCAAGCAATGAAGTAATTCAGGGGTCTTCACACTTGGCCCTTTTAGGACTTGTGGACTTCAACTCCCAGAATTTCTCAGCTAGTGTGCCTGGCTGAGGAATTCTGGGAGTTGAAGTCCACAAGTCATGAAGGGGCCATAGTTCCCCCATGCTGGCTCAGGAATTCTGGGAGTTGGTCCGCAAGTCATGAAGGGGCCATAGTTCCCCCATGATGGCTGAGGAATTCTGGGAGTTGGTCCGCAAGTCATGAAGGGGCCATAGTTCCCCCATGATGGCTGAGGAACTCTGGGAGTTGAAGTCCACAAGTCATCAAGGGGCCACAGTTCCCCCATGCTGGCTCAGGAATTCTGGGAGTTGAAGTCCACAAGTCATGAGGGGGCCATAGTTCCCTCATGCTGGCTCAGGAATTCTGGGAGTTGAAGTCCACAAGTCATGAGGAGGCCATAGTTCCCCCATGCTGGCTCAGGAATTCCGGGAGTTGAAGTCCACAAGTCATGAGGGGGCCATAGTTCCCCCATGCTGGCTGAGGAATTCTGGGAGTTGAAGTCCACAAGTCATAAAAGAGCCAAGGGTGCCTACCTCTCACCTAGGTATAAGGACACCCTTCTAGATCCAGAAGGGATAATTAAAGACCTTTGTAGCCAGAGCCCAACTCAGCACTGGAATCCAAAGTTGACTGACATCAGGATGGATGTCATGATGTCGACAGCATGGCTGCCCATAACAACACTTCTGACACATGTGTACCCACCTGGGTCCCTGGCATAGACACCTAAAGGGAAAACAGGTGGCAAAGGATGCATCACGATGCAAACCCCTCCCCTTAAATACATATTTAATATATTTAAACAGGTGATGCTCCTAAATACAAAAGGGCAAAGTTTGCGTTGTGCCATTACAACAGATGTTTTGTCCTTCTGGCATCCTCGTGGATGGCAACCTCAGGCATGACCCAGTAACATTATTCTCACACTTTTCTTTTCACGTGAAGCCACGTACACATTCAGAAATATCTTGCCATTTTGTGCGAGATTAAGCAGCTTTGGATACTCACATGTTTCACAGCACGTACTGCCAAGTTTTGTAACTTTACCCTGGAGAGGAAGACAACAACACCTCATTGAAGACAAATATATATGTGTGTCCCTGTCTAAAGCTCTCTTAATGTAGATTTTAGCCAACAATGTTTAATCCTTTCTAACATTTCTTGGCCAGGATCTGAGGCTTCACCAAGAGAATTATTATTATTTTTTTGCACTTTTTTGCATAGACCTATAAAAACAATCCTGATCATGCTGAAAGATATTTTAGCAGGAATAGATTTTAAACCTGAGCTTTTCTTATTAGGTATAGTATCAGAAAAAAAGTGATGAACAAAGTGTATACGGTAGTGGACAAAATTGTGGAACCCTTTTGGGAAAAGTATATTTTTGAGTTTTGATGGTTAATAACACCACCACCTTTTTTTGGGGGGGAGTAGTACCATAAGATTATATATCAATGGAAAGATAATTTAATCAAGAATGTAATGCAACATAGTTTGTTCAATTATCTGTACTGTATTCTATGAAAAGTTATAGTTGAATAACCAGAAAAAGGAAGCACAACTTGCTTCGGTTGATCTCAGGTAGCTTTCCTTCATCTGATGGTAGCCAATGAGGGCGAGTGTTTAGAGAGCCAATCGGGTGTCATCTTGTTTTGGCCATGAGCCAATCGGATCACAGTAGGATTCAGTGATTGATGTCATGTATTGAAGCTGAGAGGAGGACATTGGTCAGTGTGTTGTGTGATGGATATCAAGTGGGTTGGGTTTTTTTGTGTTCTTTCATTTCGCAAGCTTGTAAAACGTAATAAAATTAAAGCCATGGTGCAAAGAGTTGACTGGCCGCCCAGAAAGCGATGTAAAATAGTCTTATTAAGTGAACAAGGCTACAGTTATAAAGAAATTAGAAGAAAAACAGGTGGAAATTTAACCAAAAGTAGCATTTCTACTGTACACTTTTCCCAAAAGGTTTCCACCATTTGGGCTACTATTGTGTCTGCGGTATTGACAGCAACGAGGATTATGTTTGCTCAGCACTGGATCAAATCTTCATTTAGGATGCTCCGTAAAGCACAAATTGAACACACGCCACTACAACTAACACCATTTTAAAAAAAATGGCAAAAGAAGAGGAGATGGATTCCATTCAATACTTACCCCTTCAGCTAAGCATTTCTTAGAATCAAATGGAGGGCAGCCAGTAATCTTCCTTTCCCAAACAAAATCTCCTTTTTGGTTCACCTTGCAAAAATGATTGTCACACCCATCTTGGATCGTTTCATTCGGCTGTAAAAAAAAAAAATCCACATTTTTTTGTTGTTGTTACAGTGAGATCATAATAGGCCAGAGGGTATTATTATTATTATTACTGTTAAATACTGCGTTCGAAGAGGCATTGATCAGACTGAAAGTTAAAGCAAAAGCAACAAATTGGGTCAATACACAACAATTGCTACTTTTTTTAAGATGCAAAAAAAAAGCACCAGTTGACAAAAACGTGGTTACTCATGGTGCGTGTTTGTGAAATAGATCCACGTGTACTTATTCCCCGATGTGTGGGTTTTGTGGAAAGTAAAATGTGCTTGAAATGGAAGGTGGATAAAAAGACTGGGGTGATCTGTGGTAGATAAGAAACTAGGAGAAAATTACTACAAGAAAATTAGGAAAACAGATGGTTAGCAAAGGGCCTTGAACTTTAACTTTGCTGTTTATTCACCTATTAACTATTTTTTTCTCAACGTATCTTCTTCTTCTTCTTGTGCCATATCTATTATCAGACGTTGGCGATCATGTTGGCGATCATGTTGGTGATCCTGTTTTTATCAGCAGCTGCACGAAAAAGTGCGGCTGAGTTTTGTCCAAACCAGTCCCTTAAATTTTGAAGCCACAATGTTCTTCTTCTGTCTGGACCTCGTTTGCCTTCAGTCTTTCCCTGGAGGGTTAAATGGAGCATGCCATGTTTTTCTGGGTGTCGCATCCCATGTCCAAAATATTCTAATTTTTGTTTTTTAATTTTTTTGATGATTTTTTAAGTGTTTTGATGATTTCCCTTGGCTTTCCCGGGAAGCTGGGTTGATCTTGTCAACCCAGCTTCTACGTAACAGCCTCCTGTAAATCCACATTTCAAATGCTTCTAGTATCTTCATATAGGACAGGTCATGTTCTTGTCTAGTTTTCTTTTGGTTTCGGTAATTTTTTTCCCCCTTTGGATTTTAGATTTTAATCTTTGGAACAAAATAAAAAAAAATGAGGGGAAAAAAAGACATGGATGGTTTACAGCTTGTGGGCTGCAGCCCGTTATTAGTCCGTGGCCTGTTTGCAACTGGCCATGTGAGTGGCTGGCTGGTGCGCACACACAGCCCTACTCATGTGAGTATCATGGGTGCTCGTGGTCCCACTAAATTCCTCTGAAGATGTCACCTAGCCTGGTAATGAAATGTTCTGAAACCAACCCACAAGCTTGGAGAACAAAACCTCCACCCTCATTCTACACCTGAGCTATAGATTGTTGTTCTTAGTTGCGAAGTTGTATCCGACCCATCGCGACCCCATGGACAATGTTCCTCCAGACCTTCCTGTCCTCTACCATCTTCTGGAGTCCATTGAAGCTCACGCCTCCTGCTTCAGTGACTCCCTCCAGCCATCTCATTCTCTGTCATCCCCTTCTTCTTCTCTTGCCCTCCATCTTTCCCAGCATCAGGCTCTTCTCCAGGGAGTCCTTCCTTCTCATTAGGTGGCCGAAGTACTTGAGTTTCAACTTCAGGATCTGGCCTTCTAAAGAGCAGTCGGGGTTGATCTCCTCCAGGACTGACCGGTTGGATCGCCTTGCAGTCCAGGAGACTCGCAGGAGTCTTCTCCAGCACCATAGTTCAAAGGCCTCCATTCTTTGGCACTCAGCCTTTCTTATGGTCCAGCTTTCACAGCCGTACATTGCAACTGGGAAAACCATGGCCTTGACTCTACACACTCCTGTTGGTAGGGTGATGTCTCTGCTTTTTATTGGCAAAAGTCTTTCAGGACTGGGATCAGGAGTATCAGATGATCCACGGAGGGCTTACAAAATTCAAACCAGGATTTGCATCAATCTGACCGACTGAAGAAGGGGCACGCTAGGAAAAACTCCAGAAGAGCAGTCCCTTCCAGCAGAAGTGTTTATGGAGGCTGTCCATCATCCAGATCCTGGTTGTCCCAAAGGTGCTTTGTTTTTTCAATGAGGCAACTGGACAAAACAAAACAACCACTTCATAAACACATGGCACAACATAGGACAGGGGTAGGCAATCATGGCTCTTTTAGGACTCGTGGACTTCAACTCCCAGAATTCCTGAGCCAGCCATGCTGAGGAGAAAGGGAGAGGTTTCCAAGCTGAGCCATGCTGGCTCAGGAATTCTGGGAGTTGAAGTCCACGAGTCCTAAAAAAGCCAAGGTTGCCTATCCATGACATAGGAGAACAAACCCATGAGGACAAGATTCAGCAGTCCATCTGCATTTGGAAGACAAAGGCAGCTCTTTCAAAGACAACAAAGTCCACATTTTGGACAGAGAGGACCGCCGGCTTGAAAGAGGGGTCCAAGAGGCCATCTAGGCCAAAACTGAACCGCCCTCTCTCAACAGAGGGGGAGGGATCCAACATTGTCTATCTCCAGTCTATAATACAGTCCTTTCAGCAGTTCCAAGTAGGCTCCACTCCCATTTGCACCACTTGGGTGACCCTGAGGACACAGACAAGCCTCCAAGTGTCCTCAACGACTCTCTAAAAGAAGGCAAATGACCAGCTGTCTGCAAGGAGTATAAATCCTTCCCTTCCCCACCATCCAATCAGCGCTGAAGAAGCTTCTGGGATGAGAAGCGAAACGTCTTCAAAGAAAAACAAGAAAGTCCAGTTGCCTTGTGAAAAATTTTTTAAAAAGCAGTTTTGGGACTTCCAGCCGGAGGGCTACCTGAGAATTTAATGACAGCAAAGGATCAAGTAGCTCTCCCAGACGGTGGACCAAAACTTTCAGGAGAAGTGGAATCCCTGCATTAATCGCTCCAGCCTGTTTGCTTTTTCAGCTTGTTTTCTCATATCCAGCCTGTGGTTGATCTGAGGTAGCATTCAAAAGACTCTGTCTGCTTCTTTGGAGTTGGGCAACGCTGTCCAGCCCCTCATAAATGTCACGCACAGCGAGCAAGAACAAAGTGGATTTCAGGAAAGCATCTTTAAGGCCAGTCAGGGGCAAAATCATAATCTTGAAATCTATCACAGTTCCCAGGCAGACTAATTAAATCAGAGCCTCTTGAAAATGTTCCCTTCCCACAGCTTTCACCTCTGGGTCAACCATCTGGGCCCGTGCCTGATGGTTGAGAGCCGGAGAACTTTTCCATTTCAGTCACTTTTTTTCCCCTCCTCATAAAATAAAATTTAAAGAGTAGCTGGAATCTCCAGAAAAGTGAATTATGGCAGCATAAAGTATAGTGTGAACATGTCAACATCCCCTGTAAGATTTAGCGATTGCACAAAAGACACTCATGTCGTCACATATTCTGTTGCCAGCCGCCCTCATAAAACAGAAGAAAGTGGTTTACATATATATATATGTATATATATATATCTGAGGTTTTTGCGGGTGTTTGTATGTAGGTCTTTGGTTGTTCGGGTTTTCTCCTGCGTGAAATTGGAAGTGTCTTGGCGACGTTTTGACAAAGTCTCATTCGTCATCTTCAGGCTGGTGCTTTCGGCTTCGTGCTTCTAGGAGCAAGAAGCTCATAGAAGCACGAAGCCGAAAGCACCAGCCTGTATATATATATATATATATATATATATATATATATGAAGTCTCATTCGTCATCTTCAGGCTGGTGCTTTCTATATATATATGTGTATTCTTTTCTGTTATAGCCAAAGTGTACCTTCTTTTTATGATCCGATCCATCAATATGTTTATCTCCTCAATGCCTTTCTCCTAAGGGCAGGGGTCTTCCAACTTGGCCCTTTTATGACTTGTGGACTTCAACTCCCAGAATTCCTCAGCCAGGCATGCTGGCTGAGGAATTCTGGGAGTTGAAGTCCACAAGTCATCGAAGGGCCGAGTTGGAAGACCCCTGTCCTAGGGTTTCAGAGAGTTGACGTGAATATGAAGGACGGGTCCTCCTCTCTCTAAGTTGCGTCCCAGCCTTCCTTTCTTCCAGCTGTTCTCCAGAAAACTTTTGAGCCCAAGAATTCCCAGGGACTAGTGCTAATAAAAACACCACTATTCTTGCTACTTGGTGCAAAAAAACACACACAAAAAAGCCGTCAGGTAGTTCTCAACTTAGGACCACAACCGAGAAAAACATTTCTGTTGTTAAATGAGACGGGTGAGTTTTGCCCCATTCGACACCATCCTTGCACGGGTTGTGACATGAATCCCTGCAGTGGTTAAAAGTTAGCCACACGGTTGTGAAGTGAATCTGGCTTCCCCTTTTGACTTTGCTTGGCAGAAAGGTCACAAAAGGAGATCACGTATCCCTGGGACGCTGCAACAGTCGTAAGTACATGTCAGTTGCCAAGCTAAATTTTGATCACGTGACAGGGGAGGTTACAACGGTCGTAAGTATAAAAAAAATGGTCGTAGGTTACTTCTCTCAAGGCCGTTGTAACTTCAAACCATCACCCAATGGATGGCGCTAATTCAGGGACTGTCTGCAGTTTCTCTTCTTGAGTTTCAAATGATATTCTGAAGACTGTGGAGAAGACCAGACTTTTCAGATGATTTCCTAGCCAACGTAATTATTACACCACACGGGGAGAAGCGTCTTTGCGGGGCTGTTGGCGAGGGAGATGAACAGCGGGGCAAATATTATATTTGTTAGAAAAAAAGAGATGGTAAAGCTACTCACCTTCAGATACAAAATGGTTCCGTCCCTCAGCTGGATATCACACCGAGTTGGCAAACATTTGCCACAACAGGATCCAGAGGTTTTCTCCATCCGGTAATTCTGCAAACCCAGGGATGAGGCCGAAAATGAATTTTAAGCCTTGATAAATACATTGCCTTCAGAATAACGTTCTAACAGAGTTAGGAGGGGCCTTAGAGGTCTTCTAGCCCAACCCCTGCTCAAACAGATCGTCTCATTCTCGTTCAGCTTTCTTCTTCTATAGCTTGGCAGATCCGAATGAACATGTGTGTGTGTGTGTGTGTGTGTGTGTGTGTGTGTGTGTGTGTAGATAGCTATATACAGTGTGTATGTGTATATGTGTGTGTGTTTGTATTTGTATATAGATATAAATATAGATACAGATACAGATATAAAAAGATAGATAAATAGATATAGACATAGATATAGATATAGACATAGATATACAGAAATAGATAGATAGAGAGAGAGAGAGAGAGAGAGAGAGAGAGAGAGAGAGAGAGAGAGAGAGATATGGATGGATGGATAGATGGATAGATGGATGGATGGATGGATGGATGGATGGATGGATGGATGGATGGATGGATAGATGATAGATAGATGATAGATAGGGATGAATTGATAGATAGATGGATAGATGGATAAATGGATAGATAGATAGATAGATAGATAGATAGATAGATAGATAGATAGATAGATAGATAGACAGACAGACAGACAGATAGATAATATGGACAGACAGACAGATAGATAGATAGATAGACAGAAGATAAATAGACATAGAGATATATAGATACAGAGACAGATATAGATATATAGATATAGATACAAATTCAAGGTTTTTTTTACAGTAGTTTCATCATTATAGGCTTCCTACTTGCATTTTCCTTTAATATTATACATTGCAAAATCTGGAAGACCCCGCCCCCCCCGGCAGACTATCGACAGTTAAATGATATTCTCGTGTTTCGGTTACGGAAATACAGACGAGTTAAGTTTGCTTTGAAAAGTAAAGCTGAGGAGGCATTAAGTAGTAACTGCAGTCCCGTTTCTCTGCACTGTGTTTCCCCTCGCACAATCTGCCAGCCAGCAGGTCCTTAAGGAGAGGGGAAGAGCTTCACGTCAATGGCACAACTCCCGTGGGGACTTCTGATCCCAGCTGAAGACATCCCTCATCCTCTTTCTTGGCAACTAGTTGTGGCAGGTAATAATCAGTGAAGGATCCTGCCTGGCCGAAACACTTATGCAACAGCAGAATTTTTTCGCTGCCTTCTATAAACATGTAATAAGCTGCTGAAGGAGAGCAAGGTTTATTTCCTCGTCCATCTTCTCTTTTCATTCAGAGAGTTGAACTCAGGAAAATAATAATAGCAATAACAATAACAGAGTTGGAAGGGACCTCGGAGGTCATCTAGTCCAACCCCCTGCTCAGGCAGGAAACCCTCTACCATTTTGGACAAATGGCTGTCCAATCTCTTCTTAAAAACATCCAGTGTTGCAGAATTCACCACTTCTGGAGGCAGGTTGTTCCACCGGTTAATTGTTCTAACTGTCAGGAAGTTTTTCCTTAGTTCCAGGTTGCTTCTCTCCTTGATCAGTTTCTATTCTATTCTATTCTATTCTATTCTATTCTATTCTATTCTATTCTATTCTATTCTATTCTATTCTATTCTATTCTATTCTATTATTCTATTCTATTCTATTCTATTCTATTCTATTCTATTCTATTCTATTCTATTCTATTCTATTCTATTCTATTCCATTCCATTCCATTCCATTCCATTCCATTCCATTCCATTCCATTCTATTCTATTCTATTCTATTCTGTTCTTCATTCCATTATTCTATTCTATTCTATTCTATTCTATTCTATTCTATTCTATTCTATTCTATTCTAATTCTATTCTATTCCTATCCCATTCCATTCTATAATATTCTATTCTATTCTATTCTGTTCTGTTCCATTCTGTTCCATTCCATTCTATAATATTCTGTTCTCTTCTGTTCTCTTCTGTCCTATTCTATTCTAACAGAGCCGTGAAGACCAAATGCAGAAAACGTGGAAGAGATCAGGACCTTCAAAGTCAAGAGAGCTCCTTGGAGCATGCCTTCTCGCTTACCTTGGGGCACGGTTCACAAGTAATTTTCCCACACGTCAATTTGTAGGTCAGAAAGAGTCCCTGTCGGGTGGTACACTGGCACGTGGTGCACTCATCCAGCAGCATCCGTTTCCCTGGCTGAAAAAAGGAGAACACGTTTGCTACGTTAGATGGTCATTCCTATCATGAGAAACACCAAGAATGGACCGTTCATCCCCACCACCCCCTTTAGCAATAGCCCTTAGATTTATATACTGCTTCATGGTGCTTCACAGCCCTCCCCAAGTGATTTACAGAGTCAGCCTATTGCCCACCAACAATCTGGGTCCTCATTTTATTGACCTCGGAAGGATGGAAGGCTGAGTCAACTTTGATCTGTTGAGAATCGAATTGCTGGCAGTGGGCAGAATTAGCCTGCAATACTGCATTCTCACCACTGCGCCACCACAGCTCTCTCCTTCTCCCTCCTCCCTCCCTCCCTCCCTCCTTCCTTCCTTCCTTCCTTCCTTCGTTTTATTTTAATTACAGTTTTAAATTTAAGATCCTTATTGATGCTTTTCATTTTTGCATACTGCATTTTATTCAATGACTGTAAGCCGTCTAGAGTCGCCTTTGGTGAGATGGACCACGTACAAGTTTGATAGATAGATAGATAGATAGATAGATAGATAGATAGATAGATAGATAGATAGATAGATAGAATTAAAACAAGGGATCAGCTAGAATCTTACCGCGAGAACGGTGCCATTCAAGATGCAGCCGTTCACAGGTTCTGCAAGAGAGAAGAGGCATTTATTAGCATCTGAATTTTCCCTAGGACAATGGAATTCCCAACAGAACAGGAACTCCATTTTTTAATGATTCTTAATAATAATAACAGAGTTGGAAGGGAGCTTGGAGGTCTTCTAGTCTAACCCCCTGCTCAAGCAAGAGACCCCACACCATCTCAGACAGGTGATTGTCTAGCCTCTTCTTAAAGACCTCCAGTGATGGAGTGCCCATGATTTCTGGTGGCAAGCGGTTCCACTGGTTAATTGTTCTCATTGTCAGGAAGTTTCTCCTTAGTTCCAGGTTGCTTCTCTGTTTGGTCAGTTTCCAACCATTGTTTCTCGTCCTTCCTACTGATGCCTTGGTGAATAACCTGGCCCCCTCCTCTTTGTGTCAGCCCATCAGATACTGGAAGACTGCTATCATGTCTCCCCTATTTCTTCTTTTCTTTAGACCAGCCAAACCCAAGTCCCGCAGCCGTTCTTCGTATGTTTTGGTCTCCAGGCCTTGGATCATCTTAGTTGCTCTTCTCTGAACTTTTTTCTAAACGTAGAGAATGATGCAAGAAGGCCTTTCTGTTGGAAGGGCCAGTCCTTACCACAGCGACAGGAAGGGCAGCATCCAGACCGCTGGTCACAGCGCATCTCGGTGGCAAAGGGGCAGCTGATTGGTTCCCTCGCTTGGCATGAGACATTCCTGGTCTGGATAAAGACCTCCTCATTCACACGGATACATTTTTTGATGACGCAGGGATCAGTTGGAGACGTCCATTCCGAGCCGACCTAGGAATGTAAGACAACAGAAAGGTTTTGTTGTTGTTAGTTGTGAATTCGTGTCCGACCCATTGGACAACGTTCCTCCAGGCCTTCCTGTCCTCTGCCATCTTCTGGAGTCCATTTAAGCTCCCACCTACGGCTTCAGGGACTCCATCCAGCCCCCTCATGCTCTGTCGTCCCCTTCTTCTCTTGCCCTCCACCTTTCCCAGCATCAGGCTCTTCTCCAGGGAGTCTTTCCTTCTCATTAGGTGGCCAAAGTATTTGAACAGAAAGCTTTCGGCAGCACAAAGACCAACCTTTCCTTGTAACTCGATCAGGGAAGAGATGTGTATGTTGTTTTTCCTAGAAGTAGAACACAACTTTCCTCATCTCCAAGGAAAAGTGGAGTGAATAAAGGTAAACAGACTCCCTTATCTTAGTTGTAAATCTCTTCTAATATTTAAAAGTTTTTGGGGGAAACTAGAAAATAATAGTTTGTCTTCTGCAGTTGTGGATACTCGCTGGGGGGTTTTCAAGAGAAGATTGGACAATCATTTGTCCGTGATGGTATAAGGCTCCTGCCTTGAGCAGGGGGTTGGACTAGAAGACCTCCAAGGTCCCTTCCAGGCCTATGATTCTATGAACCTCTGAGACTGGGTGGTCTTCTAGTCCAACCCCCTGCTCAAGCAGGAAACCCTGTACCATTTCAGACAAATGCTGTCCAGCCTCTTCTTAAAAACTTCCAGTATTGGAGCATTCACAGCTTCTGGAGGCAGGTTGTTCCACTGGTTAATTGTTCTAACTGTCAGGAAGTTTCTCCTTAGTTCTAGGTTGCTTCTCTCCTAGATTAGTTTCCATCCGTTGCTTCTTGTCCTGCCTTCAGGTGCTTTGGAGAACAGCTTGACTCCCTCTTCTTTGGGGCAGCCCCTGAGATACTGGAATGCTGCTATTATGTCACCCCTTCTCTTCATTAAACTAGACCTACCCAATTCCTGCAACTTCAAGGGGTGCCTCAACTGAAATGTTGAAACAAAGTGGTCCTTGAAGCTCTGTGCAGCTCTTACAATTCATGGCTTAAGTGCTTCTTTCCAACCAGTCTCCACCAGAAGGGAAGACCCACTGCACAAGGAAAGCGAAAATGCCCGTCCTCTCTCACCACAATGTCTTACATTGTGCCAAACGACGTCTTCGTCTCTTCGAGACCAAAGAGGTTTATCTTCACACATTGTCCGGAGACATTTCCCACAACATGCCCCTTCTCTGTTGACGTATTTGTATCCCTGCAAAACATGAAAGAAACAACAACAACAAAAGTCAAGAATGTGTAACTTTTCTCGTATAATACATTACAGGTCGTCCCCAACTTACGACGGAGATCACGATGTATGTTGCTTACAATGTAAGTGAGAAATTGCTGAAGTGAGCTTTGCCCCATTTTATGACTTTCCTTGCTATGTTTGTTAAGTGTATCCCTGCAATTGTTAAATTAGTAATGAATTAGTAACAAATTAGTAACAAATTAGTAAAGTGAATCTCATTTCACCATTGGCTTTGGTCGTCAGAAAGTCGCAAAAGAGGATCATGTGACCCCAGGACACTGCAACTGTCATAAATGTGAGTCAGTTGCCAAGCAACCAAATGTAAATCACGTGACCACAGAGATGCCGTAAGTGTGAAAAGTGTGAAGAATTCCTCAGCTTGGAAACCTCTCCCTTTCCCCTCAGTGTGCCTGGCTGAGGAATTCTGGGAGTTGAACTCCACCAGTCATAAAGGGGCCATAGTTCCCCCATGCTGGCTGAGGAATTCTGGGAGTTGAAGTCCACGAGTCATGAAGGGGCCATAGTTCCCTCATGCTGGCTCAGGAATTCTGGGAAATAAGAATATTATAATGTATTATTAACCAGCTGGTGTACGATCTTAGGATGAATTGTGATAAGGGAAATTAGAGTTGTTTAAAACTTGGAAACTATAAATATTAAACATTAAAATTAAAATATTAATGGGAAACTAAAAATTGGGAAAAACTTATCAGGACATTGATGGTCTAAAAGGTTGGAATGTTAAAATGACTAAGAGATGTATAAACTAAAAATTATCGATAAATGTAAGAAAGCTATTTGTATTAAATTGATATAATTTAATACAAATTTAAATGTGAGACAGTAAATAGCAAGGGGAAATTTAATATCATAGTTTGTGATCTGTACTAAAGAAATTTGTATGTTATTGAGTTATGAACCAACCCAGCCGCCACGTTGCTTTTCAGATATTTAAATGTAAAACTGGAAAATCAATAAAAAAATTAAAAAAAAACATTTTCTCTCTCTCTCAAATATGCAGATTATATGGAATGTAAAAGGCAATACAATAATGTTAGTTCATCGGCCACCAAACCCTTAAGTCAATATATAATTTTAATCCATGGATTAAGGGTGTTCAGTGTTGATTTGATTCTACTCAATAGAATATCAATCATCTTGCATTCCATAAAAAATGTGAAATGCACATGCCACTTAATAAAGTTGCCTCTGATCCTTGATAGGAAAGTCGTATTCAAAAGAGATTTTTTTTTCTTATTTTCTGAAGCAGAAACCAAACGCCTGAGAAATAAATGTTTTTAACTAGTGGCAATGTAATCCCCTTATTTGATTACCACTTGTAGCATTTACCCAATCATCCAAAACAGGGGACATGTTCTTGTTATGTTTTGGAAGGATATTCCACTTTTTTTTCCAGAGCCTTAAATCCTTCCTGATGTTACAATAAACACATCTTATTCTGGATAGGCCCAAGTTCCCTGGGAAATCAGTAGCAACAGCGGCACCTCCTGGCATCTGAATTTCACCACAGAAAATTGAGAGTCCTTTCCACTAAGGTCAGGTCAACACAGATGAGAGAAGAAGTCACTGATCACAGAACAACACTGTTGGAAAGAACCTTGGAGGTCTTCTAGTCCAACACCCCACACAAGCAGGAGACTCTCATTTCAGACAAATGGCTGTCCAGCCTCTTCTTTAAAACTTCCAGTATTGGAGCTTTCACCACTTCTGGAGGCAGGTTGTTCCACTTGTTAATTGTTCTAACTGTCAGGAAGTTTCTCCTTAGTTCCAGGTTGCTTCTCTCCTTGATTAATTTCCATCCATTGTTTCTTGTCTTGCCTTTTGGTACTTTGGAAACTAGGATGACCTCCTTTTCTTTGTGGCAACCCCTCAAATATTGGAACACCACTCTCACGTTACCCCTAATCCTTCTTTTTACTAGACTAATCAAGGCTAGACTACTTCACTAGTCAAACCAAGGCAAAGGTATATCTAGTAAAGCCAACATCCAGCTACCAGGAAAGGTGGTACCCAAATACTACTTTTGTGTGGTGCAAAAAACTTCTCGGGCTTTGAAAGACAGTTGTCCCAAGATCCCTACTCTTTGGAAGGAACCATTATTTCCTCAAAGGAATGCACTGGGTCCTTCCTTCCTTGGGAAGGAATCTTCCCAAAGGCTTTCTCTAAAACACCATCCTCTCAAAGAAGATATCCCTTCCCATGTCCAGCTTTGCAATCTGAGCTGCATCAAAGCCAGAAACCTGGACCTTCTCTGAGACCATCTAACTTTAAAATTATCTCAATGCACAGAAGAGTGACAAAGATGGAGGCTAAGCCGTATGTTGAATGATTGAGGGAACTGGGTATGTCTAGTCTAACAAAGGGAAGAATAGAATAGAATAGAATAGAATAGAATAGAATAGAATAGAATAGAGTAGAGTAGAGTAGAGTAGAGTAGAGTAGAGTAGAGTAGAGTAGAGTAGAGCAGAGTAGAGTAGAGTTGAGTAGAGTACAATAGAATATAGAATAGAGTAGAGTAGAATACAATAGAATATGGAGTGGAATAGAACATAGAATAAGTAGAATAGAATAGAATAGAATAGAATAGAATAGAATAGAATAGAATAGAATAGAATAGAATAGAATAGAATAGAGAAAGAATAAAATGGAGTAGAACAGAATAGAATAGAGTAGAGTAGAGTACAATAGAATATAGAATAGAGTAGAGTAGAATACAATAGAATAGAATATGAGTGGAATAGAACATAGAATAAGTAGAATAGAACAGAGAAAGAATAGAATAGAATAGAATAGAATAGAATAGAATAGAATAGAATAGAATAGAATAGAATAGAATAGAATAGAATAGAATAGAATAGAATGGAATGGAATAGAATAGAAGCTGGAAGAGACCTTGAAGGTCTTATAGTCCAGCCCCCTATTCAAGCAGGAGAACCTATACCATTTCAGATAAATGTCTAATCTCTTCTTAAAAACCTCCAGTGATGGAGCGCCCACAATTTCTGAAGGCAAAAGCTGTCCCACTGGTTAATTGCCGTCACTGTCAGGAAGTTTCTCCTTAATTCCAGGTTACTTCTTTTTTTGATTAGCTTGATAACAGTCTTCCAGTATTTGAGGGGCTGTCACAAAGAAGAGGGGGGGGGTCAACCTAATCTCCAAAGGACCTAAAGGCAGGAGAAGAAATAACAGGCAGAGATCGTCAAGGAGAGAAGCAACCTAGAAGGAAGGAGAAAATTCCTGACAAGTAGAACGGCTTGCCTCTGGAAGCTGTGGGCGCTCCATCCCTGGAGGTTTTTAAGAGGAGATTGGACAACCATTTTCCAGAATGGTGTAGGAGCTCCTGTTTGAACAGAGGATTGGACTAGCTAACATCATATTTACACCAAAATAAGATCACCAACTTTGAACTCTGGTGCTGGAGAAGACTCCTGCGAGTCCCCTGGACTGCAAGGCGACCAAACCAGTCAGTCCTGGAGGAGATCAACCCCGACTGCTCTTTAGAAGGCCAGATCCTGAAGTTGAAACTCAAATACTTTGGCCACCTAATGAGAAGGAAGGACTCCCTGGAGAAGAGCCTGATGCTGGGAAAGATGGAGGGCAAGAGAAGAAGGGGATGACAGAGAAGGAGGTGGCTGGATGGAGTCACTGAAGCAGCAGGCCTGAGCTTCAATTACTCCAGAAGATGGTAGAGGACAGGAAGGCCTGGAGGAACGTGGTCCATGGGGTCATGATGGGTCAAGCACGACTTCACAACTAACAACAACAAAAATCATCAAACTTTAGGTCAAAAAGTGTACATCACAGAGGCAACTGAGCTTGCATCCGATCCATATTTCTCCCTTCTGAGATATGGACACAGCAGCACTGAGCACTGTGCCAGACCAGGTGTTCCCCGTATTGAACAAGCCAACTCTATTTCAGAACAGTTGCTGTGTTTACTGTTTCATGTTCCAAAGCTTTCAGCGTCGTGAAATACGGCCCTTAAAAATAGGATTTTTCACATGCGCTTAAAATCCCATCTTCCTGAAAATTTTATGGGTTCTAATAATAAGCCCTTTTACGTTCATGTTGAACACCTGGGGAAGAACATACTTGGCGACTTCAAAAGGAAACCGTCAGCATGAAATATTATGGATTGTGCTTGGAGTTTACGATTAGCATCCCCAAAGAGGCAACGTTTCTGATTTTTCCCCGTCTTGCACAGTATCGGCCGGTGGAACAGGATTAAAATGTGTACAGCTGAAATTCAGGAAAAAAAAGTATTGTTTTTATCGGTTTATGCTTTATCGGTTGCGATGTGAACTCCCCTGCTCCAGTTTTCCAGGAGCAAAGTTGTGCGTGACAATTTTGCTCGACTGCTCAGATTCTGAGGCTTGTCTTTGACACACACACACACACACTCCATTCCACTTCCCGGTGTCCAATCTCCAAAAGTCACAGGAAGACTGAATTATGTGGTGTGTCCATTTTGATATTTGCATTGTGTAAATGATTTAGTTGTATCGTGTGTAAATGACCCTTCCAACTCTTTTATTCTAAATTCTAAAGTTGTGGGTGCTCCATCGCTGGAGGTTTTTAAGAAGAGACTGGACAGCCACTTGTCTCAGATTGTATAGGGCAGGGGTCCCCAACCTATGGGCCACAGCCCACTATTGGGCTGTGGCCTCTTGGCCAGCAGGCTGTGGAAATGGCTGGCTGGTGTGCTCGCACGTGCACACACACTGCCCCCCACTCGCACTAGCGCCCGTGGCCCTGTGTGTGCATGCATGTGGGCACAAACGGGGCTGCTAGTGCTGGGTAAGTGTGTGTGGCCTTTTGCACATGTGCATGGTGCCAGCACATGCTGTGTGTGTGAATGGGACTGCTGGTGCCGTACCGGTGCACGCGGCCCTGTTTGCGCGCACGCATGCACCAATTTGTAAGTCTCCCAGGAGCTAATTTCATGGCTATGACTTTGTAGTAACTAGAGGGCCGGTTGTCCTTGATTTACAACAGTTTGTCTAATGACTGTTCGAAAAATGACTTAGGACCATTTTTCACCCAATCATCATGGGATCAAAATTCAGCCACTCGGCAACCGACTCGCATTTATGACAGTCGCAGTGTTCCCCCCCTGGGGGTTACGTGATCCCCTTTTGCGACTTTAGACAAGCAAACCCAAAGGGGGGAGGAGCCAAATTCACTGAACAGCTATGTTACGAACTTAATAACTGCAGTAATTCCTTTAACGACGGTGTCAAGAAAAGTTGTAAAATGGGGCAAAAACTCACTTCGCAAATGTCTCGCTTAGCAACATAAATCTTCGGCTCCATTGCGCTCGTACTTCGAGGACAATCAGTGTATAGATTTCCTAGCCCTAGGATGTCCTGGTCTTCAAGGACTAGCCAGTTCTTTGAAGACCATCCAAGGCTATCTCTGTGTGTCCCCCCCCCACACACACATACCCCGCTTTTACCCTGGCAGAGTCTAACCAAATAACAGCCCTTATTCTATTCTAAACAATATTTGGGAACTTTACGTACCGCCGGACAGGACGTACTGCATCCTTTCTCCAGACATTCTGTAATTTGTAGTCCTGTCACAGCATCTTTCATGTGGGTGCAAGAACACTCCTTACATCCTTCTTCCCAAGTCATTCCAAGAGGATAGACGATGTTGCGGTGTACGCACACCTGTCAATAATGAGAAAGAGTTTCATTTCATTGCCTGGACTTCTTGCTGCGGCGTGCTTGGCTTCAACGGTCCTTGAATTGTGTTCTGTTAAATGGGCAATAATGGCTACGGCTTTAAATAGGCTCTGTTTAAATGGGCTCAGACTTCCCATCTCTGGGAAACAATTTCTAAAAGGCTTTACCTCATGAAAGACCAAGTTGACAGGTGAAAATCCAGTTAAACTGATTGAGGGGATGGGAGGCTAAAACATACGAAGAATGGTGGCTGGAATTGGGTGTGTCTAGTTTAATGAAGAGAAGGACCAGGGGTGACAAGATAGCAGTCTTCCAATATCTCAGGGGCTGCCCCAAAGAAGAGGGAGTCAAGCTATTCTCCAAAGCCCCTGAAGGCAGGACAAGAAGCAACGGATGGAAACTAATCAAGGAGAGAAGCAACCTAGAACTAAGGAGAAACTTCCTGAGAGTTAGAACAATTAACCAATGGAACAACCTGCCTCCAGAAGCTGTGAATGTTCCAACCTGGAGGTTTTCAAGAAGAGACTGGACAGCCATTTGTCCAAAATAGTATAGGGTTACCTGCCTGAGTTGGACGTGATGACCTCCAAGGTCCCTTCCAACTTTGTTGTTGTTGTTGTTGTTATTGTTATATTACTATTACTATTACCAAAAGCCACAGGAATCTTCTCAACTAACAGTTGCTTGGAATTAGACAAGGTTCAACATTATACAAGGAAGTCGATCTTAATTGTCTTGTGGCTACGTGGGGATTCTAAGCTGATCCCTCTTTTGACTCCACCCTCAGGTTCTGCCACTCCTAAACCTAAGGACTTTAACAACAAAGTCTTCTCTTATATGATTGTCACTAGTTTCCCTTACAAAACTATCAGATAAGTTTATGGCCTCGAAGAAACCTCCATATTCAGAGGGAGCACACCCCATCATGGGCTCATGGTGCAATGTTCTGGCTTCCCACTTTGAGGAAAAAGGGATCTGATCCAGTAAGGCAGTGGATCATGGTTTTAGAGAGGTCTGTGCTTGAATGCTGTAGACCAGGGGTTTAAGATGCCTCCACAAAAGCTTCAAGTCAGAGAACAGCAACTTCCAACTCCAGGGAAGTTACTCTTCCAGTCCATTCTACATTGATCAGACCCTTCCTCAAAGTATGTATCCAGTTCAGACCACCGGATTTCAAGAAAGAGTCAAAGAAACCTGAGCAGGGGTGTGCAAACAAATTCTGTTAAAAGAGACCGGGGTCTCCTCCTCCCAGCCACTTTGGCGTGCTTTCTTTTTCGTCCTTTTTCATCAGAATTCTTCTTCCTGACAGTGTGCTCTTAACACCCATAGAAAATTGGGGCCATCCTGTGGCACGGTTCACACAACTCCTCCACATGACACTGTGAAGGAATGATTGCTAATCTGGCTGAAATTCAGAGGTTCCCCACCATGGGAAAAGAAAAAAAAAAAACAGCACCAATTGCCCTAGGATTATTGGAGTGATGATGCTTGCAGAGCAGAGGTCTTCAAACTTGGCCCTTTTATGACTTGTGGACTTCAACTCCCAGAATTCCTCAGCCAGGCATGCCCGGCTGAGGAATTCTGGGAGGGGTCTTCAAACTTGGCCCTTTTATGACTTGTGGACTTCAACTCCCACAATTCCTCAGCCAGCATGCCTTGAAGTCCACAAGTCATAAAAGGGCCAAGTTTGAAGACCCCTGAACTAGAATATATGACCATGGGGAGGACTAGAATGGATGGTTTGGTTTCGGGTTTTACCTGATCAGGAATGCACGTCGTAGATGTGCAGCCGCAGTCATTTGTGACGGAGGATGAGAGGTAGCCTGGCGGGCAGGTCACCGTTGAATTGTTACAGCTACAAACACACTGGAATTCATCACAGCACCGAGTCTTCACCAAAACCGGTTTGCGATGTGGTGGGCAGAATGGGGTGGACTGTGGCTTACACTCTTCCTTTTTGCAGACTGCCAATCAAATCAGAAAACTCAAATAATTTGCCCCAGAGCTTCTCCCCCCCCCCCAGGCTATAGGTAGCGAGGAAAGAAGACGAAAATAGAAAACTTATAAGCAGACACCATATAGGGGAGTTATTAGGAAACTGACCCAGCATTAAGTGGTTGAAAGGGATATTACCACAAGCGTAATCTGGTCGACATCCTCCGGGATTTGTCTGGATGAGTTGGAGACCATCTTCACAGTGAGGTATTAGAGGCAGTTTGCAAGAGATCAGATCGCAGACTAAACACAGAAAAAAAACAAGAGAAGTTACCCCCTGCAACAAACCACAGAACAGGATCTATTAGGAGCATCAAGGAACCCACTTGCCTGTTGCCAATTGTGAAAAGATGGCTTAAGACCATCAGCTATTGGCCTGGTGGTGGGATGGGCTCCATACAAGGGAGACAGATAGTTGGACAGATAAGACAGATAGATACTGTAGATAAAGGTGGATGGATGCATGCATGCATGGATAGATAAGACAGATAGAAAGGTATAGGTAGATGGATGGATGGATGGATAAGACAGATTGATAGATATAGGTAGATAGATGGATGGATAAGACATAGATAGATTTAGGTAGATGGATGGATGGATGGATGGATGGATGGATAGATGGATGGATGGATAAGACAGATTGATAGATATAGATAGATAGATAGATAGATAGATAGATAGATAGATAGGACAGACAGTTATAGGTAGGTAGGTAGGTAGGTAGGTAGATAGATAGATAGATAGATAGATAGATAGGACAGATAGACAGGTAGTGCACCTTGAAAAAGCTAATGTCCTTGATTGAAGTTCAGATATCTGACCCCCTGATCACATGACTACATTTTGACAGCTCGGCAACCAGTCAGTGTTCCACAATCATGTGACCACAATTCCCAAGCCTCCCACAAGCCAGCATTTACTTCTAGTTTCTGGCAAAAAATGACCTACCGCATTCAAAAACTGGACAGCACTGATTGGAGTTCCTCTGCAGTCTTGGAATCTCACAGGGACCGCAGTCGATGGCTGAGATAGAAAGAGAAAGAGAAAGAGAGAGAGAGAGAGAGAGAGAGAGAGAGAGATTTCCAAACAGGATGAACCAACTTCTAAGAATTCTTCAGGGACCATTTTCAGAGGAAAGGAGAGGGAGGAGGAGAACTGTGGGGTCCTGGGTGCTCTCTGAGCTTGGCTGTTTTCTTGCAGACATTTCATGACCCAATTAGGGAACCTCAGCAGTGCACTAATGATGTCACCTAACTTGGTAACGAAACATCTGCAAGAAAACCTCCAACTCAGAGGTCACTAAGGCGTCCACAACTCAACCCTGATCTACAGATATTGTCTTCTGAAGGGGATACATTTGCCTCGTGAAAAAAAAAAAAGCACCTTTGGCTTATCCGCCACTCTTTCTTCACCATCATGTCCATTTTTCGTCAATGGAAATCATGTCGAAGAATCGGCGGCGGATAACATCGATCAGGTTGAGTTATTGCGTACGGAACTTTCCCGTGGCGAGTTGTCCCATGGCAAGATGACCATGGCACATTGGCTGCGGCGAGGGGCCCCAGTCCGTGCAGGGGAGCCTCCCCTGAAGGTTTTTTTCAAGGCGGTTTTAAAAGATGGTCGTGGCTTACGTTTGGCTGTTGCGCAAGGCTGTGGCACACAATTGACGGTCCTGTTCTCCAGGCACATGCAGACCTTGCAGGGATCGATGGAAGGAATCCATGTTTCCAAGAGCTGTTGGAAGAAAAAAAAAAGAAGAAGAAGAACAAATGAATCCTTCTAGGATTCAAATGAAACCAGAATCCTTCTGGTTTGGATGCAAATGAAACCCACTTGTTGTTGTTGTTGGTTGCAAAGTCATGTCTGACCCATCGCAACCCCATGGACAACGTTCCTCCAGGCCTTCCTGTCCTCTGCCATCTTCTGGAGTCCACTGAAGCTCATGCCTCCTGCTTCAGGGACTCCATCCAGCCACCTCATTCTCTGTCGTCCCCTTCTTCTCTTGCCCTCAATCTTTCCCAGCATTAGGCTCTTCTCCAGTGAGTCCTTCCTTCTCATTAGGTGGCCAAAGGACTTGAGTTTCAACTTCAGGATCTGGCCTTCTAAGGAGCAGTCGGGGTTGATCTCCTCCAGGACTGACCGGTTGGATCGCCTTGCAGTCCAGGGGACTCGCAGGCGTCTTCTCCAGCCCCAGAGTTCAAAAGCCTCCATTCTTTGGTGCTCAGCCTTTCTTATGGTCCAACTTTCACAGCCATACGTTGCAACGGGGAAAACCATGGCCTTGACTATGCGCACTTTTGTTGGCAAGGTGATGTCTCTGCTTTTTACGCTGTCTAGATTTGCCATAGCTTTCCTCCCCAGGAGCAAGCGTCTTTTAATTTCTTGGCTGCAGTCCCCATCTGTGGTGATTTTGGTGCCCAAGATAGCCCAAGAGCTATTCGTTACCAAGTCAGAATAGTTAATACAATTTTTTAAAAAGCCTCCCCTTACATAATGGGTCTTCTTCTTGTTGTTGTTAGTTGCAAAGTCGTGTCCGACCCATCGCGACCCCATGGACAACGTTCCTCCAGGCCTTCCTGTCCTCTACCATCTTCTGGAGTCTCTTGAAGCTCACGCCTCCTGCTTCAGTGACTCCATCCAGCCATCTCATTCTCTGTCGTCCCCTTCTTCTCTTGCCCTCCATCTTTCCCAGCATCAGGCTCTTTTCCAGGGAGTCCTTTCTTCTCATTAGGTGGCCAAAGTACTTGAATTTCAACTTCATGAAACCCATTGCCAAGTTACAAATAATTTTAGGGCTTCACCCTTTCCCCCCCCCCCCAAATTTACGAGCACGCTCCTAAAAATACTGGAAGAAAGGGGACGTGTTGCTTATTCGTTAAATAAAGCATACCAAATATTGACTCAATAAGGGAAGTGGAGCCAGACCTTGGAAAATTTCAGGAAGGGTAGTGTTTCACATTATTCCTTGGTCATGCATTTTACAACAAAGGCACCCCAGCTTATTTTACACTAAAAACATTCCAGATTGCTCCCTGATCATGTCCTTTCTGAAGAATATAGGCTGATGGTAAACAGACACCGAACTACAGACTGTAACTCCTTGGAGAGGCTACTAAAAAAGCAATAAATAACTCTGGAGAGCAATGGACACCAAGGTGTTCCACAGATGGAGCAAAAGGAGAGAAAATATTTTTAAAATAAGCAGTCGAAGGCTGTTGGAATATTGATGAGTATCTAAAAATTGGGTAAAAATTAATAATAGGATATGGATGGTTTATGAAGACTGAACGCAATTAAGATACGTGTAAGCTAAAAAAATGTATTGATAAATGCCATAATGCTGTTTTTACTGAGTTGATAGAATAAGAATTGGACTAGCTTGAATACGAGACAGTAAACGGAAAAAGAGAAGAAATGTCTGATGTTGTAACCTGAGATTTGCACTAAAGATTTTGTTATCGAACGATTGATTAACCCAATCACCACATTGCTTTTTAAATACTTAAAGGTAAAATTGGAAAATTAATAAAATATTATTTTAAAAAAAACAAACAAACACCAAAGCTACTCCTGCTCACCAACCAAGAGCTGGGATTTTCACTGATGACATATACCTAGGATTTTCCATTTTTGAAAAGGTCCCTGTGATATAACATTTCAACAGTTCTTGACTATCTTTAGCCCAAAATTTATGTTGCTAAGCAAGACAGTCGTTAAGGGAGCTTTCCTAGGCATGCTGGCTCAGGAATTCTGGGAGTTGAAGTCCCCAAGTCCTGAAAAGAGCCGTCATCTCCCCCATCTCTGCAGTAGGTGATGGGCAGGGGTCTTCCAACTTGGCCCTTTTATGACTCGTGGACTTCAACTCCCAGAATTCCTTAGCCAGCCACGCTGAGAGGAAAGGGAGAGGTTTCCAAGCTGAGCCACGCTGGCTCAGGAATTCTGGGAGTGGAAGTCCAAGAATCATAAAAGAGCCGAGGGTGCCTACCCCTGGTGATGGGAGTCAGGAGGGAGAGCCTCACCTGGTGGCGACTTCCATCTTCACCGATGCATTGGGAGCAGATGTCTTCGTGAACGCAGGTGCCATCCAGGACAACCTGTCCCGGTGGGCAGAAGCAGCCCTCGGTGGCGTAGTCTGTGCAGATTTGCATGTCGGTCCCGTTCTCACAGTGTTTTGTGCACCCTTTCTTGCAGGGCTGATAGATCAGAGAGGCCGGGCATGGCATGGCTGCAGAGGGAAAACACACAAAGAAAGTCACACCAAGTCCCTTGGAAAAATAAGCGGACCGGCCCTGGCAGACTGTAAATCAGTCAGAAAGGAACCGAGGTAAAATTGTGCTAAAAATAAACAACCTCTAATCTACCCCGGATGCTTGAAGGAGGTTGGGAGGAAGGAGAAGAAGGAAAAAAAAAAAATCTAATTTGGCTAAGTACAATTCTTGCCAACAGTAAGAAATGCCAAGAATGTCATTTCACATTTTGATCGTGTGGCTGTGCTGAGCGAATTCGAAATAGAAGCGCAAAAGAAGTAGTATTTAAAGGAATAGAATAGAATAGAATAGAATAGAATAGAATAGAATAGAATAGAATAGAATAGAATAGAATAGAATAGAATAAAATAAAATAGAACAGAAAATAGAATAGAATAGAAATATAGAATAGAATAGAATAGAATAGAATAGAATAGAATAGAATAGAATAGAAATATAGAATAGAATAGAATAGAATAGATTAGAATAGAATAGAATAGAATAGAATAGAATAGAATAGAATAGAATTAGAAATAAGGAATAGAATAGAATAGAAATATAGAATAGAATAGAATAGAATAGAATAGAATAGAATAGAATAGAACAGAAAATAGAATAGAATAGAAATATAGAATGGAATAGAATGCTATTCTATTCTATTCTATTCTGTTCTGTTCTGTTCTATTCTATTCTATTCTATTCTATTCTATTCTATTCTATTCTATTCTAGATAACTAAAGTAGGAGAAAGTAACTCTCAGCTGGAGCCTTCCATGCCACAATGCTGGCTAAAGAATGTATAATAACGCAGCGAACTCACAATTTTTCATTTGTTGGGCTTTTTAAACCCATTTGCAAATGGATGTGGAAGCCTTCCAAATGAAGGTGAGATTGGAAAAAATAACCCATTGGGAGTTAAAATAACCCATTGGTTCCCCAACATCCAGAATTATTTAGGCTGGTTTGGTTTTAAAAGCCAAAGAGAACTTGTCCAAGAAACTGGATACAAGTTCAGGTTTGGGTTTGATTTTTTTTTTTCCATTTAGCCTTGACATAAATTGCTTTTAAGTTCCAAAAGAAGGAAATATTTCACATCGTTTTAAATGCCGGCGCTATTTTTATTAGCTAATTAGACTGTGAATAATGGCTGGAAGGAAAGGGCCTAAATTTGATAGAGCGTAATGGCTGGTGTTGGCAGATAGAACGGAATAGAGCTGGAAGGGACCATGGAGGTCTTCTAGTCCAGCCCCCTGCTCAAGCAAGAGAGAAGGACCTGCTTTCTCATTTAACTTGCGATGGCCCTGTAAGGAAATAAAAAAATCCAAACGAACAGAGGAATGAAAAAGGAATGAAAATCTCACCGCAAAAATCTGGCGTTCTCCAATCCACACAGACCCCGTGGACTTTGCAAAGATGGGCGTAGGAGGCCACAATCTCACACACTTCCTCCCCACAGCAATTGTTTTCTTCGCACGTTGCATAGAAGGTGTTGGGTGGGATGACCTGATGGCACTCATAAAAGAGGTTGGAAAGCAGGATGCTGCATCGGCCAGTTGCCCGCTCAACGCACACCTCAGCCTTTCTCTCCTTGCATATCCGTCCTGGTTGCTGAATGGTCCAGTCCTGGATGAAGCCACCGATGTCCCGAGTGATGGAGTTGTTCTTTAAGAGCAGGTCGTTCCCGCTGTTTTGGTCACACACCCCTAAAGGGAAGACGGGGGAAAGGGATTAAGGAATTGCACAGGTCCTCAGTACTTAAAAAGCGTGTTCTGCTTACAGGGACATAGAATAAACCCACCCAGAATGTTTGCTCAGCTACCCAACCTGCTTAGTCTTTCTCCAACAACAATAACAACAACAACAATAATACAAAGAGGAAGAGGAAAGAAGAAAGAAGAAAGAAGAAGAAGGAGGAGGAGGAGGAGGAGGAAGAAGAAGAAGAAGAAGAAGAAGAGGAAGAGGAAGAGGAAGAAGAAGAAGAAGAGGAAGAGGAAGAAGAAGAAGAAGAGGAAGAGGAAGAAGAAGAAGGAGGAGGAGGAGGAGGAGGAGGAGGAGGAGGGGAGGAGGAGGAAGAAGAAGAAGAAGAAGAAGAAGAAGAAGAAGAAGAAGAAGAAGAAGAAGAAGAAGAAGAAGAAGAAGAAGAAGAAGAAGAAGAAGAAGAAGAAGAAGAAGAAGAAGAAGAAGAAGAAGAAGAAGAAGAAGAAGAAGAAGAAGAAGAAGAAGAAGAAGAAGAAGAAGAAGAAGAAGAAGGAAGAAGAAGAAGAAGAAGAAGAAGAAGAAGAAGAAGAAGAAGAAGAAGAAGAAGAAGAAGAAGAAGAAGAAGAAGAAGAAGAAGAAGAAGAAAAGCCAGTCTGAACATTGGGCTGACTATGTAATTATTATTATTATCTTTTATTCATTAGACATGAACTTCAGTCAACTGAACATTCAAATTGGCTGGCACTGATGGTTGACACGGGTTTCTACTAGCAACAACAACAACAACAACAACAACAATTATAATAATAATAATAATAATAATATTTTGTGTAGTGAGTTTTCCAGGTTGGCATTTCCCAACAAAGCCAATGTGAGCATTTATAGGTAGTCCTCAACTTACGACCACAACTGAATCCAAATTTTCTGTTGCTAAAGGAGACCATTGTTAAGTGAGTTTTGTCCCAAGCTCTTTTTAAAAGCCTCCAGTGATGGAGCACCCAAAATTTCTGGTGGCAAGCTGTTCCACTGGTTAATTGTTCTAACTCTCAGGAAATTCCTCCTTAGTTCCAGGTTGCTTCTCTCCTTGGTTAGTTTCCATCTGTTGCTTCTTGTCCTGCCTTCAGGCGCTTTGGAGAATAGCTTGACTCCCTCTTCTTTGGGGCAGCCCCTGAGATATGGAACACGCTTATCCTGTCTCCCCTGGTCCTTCTCTTCCTTAAACTAGACATCCCCAATTCCAGCAACCGTTCCTTATATGTTTTGGCCTCCAGTCCCCTGATCATCTTTGTTGCTCTTCTCTGCACTCTTTCTTTCCAGAGTCTCAACACCTTGTGGCGACCAATAGACACAATATTCCAAGTATGGTCTTACCAAGGCATTATAGAGACAGAATGCATTGAACAGAGATCCTTTAAGTCAAGATTTACTATAGAGACATTAGTGTTCAAAAGGCCTGGGTAATTGCTAATAAAAAAATCCGAAACGGCACTTCAACAGTGAATATTCTAACGTACCACAAAGTCCATACATCTTCGAGGCAAAGCTCTTTGGGCCAAGCTGTAACGTGAACTCATTGTTGCTCGGTGTGAAGGCCAGGGTGTGGTTCTGCTGCAGAAATCTGACTTCGTGCATTATTGTCCCGTAGATGTTGACTTCTACCTGACTATTGCTGTAGGGGGGAATAACAGCCACGCCGTTCACGGTCACCTGTTTTGAAAAGCGGGATAAAGAAGAATTAAGCCACAGAAATCAAACACGGCAACTTGGAAGCAACACGGATACGAAGGACCGCTGAAATCCACCATTGGGTTGAAAGCCAAATACAGGTAGGCCTCAAGATGGAGCGCAACATTTCTCTGGCTAAATGAGGTTCAGTGAGTTTCGCCCCATTTTACAACCTTCTTGTCAGTTATTAAATTAGGAATACCGTTGCTAAGTGAATCTGGCTCCCCCCCCCATTGACTTTGCTTCCCAGAAGATCACAAGAGAGGACCACGTGATCCCGGGACACCGCAGCCATCATAAATAGGAATCACTTGCCAAGCATCTGAATGTTGATCCCGGGGATGCTGCAATGATCGTTGAGTGTGAAAAACAGTCAAAAGTCGCTTTTTCCCCCTGTGCCGTTGTAACTCTGAATGGTCACTAAACCAACTGCTGTAAGTTGAGGACTACAAGAGGATGCCTGAATGGAAAGACGGCTGTCTTGAGTGGGAAACGAAACTCGTTTCCCCAACTGGCCAAAGGAAGGCAGGTGAAACAAGGCCCCAAAGAGTGGAAAAAAAATAAATCTTTTCTGGCATCGCTGTGGTGCCACGTTTGCAGCACACGTAACTTCTGGAGTGGCTACCATTGTCTAGCACAACCCACCACAATTAAATGGCAATCTGTTCCGAATTACCCTGTTTTTGTCCTGGAATTTGGGTTGTGTCCAGTTCCAGAACACAGCCTGACAGTCTATTCCTTCTTATATGGAAAGAGGTTCGCTCTTATGTATAAAGAACGATCACGGCAAACCGTGGTTGGGGTCTTTTTAGAACAGGGGTCCCCAACAACCGGTCTGTGGACTGGTACTGGGCCATGGCATGCCAGCAACCGGTCCGCACAAACAAGCAAAGCCCCATCCGTGGGATGCAGGTAGCACACAAAACCACGCACCCTCCAGTCCGTGGAAAAACATCCCTAGTCCCTGGTGCCTAAAAGGTTGGGGACCTCTGTTTAGAATACGATCTCTCTTTGAATCAGTCTGTACCTCTCTGAAGGAACGACAGCCCTTTAGTGGTCTAAAACAGAGGTCTCCAACCTTTTTGGTTTGGCAGCCCGGAAAGAGAGGCAGGCACTGTTATGCGCACATGCGAATGGGCCTCGTGCGAGCGCATGTGCAAACGGAGCAGTGTGAGTGCCACAAATGGGACGGTGCTAGCGTGGTGAGATGTTTGGCATGGGGTAGCACTAGTGCTGTTGGGATGCTTGGTGTAGGGTTGCGCTAGCGCCGAGGGACGCTTGCAGCGGCACTAGTGTGAGTGTGGGGGCGAATGCTCACACACACACACATGTGTACTGGCCATCCCTTCACACAGACCGTTGGCCAAGAGGCCACGGCCCAGTAGTGGGCTGTGGCCCATAGGTTGGGGACCCCTGGTCTAAAAGGAAGCAGAAGAATTTGGGAACTTCTGAACTTCTTAAATATCAAAAATAAATCTTGTCTTCCTGATCTCACGGACACGGATGGGACCCTGGGAGCTCCCAAAATGCAGATTGGAAACATGGACAGATATTCAAGCCAGGCAGGCTGATTTGTCGAGCGGGATCCTCAGTACCAACATGGTGACTGTTTCCTTTCATTTCACTGACTTCAATTCAAGTGTTTTATTTATTGATTTGATTTTGATCCCACCTTTGTTATTTTTATAAGTAACTCAAGGCAGTGAATATACCTAATACTTGATGTCTATGGAGATTCTCTGTCAATCCAAGCCCCGGTTGTCCCAAAAATGCTTTTTTTCAGGAGGCAACTGGACTTTCTTTGTTATTTCCTTAAAGACATTTCGCTTCTCATCCAAGAAGCTTCTTCAACTCTAACGGGATGGTGGGGAATGGAAGGATTTATTTTCCTAGCGGACAGCTGGTCATTTGCACCACTCAGGTGACCCTGAGGACATAGGTAAACCTCCAAGTGGCCTCAACGACTCACTAAAAGAATGCAAAGGACCAGCTGTCTGCAAGAAGTATAAATCCTTCCCTTCCCCACCATGCAGTCAGAGCTGAAGAAGCTTTTTGGAGGAGAAGTGAAACATCTTCAAAGAAAAACAAGAAAGTCCAGTTGCCTCCTGAACAAAGGACCTTTGAGATACCTAGTACTTCCTCCTTCTATTTCCCCCACAACAAAAACCCTGTGAGGTGGGTTTAACTGAGACAGTGACTGGCTCCAAATCACCCAATTGGCTTTTTAAGGTGGGACTAGAACTCACAATGATGGGGAAGAAATGGAGGTAGTGACAGATTTTATTTTTCTGGGCTCCAAGATCACCGCAGATGGGGACTGCAGCCAAGAAATTAAAAGATGCTTGCTCGTGGGGAGGAAAGCTATGGCAAATCTAGACAGCGTACTAAAAAGCAGAGACATCACCCTGCCAACAAAAGTGCGTATAGTCCAGGCCATGGTTTTCCCAGTTGCAATGTAGGGCTGTGAAAGTTGGACCATAAGAAAGGCTGAGCGCAAAAGAATGGAGGCCTTTGAACTATGGTGCTGGAGAAGACTCCTGCGAGTCCCTTGGACTGCAAGGCGATCCAACTGGTCAGTCCTAGAAGAGATCAATCCTGATTGCTCTTTAGAAGGCCAGATCCTGAAGTTGAAACTCAAATACTTTGGCCACCTAATGAGAAGGAAGGACTCACTGGAGAAGGGCCTAATGCTGGGAAAGACGGAGGGCAAGAGAAGAAGGGGACGACAGAGAGTGAGGTGGCTGGATGGAGTCCCTGAAGCAGTAGGTGTGAATTTAAATGGACTCCAGAAGATGGTAGAGGACAGGAAGACCTGGAGGAACATTGTCCATGGGGTCGCGATGGGTCGGACACGACTTCGCAATTAACAACAACAAAGAACTCACAAGTCTCCTGGTTTCTGGCCTGGCATCCTTCACCACACTGAGCATCAAACTGGTTCTCAATTTGTTTTGTCTTGAAATGAAATCCACTGGGCATTTTAGCGATCTGTTCTTTGCTGAATCACCTCTCCCGGGTCCCTCCGAATTAAATCTAGCCCCTCTCCCTTTCTCTCCCGCCTGTCTCTTACCGTCATGTTGTTATAGAGCTGCAGAGAGAAGCCCTGATAGGTGACCTCAATGGCATTCATGCAGTTGACTTTGGGGGCTGAGCTGCAAGCGCCGTTGTGGAGAATCACTTCAACGTCCTCCTCTTTGTCCTCAAACAAGGTGTAGGAACAGTTGCCCGTCAGCTTAAAATCCAGCCCATCAAAAGTGACAATGTGTCTGGTTGAACTTCCCATGCAGGTACCTACAAAGAGGAAGTTGAAAGAGGACCTTAATTATTTGTTACATACCCCATACATACAACAGGGGAACTTCAGCAACAACAACAACAACAACAAAACTAATGATGATGATGATGATGATGATGATGATGATGATGATAGAGTTGGAAGGGACCATGGAGGTCTTCTAGTCCAACCCTCTGCTCAGAAAGGAAACCCTATATCATTTCAGACAAATGGTTGTCCAGTCTCTTCTTAAAAGCTTCCAGTGTTGGAGCATTCACAGCTTCTGGAGGCAGGTTGTTCCACTGGTTGATTGTTCTCACTGTCAAGAAGTTTCTCCTTAGTTCTAGGTTGTTCTCTCCTTGATGAGTTTCCATCCGTTGCTTCTTGTCCTGCCTTCAGGTCCTTTGGGGAATAGCTTGACTCCCTCTTCTATGGGGCAGCCCCCGAGATATTGGAAGACTGCTATCATGTCCCCCCTCGTCCTTCTCTTCGTTAAACTAGACATGCCCAATTCCAGCAACCATTCATTGTAAGTTTTATCCTCCAGTCCCCTAATCATCTTTGTTGTTCTTCTCTGCACTCTTTCTAGAGTCTCGGCATCTTTTTTTGTATTGTGGTGACCAAACCTGGATGCCGTATTCCAAGTGTGGCCTTACCAAGGCGTTGTAAAGCGGTATTAACACTTCACGTGATCTTGATTCTATCCCTCTGTTGATGACACTTAAGATTGCATTGGCTTTTTTTTGGCAGCTGCAGCACACATTTTGGGGGGCTTGACTAGCTGATGCTTTCTCCAGTCAAAATTCCTGCTTTGAACCTTTCACCCTAGACACAACTATTCAGTTGCTGGTTGACTACTCCTGGTTATCTCCCAGCTCAACCAGCATCTTGTCATCAGGCATGGGAGCAAAAAATCCTTGACCCGATAACATCTAAGCTTCACCTCTCTAACTACCCTCCATGTGGCTGGATGGGTGAAATAGATCATTTCATCACTTGTCTGAAATGATATAGGTTCTCCTGCTTGAGCAGGGGGCTGGACTAGAAGACCTCCGAGGTCCCTTCCAGCTCTATTCTATTCTGATTCTGACTTAAGAGATCAGCAAGCTATGCTGGGCCACCACTTGCCAACTGCTGTTCTGTTCCATTCGTCTCTGTGCAGGATCCTGCAGGATTCTGTTGTAGGATTTGTTGAAATGTGGGAATATCTTTTAATGTCAGCAGCCTCAAATGGTGGCTTCTCACAACGTTCTCTGCATTTTACTGGGAAGATGGTCCTTCCACTGGCAGTGGGAAGACTATTTATCCACATGTAGCCCGCCGCAAATTTTAGAAAAAAACACATCTGCCCTCAGTGAGAAAAGGAATGTGTCTTCAATTAAGCGTTTACTTTGTGCTATTTCTCTTCATGAAAGTTGCCTAAGAAACACACCCTTAGAGGCAGAAGATAATTTACTTTCAGAAAAGTAACCTTAAAGTAAACTTGGAGTTCCTTAAATTTAGAAATGAAATGCCCTATTTGGTTCAACCAAACAGTGTAAATTTTTTCGCCGAGGGCTGAGTGACATCTCAAGAGCCCTTCTACAACATCCTTTCTGCATCTACCACACCTCTGAAGGCAAATTCAATTTAAGCAAAGTTTAAATGTTAAAAAACAACAACAACAGAGTATTAAAACTTCTAACATTAACATTTGCAGACCCAAGGAAAACTATAACAGAAATACAAATCCTGGTTATCAAAACCCAGTGGTGTTCAGTTTTATTTATATCCTTGACAGCGTGCAAAAAAAGGTGTCTATAACCTTGAAAGCAACTTATTCATACGACTTTTGTCTTGTTTCTGTGTCAATTAATACAGAGGTCCCCAGCCTTTTGGGCACCAGGTATCAGACCTGGAGAAAGGTTTTTCCACGGACCGGAGAGTGCGTGGTTTTGTGTGCTGCCTGCATCCCACGAATGGGGCTTTGCTTGTTTGTGCGGACCAGTTGCTGGCATGCCGTGGCCCAGTATCATGGAACAGGGGTTGGGGACCCCTGAATTAATACAAATCACATCCTTGGCAGTAAATCATTTGATTGTGAAGCCTGTATGTTAAGGACTGTTGCTCCGGGTGGCGGTTTTGTCACATAATTCTTTGTTTTCCAAAGCAGCCAAGTTCCTTGTATTCCATTCTGTGCTCCACGTGGTGGCCAGAAGGCACTCCATATTTGTCCCCTTGTACTAATTCACAAACTCTGCATTTGCATATAAAGAGCAGATGTGGCGGCTGAAACTTGCAATCCTGCTCTCTAATTGGGAGAAATCCATCTGTTGAGGCAGTTGGATCCCAGAACGTAGTGGCAGATCCCCAGGCAAAAACCTTGAAGACCTTTCAGCATTTGGAAAGATTTACGGAATCCTGAGGTTCTCCCACAGCAGAATGAAAATCTGAAGAGGTTCCAGTCAGGTGTGAAAGAGCAGGACCCCAGGTGAAGGGTCAGTTAAAATTGATTTATTGCTAAGCAGCCTAACTATCTTCTCAACTAATGGTTAGCATCTGGTTAGAGTTAGATAAGGGTCAGCAGCATTCAGGAGGAGCTGGACTGAGTTTGCTTGTGACTACATAGAGATTCCAGACTGATACCTCTTTTAACTCTCCCTCTGGTTCTGTTAGTTCTTCCCTACAGGTTCTGGGTCGGTGATGTCTCCAGAGCATGCTAGGGGCTGTGACACATGTGCATTGAAGTTCAGAAATGTACTAGAACATTACTTAGCTGTTTGCAGTGAGCTTTGAATCCAAATACACAAGGAAGACGACATTACAACAATTCCGCATTCCGTTGCCTCTTTTTCATACATGAGCGTATTCCCTCTCCTTTCCTTCCCCCCAAACCACACTGCCAGATTGTCCCTCTATTTTGAATTGGTGGTGACAACTACTCACATGGACACACCCAACGGCAGCTGCACATTTCCTCCACTTTAACAGCAGGGAAATTGTTGTGACATGTTGGCTTGGCCATCTTCTCACAGAGATGTCGGTGGCTTTCCAGTTCTGTGTGGCCACTGGGTAAGCACTTCACACTATAGCACGGATCCAGCAACTGCCACTTGTCACCAGGCTGCACAAAAGAACACACACTCAAGTTAAAACAGGAGTTCAGTGGGCACCAAACTGTGATTTATAATCTAAAAGCAGGGGCGCCCAACCTTAGCAACTTGAAGGTCTGTGGACTTCAACTCCCAGAATTCCTTAGGCAGCCATGCAGGCTGGCTGGGGAATTCTGGGAATTGAAGTCCACCAGTCTTCAAGTTGCTAAGGTTGGACACCCTTCATCTGAACATACATGGGAGAAGACATTAATTAAAGCCAGTAACAAAATCCAGCGTATTTTGCCTGGAAAAGATTAATGGTGTGGAATTGCTTTCCTTAAATTTGGGTGGTATCCTAACGTCTAGACTTTCATTCCCAGCCAGCATGGCTATTGCTGAGAATTCTAGCAGTCTACGCAATTGGAAGAGTTCCAAATTGGGGAAAATTGGAATTCTGGACCTAAATCAGATCATTCCTTCTCCATGGAATCCATAGGATTTGATTTTTGACTTTGATTCATTACGTGCTAGGTTCCTAAACAATGACCGTGTGGAATCAGTTTGATGGGCAAGAACAATGCTCAGCATTACACTGGTTAGCATACTTTTCATGTATTTCTAAAAAGTAATGATGTAAGAAAACTTTTCTCAACGCTGGAAAAGAAAAACTGACGTTAGCGATCAGGAACACAAAGCTATTTAAGCGCTTCTAGCAGAAAATCTTGAGCTACGCCAGAAGGGAACACTGCTAATCCAGATCGATAATAATAATGATGATGATGATGATGATGATGATGATAAAGTTGGAAGGGACCCTGGATGTCATCTAGTCCAACCCCCTGCTCAGGCAGGAAACCCTATACCATTTCAGACAAATGGCCGTCCAGTCTCTTCTTAAAAACCTCCAGTGTTGGAGCATTCACCGCTTCTGGAGGCAGGTTGTTCCACTGGTTAATTGTTGTAACTGTCAGGAAGTTTCTCCTTAGTTCTAGGTTGCTACTCTCCTTGATCAGTTTCCATCCATTGCTTCTTGTCCTGCCTTCTGGTGCTTTGGATAATAGCTTGACTCCCTCTTCTTTGGGGCAGCCCCTGAGATACTGGAAGGCTGCTATCATGTTCCCCCTGGTCCTTCTCTTCATGAAACTAGACATCCCCAATTCCAGCAACCGTTCTTCATATATTTTAGCCTCCAGTCCCCTATTCATCTTTGTTGCTCTTCTCTGCACTCTTTCTAGAGTCTCAACATCTTTTTTACATCATGGTGACCAAAACTGGATGCAGTGTTCCAAGTGTGGCCTGACCAAGGCCTTGTAAAGTGGTATTAACCACCTAATCTTGATTCTATCCCTCTGTTAATGCAGCCTAGCACTATGTTGGCTTTTTTTGGCAGCTGCAGCACACGTGCAGTCAAGTGCAAAATAAGAACCCCCTGACTGCCCACCCAAACATCCTGAAGAAAATTATATTGGTGCATTTTTCAGTAATGAAAGTGGCTCGGCTGCTCTTGGCAGAGGTGGAAGAATTTAGCTCCATGAATTCCTGCTGGAAATAAAGGAACAAAAGAGGTTCAACGCATGATCTTGGCAGAAGAGGTTCTGGGCTGCTTTCCTTGGCGCACGCTCTGTTTATGAGATGCCAAATCATTTAAGCTCTTTATAGGAGAAAATGGGCAAATTGGTCTACGAAAAAAGAAAGGCGAAAACGTCTTGAATGAGCCAAGGACTCCAGAATCCAACAAAAGGAACAGCCTTTGATATAAGGCAAGTCTTCCCCCTACAGACAGAAAGTCACAAACACAGTCATGGTGACCGTCCACTTCAACTTCATCACGTCCGGGAAGGACTGAGGCGGGCGACCCCGCAGGAGTGCAGGATGGTGGAGGCATCTTCAGCTTCAGAAATATCTGCACCTTGATTTCAACTAGACAATCAACCAGCCCAAAGGAGAAGAAGACTCCAGCTCTTTTCCACCAGCAGTCAGCACTCAGATTAGCATAGATTAACTCCAAGGTCACCTTCGGACCAACAGTCAAGTAAGCAAGACCCCAATCAAGAAACTGACAAAGAGCCATCAGGAAGCAGCCCAACCAAAGAATCCCTAAGACCCCCACCCACACACAAACAGACAGGGAAGACATCAGGATATAAACCAATAGCAAACAACACTCCTTACTGGCACTGATGATGTTGCCTAGTTGGGTAATGAAACGTCTGCAAGAAAACAAGCTAGCTCAGAGAGCACCCAGGACCCCACAGTTCTCCTCCTCCATCATTCCACAAACCCTACTCCCTTCTAGCACTGATGATGTTACCTAATTGGGTAATGAAACATCTGCAAGAAAACAAGCTAGCTCAGAGAGCACCAAGGACTTTACAATTATCCTTCTCCTCCTCCTCCTCCTCCTCCTCCTCCTCCTCCTCCTCCTCCTCCTCCTCTTCCTCCATCATTCCACAAACCCTACTCCCTTCTAGCACTGATGATGTTACCTAATTGGGTAATGAAACGTCTGCAAGAAAACAAGAAAGCTCAGAGAGCACCAAGAATCCCACAGTCCTCCTCCTCCGCCTCCACCTCCTCCTCCACCCCCACTACCCCCACCCCCACGATTCCAAAATCCCTACTCCCTTCTAGCACTGATGATGTTACCTAGTTGGGTAATGAAATGTCTGCAAGAAAACAAGCAAGCTCAGAGAGCACCAGGGACCCTCACCTTGATTTCCCGCCCAAACCAGTCCCCTCCAATTCTGTGAATGGGCCATCCATAACAGGCAATTTATCTCAAACTCACAGGATATATGAATGATATACTTACTACTCGGATATTCCCCTCTTCGTCTATACACTCCTTAGCAGTCTCTGAAAAGTAAGTAATCCAAAGAGATTTGCAAGGCGTAACCATAAAATTTGAGATAAAAATCGTACTGAAACAGGTATACATACATACATACATACATACATACATACATACATACATACATACATACATATATACACCCCTCTTCCTTAGGGGAACCCCTGAACTGCTCTTTGGGTGATCTTTTTTTAAAATGAATATTCATATTCAGAAGCCAGTCTCTTATTGGTAAGGATAGTATTTGCTTCCACTATAAAGAGGATAATTATCCATCTGCAAATAATTAGGGTACGATTACTAAGACTTAATATATTCCTATAACGCCTTTGTCATCTTTTAAGCCTGTGTCAACATTCACATTGAACAATTCATTAATGAACTGAGAATTCCCATCTGGGTACCACATCCTGGGTCACAGTTTTTGATTTCTTTTAATAAGAGTCCATTGCCTTCATTTTCTGCACGGGGGATAATTTTAAGCAGAAGATTGTGAGGTGCTAATTTGCTCGGAGACATGTGCTGTCATCTCAAGTACGAAAACGGGGCTTCCATTGGAAACGGCATAAGAAACCAAAGATATAATAGCTTTACTTTTTTTTAAAAAAAAAAACAAGTCTTAACGTGTGTGTGGGCTTATCTAGAGTGTGGTGTGATTGGGGGGGGGGGTTACCTGTACAAAGTTTCTTCATAAATTCAACACCCAGCGTGACCATTGTAGAAAGATCTTCAAAATGTTGCAGTGTAATGATCTTGTCTTTGGCAGATGGCCCCACTAAAGATTTCAGTTGTTCCACATTATATTTGGTGCCAACGCCAATGGGAAGCAGCGTAACTCCTGGGAAAAACAGTACAGATTGAAATCCACCTTAATTCAGTTTGAACTTCAATACAAGGGTTAAAAAAACAACAACAGTTTGGTTAAAAACCAGTCTTTGCACAATAATGATAATTATTTCCATTCTCTGGAAGAATCCTGGCAAAGTATATTCACAGAATATTGGGAAGGGAAAACACACCGCTTTACTGTAAAGGTCCTATTCTCATTTTACAAAGAATCAATGCCATTAAAAGAATCCTAAATTGATATGTAAACCAGTGTGGGTTGAACACTGTCGGTTCCTGAAAAGCTTTGCACAATCAAGAGCTGATTGCAAATGCTTTTTTTTTTCCTGTTGAGGCTCTGTGTAACAATAATAATTAGGTCAGTCAAGAATTCAGCCTCAACTCATCACCGCTTTAAAATGGAAACAGACAGTAGTTTTTGTAAGAAGCTGAAATAGCCCTAAAATGCTTCATGATGCTCCCACCTTAATTTAATTACATCTACCCAAGTGCAAAGAATCAAGTGAGGAAAACCATATAATTTGAGATCCGTGTCTATTATCTGATTAGGCGTTTGCCCCTTTTATGTCTTCAGCTGCTCTCAGAAGCTACATTTATCATATCAAATGAATAATATAATTTCACAATTTATTAGAATAGAATAGAATAGAATAGAATAGATTAGAATAGAAAAGAAAAGAATAGAAAATAGAGAACGGAATGGAATAGAAAATAGAGAATAGAATAGAATAGAATAGAATAGAATAGAATAGAATAGAATGGAATGGAATGGAATGGAATAGAAAATAGAGAACAGAATAGAATGGAATGGAATGGAATGGAATGGAATGGAATGGAATGGAATAGAAAATAGAGAACAGAATAGAATAGAGTAGAGTAGAATAGAATAGAATAGAATGGAATGGAATGGAATAGAATGGAATGGAAAATAGAGAAGAGAATAGAATAGAATAGAATAGAATAGAATAGAATAGAATAGAATAGAATAGAATAGGAATGGAATGGAATAGAATGGAATGGAAAATAGAGAATAGAATAGAATAGAATAGAATAGAATAGAATAGAATAGAATAGAATAGAATAGAATAGAATAGAAAATAATGGAATGGAATGGGATGGAATGGATGGAATGGAAAATAGAGAATAGAATGGAATGGAATGGAAAATAGAGAATAGAATAGAATAGAATAGAATAGAATAGAATAGAATAGAATAGAATAGAATAGAATAGGAATGGAATGGAATGGAATGGAATGGAATAGAATGGAATGGAAAATAGAGAATAGAATGGAGAATAGAATAGAATAGAATAGAATAGAATAGAATAGAATAGAATAGAATAGAATAGAATAGAATAAATGGAATGGAATGGGAATGGAATGGAATGGAAAATAGAGAATAGAATAGAATAGAATAGAATAGAATAGAATAGAATAGAATAGAATAGAATAGAGAATGGAATGATGGAATAGAATGGAAAATAGAGAATAGAATGGAATGGAATGGAAAATAGAGAATAGAATAGAATAGAATAGAATAGAATAGAATAGAATAGAATAGAATAGAATAGAATAGAATAGAATAGAATGGAATCGAATAGAGTGGAGTGGAGTGGAGTGGAATGGAGTAGAGTAGAGTGGAATGGAATGGAATAGAACAACAGTTGGAAGGGACCTTGGAGGTCTTCTAGTCCAACCCCCTGCTTAGGCAGGAAACCCTATACCATTTCAGACAAATTTCACCCTTAAAAGAAAACTGGCTTATGGACCAAAGCAGGATTTCCAATACGCCACCAACTTTGGATCCACGTTTGTTCAGCCAATAGTCATAGCCACATTTACTTTGACCAGAGCTTGTTTTCATGTCCTGTAACTACACAGAGATTATGGAACTCCCCAGTTTGTCAGCAAGAGCATTGAACAGGGTTACTATCAGGTTTTCCTTTTTCAGTCGGCTCTAAAAACCTCCGATTACCTTTAACAACACAACCTGCAGAGGTAACCCTATCTGAAGATTTATACTGGGAGCCACAAGTAGATGCTGAGGTCATGGCCAGGCTACATGTTACACTACCGCCACCTGTAAATTATGCACGGTGACCTTGTCTCTCTTGCACGGCAACTGCAGAGGTCTGGATTTTGTACAGCATTACACAGGAGAAAAGAATCAGTTTTTTTCTTTTCACCTTCAACCACCTGGCTCTCTGTGTTCCCCAAAGGAATTCAGGGTCACTTAACTGCTGCAGGCTGTCTTCCTGGATGCAACGCACAGAACACAAAGTGGCAAAGCCAATACATGACTCTCACGAGCCCGAGAAAGAGACTTTTGCATAAAATGTTAAGCATCTCCTCTGTTCTGTCCCAGCCTACGTGAGTACCTTGGAGAAACCCCTCTTCCAACAAGCAGGCAGGAACCACAAGAAAAACCAATCCCCTTTTATTATTCACAGACCTGAGTCAACTGAACACAGTTCACAGAAACTCGATCCTCACAGCACGAACGGCTGTCTTCGGCCACCAGCACCTCCCACACCTTCCCTTTTATTATGCAGCCCACAGTGTGGCTTCCTAATGCCTTTTCCTTTGCCTTTGGAGCCGCCCCATTGCATCCCTCTGTCCTACTCGCTTCTCTTACCCGCACGTACATGCATCCTGGATATCTCCCAGCTGTGTTGACTGGTCGCCCAGAAAGTGATGTAAAATAGTAATGTTAAGTGAACAAGGCTACAGTTATAAAGAAATTAGAAGAAAAAGTGGTGAAAACTTAACCCAAAGGTGGCATTTCTACTGTACGCTTTTCCCAAAAGGTTTCCACCATTTTAGCCACCACTGTATAGAGCAGGGCATATATACTTCAGCAGAAAAAGGACAGGGGCACTTCACATCCCACAAGCTGGAGGTCCGTTTCCAAAAATATAGAAGAGTAGAAAAGGAATGGCAAAATAACAAACATACTGTTGGCTCTTGCGGAAAAGACAGCAGCTTCCACAGCGTCCTTTGAGGTGCCTGCCACAATAATCACAGCCGTTTTGGATGCATTGGGTCGTCCTCCGTTGGCTTCAGAAATGACATGCTGAACCACGAAGTCTATGGCATCCCCTGAAAATAATCACCGGACAATCGCAGCTTGTGAGCAGAGCAAAGGACAAGGAAAGATCAAGCAGATCAGAAAATCTTATAATTCAAAGCTGGGATTCTTTGCCCCAAGTTCTGAGCTGCTTAGAATAAGATCACTCTGCTTTCAGTAACTGCTCGTAAAGTCATTGAATCTTGAGCAAAGTAGGCTAATATTATGGAGAGGTTTTGTGTTGAAAACACAAGATGGCTCTTAATGGAACCTCTTAAATAGACTAAAATTCCAGATTTTTCTCCCTGCTACTGTTACATTAACTTCAGTTTGCGAGGTTTTCTAAAACCAATGTTAAATACATTACTGTATCAATACAACTTAAATGTATTGGGTGGAATTGGGTCTGTCTAGTTTAATGAAAAGAAGGACCAGGAGTGATGTGATATCAGTCTTCCAAACTCTCAAGGGCTGCCCCAAAGAAGAGGGAGTCAAGTATTCTACAAAGCCCCTGAAGGCAGGACAAGAAGCAACGGATGGAAATTCACCAAGGAGAGAAGCAACCTGGAACTAAGGAGGAATTTCCCGACAGTGAGAACAATTAATCAGTGGAACAACTTGCCACCAGAAGGAATGTTCCAACACTGGAAATTTTAAAGAAGAGATTGGACAACCATTTATTTGAAATGGTATAGGGCTTCCTGCCTGAGCACGGGGTTTGGACTAGAAGACCTCTAAGGTCCCTTCCAACTCTGCTATTCTATTCTATTCTATTCTATTCTATTCTATTCTATTCTATTCTATTCTATTCTATTCTAGTGTAGTCTAGTCTAGGCTAGGCTAGTCTAGTCTAGGCTAGGCTAGGCTAGGCTAGGCTAGGCTAGGCTAGGCTAGGCTATTCCCATTCCTCTTCTCTTCTCTTCTCTTCTCTTCTCTTCTCTTCTCTTCTCTTCTCTTCTCTTCTCTTCTCTTCTCCTCTCCCTTCTCCTTCTCCTTCTATTCTAGTCTATTCTAGTCTATTCTAGTCTAGTCTAGTCTATTCCCATTCCTCTTCTCTTCTCTTCTCTTCTCTTCTCTTCTCTTCTTCTCTTCTCCTCTCCATTCTCATTCTCCTTCTCCTTCTATTCTATTCTATTCTATTCTTCATTCCTCTATTCTATTCTATTCTATTCTATTCTATTCTATTCTATTCTATTCTATTCTATTCTATTCTATTCTATTCTATTCTATTCCATTCTAAATAAATACAAGAAAACCATCATTAGTTCAACAAACTTTCTTAGAATTGATTAAAGCAAAACCTTTGCAATACCTAGTCTGCTTGGGCCTTTCTCTCTTTGATGAATGGAGTCCACCTTTTTCAGAAGATTTGTTTCTTCCTGGAGTTCATTCCATGAAATCTCCAGAGAGTTCACTTTTCCATATTGAAGTACCGCAACTTGAGTCCAAGAATGACCTGGAGAGGAACCCAAAAGATTCAGGGAAGGAAATAGATCAATTAAAAAGACTGAATTATGAAAACAGGATACATGGCGAACTCATAAGATTTTTATAAAAACAACACGAGTGGATAAAAAAAACTGTCATACATGAACGTTATTATTATTTGTACAGACATGAAAAAATATTTATATTTAACCATTTATGTATTGAAAATATTAGAATTATGTTTCTTTAAGGTTGAAGGAGGAGAATACTATTGGGAGGAGGGAAGATCAAAGGAGTAGACTATAAATTAACGTACCAATTATGGAAGTACAAAAATTAATTATTATTGACTGTTAATTAACTACTATTGATTGGGGTTTTTTTTTTCAAAATTTATGAACCAAGACAATACGCTGTACACTAGGTACTAAGGATTGTTATTGTAAAAAAAAATCAATAAAACATTTCTAAAAAAAAAAAAAAAAAAGAACAGGGGGGACATGATAGCAGTGTTCCAATATCTCAGGGGCTGCCCCAAAGAAGAGGGAGTCAAGCTATTCTCCAAAGCACCCGAAGGCAGGACAAGAAGCAACCGGTGGAAACTAACCAAGGAGAGAAGCAGCCTGGAACTAAGGAGAAACTTCCTGACAGTTAGAACAATTAACCAGTGGAACAGCCTGCCTCCAGAAGCAGTAAATGCTCCAACACTGGAAGTTTTTAAGAAGAGACTGGACAGCCATTTGTCCGAAATGGTGTAGGGTTTCCTGCCTGAGCAGGGGGTTGGACTAGATGACCTCCAAGGTCCCTTCCAACTTTGTCATTGTTATTATTATTTATGCTTGCTCAGCTACCCACTGACAATACAAATTATATTAGTTTTATGACTGCAGGTTTTGTAAATGATGCAGTGAAAGTTGGATGACCTTGTGTTTGGTTTCTTTACCATTTTTCCCACCCACCCCCCACTCTGGAGACACATATCAAGACATTTTTATTTATTTTTTAATAAAAAAGAGAAGTTGCACCTTTCTATTTGTTAATCAACAAAAAAGCTTTCTGTTGTAGCGGCTTGAAGATTAGCAAACTCATACCTGCAGAAAAATTGTTCGCTTTCCAAAAGCTTTTAATGTTAGCAAATAAATTATTCCTCCAAGTGGCTGTATGTGTTTCTCTGTTTTGTTGCATCAAAATAAGACAGCTACACAGCTGAGATTTGTGGTTAATCCAATTGATCCTAAGAGTCAGTGCAAAAGGATCTGTTCTCTGCTTAGCCACTTCATCAGATTACCGAATAAGGAAGGTGTAACTTTCAGTTCCAAGGAACTGTCAACCTCTGGCACGGAAATAATTTTAGTGTGGCAGAAAGACCATAAGCAGCAGAAGTTACTCTGAAGAGCAAGGCCCTTGTTATAGCAGTAGCAATAGCATTTAGACTTATATACTGCTTCACAATGCTTTACAGCCTTCTCTAAGTGGTTTACAGACTCAGCATATTGTCCCCAACAATCCGGGTGCTCATTTTACCAACCTTGCAAGGATGGAAGGCTGAGTCAACCTTGAGCCAGTCAGGATTGAACTGCTGGCAGTGAGCAGAATTAGTTTGCAATGCTGCATTCTAACCACTGTGCTACCACAGCTTAGATAGCAATAGCACTTACACTTATATACCGCTTCACAGTGCTTTACAGCCCTCTCTAAGCGGTTTACAGAGTCAGCATATTGTCCATAACAATCTGGGTCCTCATTTTACTGACTTCGGAAGGATGGAAGGCTGAGTCAACCTTGAGCCAGTGAGAATCAAACTCCTGGCAGTGGGCAGAGTTAGCCTGCAATCCAGCATTCTGACCACTGAGTCCCTAAGGCTTAGATAGCAATAGCAATAGCACTTAGTCTTATATACCACTTCACAGTGCTTTACAGCCCTCTCAAAGCAGTTTACAGAGTCAGTCTATTGCCCCCAACAATCTGGGTCCTCATTTGACTGACCTTGGTAGGACAGAAGGTTGAGTCAACCTTGAGCCAATCAGGATCGAACTCCTGACTATGGGCAGAGTTTGCCTGCAGTACTGCATTCTCACCACTGCACCACCAGGTAGATGAGGTAGATTCCTATGCTAATGTTCACAACGCTCCATGGAGACAAATCAATGTTCCTTTTAAGAAGACTTTATGGGTTTATTTTAAAGCCTTCTTCTTGTAGACAACAAATTCAGAACATCCTGAAGTCTCCCGTGAGGTAATTACTCACCCACATCGGCGTGTTCAATAAATGCTTTCACAAAACGTTTCATTTCCTCAAACTGAGCTTCTTCAACGTCTGAGGTCCCATCCAGGAGAAATATCACGTCCATGGGCTTGGTGCAAATTTCTGAGGAAGATTTTAAATCAATACATCATCAAGGTTTCTATACTAAACTGGCAGGTAGCATAACTTCACCAAAAACAACTCAAGAGGACAAATAGAAAGTTAGAGAAACAATAAAGTTATACATCATATGCGTGTGCAATTGCAGTCATCAGAAAGAGTGCTAATGACAGATGACTGCAAGAAAAAAAAACAGTTGTCTCTTGAAAAAACACCTTTGAGACAACCATTTAGCTTCTGTTCCCAACTTTAAAAACAACAAGAAGCTTGTATGAGAAAAAAAAGAGACTTAAATGCTTAAGTGTAATTTTGAGAAAATCTGAACCAGTAAGAATGCTTCGAACATTGTGGGGGAAAACAAATTTAAATAAGAATTTTGTAAACAGGATCTATGACGAGGCAATCAAGATGATCAATTAGAAAAGACATTTTATACTGATATGGTTATGATTGGCAGAAACATGAGGAAAAATGTCTACATTCAATTGTCATTTATTCAAATAATAAGAAACATACTAATTTAAGGTTGGCAAAAGAGAATAGTATTGGAAGAAGAGAAAACCAAGCAAAGCCATTATATGAACTATAGAATTATAGAAATTAATTGTTATTGTTTTGTAAATACTAACCCAGACAACACGCTGTTTACCAAATATTGTGATTGTGTTAAAAAAATCAATAAAACATATTTTTTTAAAAAAAAATAATAAAAACAACAACAATAAATAAAGCAGACATTACCGTTCTTGGAGCAGCAGGTTCTGAGGACCAAGTCAGGCCCTTCTTGGATGAGATCGTTGAAGCCTTCTATGATAATAGGAGCCTGTGATTGACTTAATTCTTCGAGTTCCTGGATGTCTACACTAGGCCTTATGCCAATCGGAATAATATGGACATCACTGGGAGGACGAACGATGGTATCCGTAGAGGGATTTGCAGTAACCATGTAAACCAAGTGGGGCACCTGCTCAGTTCTTCTGTTGGTGGTAAACGACTGCTCAGAGACGAAGTTGAGCGCCTGTCCAGTGTTGGTTGCGTTGCCTCCCTGGAATTTCATCTCCCGCAATTTCTTAATCAGGAGTTCCTTAGACTGGCGTTCCCTGAAAGAATGTTCCACGGTGATGGTGAAGGAATACTGTAGGATGCTAACGTGAATGGTCTTTTCTCCTACTTCCAACTCCTGGATGGTACGGATAAGAAACTCTTTGATGGTGTCGAAATTGTTCTTGCCGACTTTGCCGGACCCTTCAATTAAAAAGACGATGTCCATGATCTTCTCAACAGAGATAGAAACCTGTGTTGACGGTACCTCTGTCAAACTGGGATGGTAGGTCCCCGTATGCACACTGGGTAGAGTTGGGATGGGGCGTCGGGTGGAAAGAACCACACTGACTTCAGGCACAAGGCCACAGAAGTAGTCAATTATTTCATCCATGCGTTGCCTTAACTCAAGCACGCTGTTCATCAGGAAGGCTCTGTTTTCTGGCGACTGCCGTTCTAGTAGTGAAATTTGTTCTTTGCTCACGTGGGGTCCAAGGCCTACTGGTATCACAGTTATTTTCTTTTTTTTCAAAATCGGGAAGATCCCCTGGATTCTCTTGGGGTCCTTGCTTGCCATAAATATCATGGCGATTCGGGCCGCGTTTGTGCGCGGCGCCTTGCCGAATACATGGAACACAACATATTTGAGCACCTCGGTGGCAGAGGCTACATTCCCGCCTGTGTATTTTATATTTTGCACAATCCTCTTCATTCTTTTTGACTTCTTAATGTCCTTCAGACCAAGGTAAATGTGTGAACCGGTGCGGTACTCCAGGACGGCCAGGCGAATCCTTTTTTGGGAGATGTGGAGTTTTTCCATCATGTTAATGGTGAAGTTTTTCAACTCTTCAAAATCACTCTCGGAAAGCTTATTGGAACCGTCCATTAAGATGGCCAGATCCATCATTTTGCTACAGGAATATTCACGTGTGGTATCTTCTTCTTCTTCTCCTTCTTCTTCCTCCATTTCATCTGCCTCTTTTTTATCTGGACTAACAGTGGTCAGGAATTTGCCAGCCTCTTCCAGACCACAAGGACGGCACGTCAGGTTTCGTACTTCGCAATGGCTAACAAAGTAGGAAAAAATGAATGGTTAAAATCTCATTTCAACCTCTGTGTTATATGTGGATTAAATATGAGATGACTAGGCTGAGCCTGAAGGAGGAGTCAAATATGTCATTAGTCTTGAGTCTCTTTGTGCCCACAGGAGCTCTCAGTCCATTGACTGAATTCCATTGACTCTTATCTACCTCCAATTTACTTTAACCGTAAGTAGTTCAGATTCTTGTAGAGAGCAATAAACCTATATTCAATAAACCTATATATATTTGAGCTGCTGGACTCCCAATTTCTTGCCCTTGACATTAAATGTTTTTTTAAAATGTTTCTTTGCATTTCATAATTCTATCCATTTTAGAATAAATAAAAAGGAGTCCCTGCAGATTTTACTCCGCTGATCGTTGCTGACTATAGGGGGCGGTACTCCTCTCGTTTTCAAGGCCACTGTCCAAAGACATTTCTGCAGCCATGTGGCTAGCATGACATCATGGAGTGCTCTTACCCCCACACTGAAGTGGTACCTATTTATCTACTCGGATTTGCATGTTTTCAAACTGCTAAATTGGCAAGAGCTGAGGCAAGGATGGGAACTCACCCATTGCATAGTGCTTGGGTCTCAAATCTGGGCTGCCAGTTTTCTATCCAGCAAGCCCAGCATCTTAACCCCTAATCCACTGCAACCCCTCTCCCCTTTAGAATAAATATAATTCTGAGGTAGTTATGTGTACTTCCAAATTGTGGGCCAGTATTTGAAACAAGCAAATGGCTGGATATTTTTCACTCCGTGGAACAAAATGGATCAATCTGAATGTCATAATTTGACTTCTTTTTTTTTGAGACAGTGACTTCAGTGGACAACAGAGATGGACAAAAATGTATAGATAGGTAATGCCTGGAAGGGAAAAATGGAGTTCAAATAAGCAGCCTGTCACCAGTTTCCTAAAGTATTTTTTTTTCAAGAAAGATCATGAGGCTTGTCTTCTCCCTAGAGAAGAAGTATTGAAGTTATTGAATTGACTTCAGACTACAAATTGCTAATGGTGGTTTGACTTAGCTATTTTTTTTTTAAAAAAAATCCTGCTTCATGGGAAAAGAGCGTATTATTCGCTTTAAACATAAACTCCATTTTTTAAAAAATTGAAAAACTTTCTATACTCAAAAAATTGCTAATTGTTCTGGTGTCAATGCTGCTAACATCGGATGTTTTTGCACTGACAACAGATGGAAATGTAGCCATCTTTTACCTTTTGCTTTTAGAGTTAGATGATGCTGGGAGGGAGGATGTGAACGAGAGTTCAGCTGTATATAACATCACTAAACCTAGCGTGAGAATCAAGGTTATTGTAACCAGAGCTGATAAGGAATTCGCGGGCTGGAGAGCTGGAGAGGAAGCCCGCATTTCAAGCTAATTGGGGAATGTGATTTATGACTGTTAATTGGAGGAGGGAATTGTGCTTTGATACTATGTGCTTGGGGGGGGGGGGGAATTCAGTTTTTGGTTCCGATTATGCAGTGCCAATATTATGCTACTCAGAATAAAGATTCTTTAAGGTAAACAATGCCTCGAAGTTCTTTTGAAGAGTTTCATCTGTCGGAACCATGATATGAATTGACTTCAGACTACAAATTACTAACAGTGGTTTGACTTAGCTATTTTTTTTAAAAAAAAACCCTGCTTCATGGGAAAAGAGTGTATTATTTGCTTTAAACATAAACTCCCATTTTAAAAAAACTTTCTATACTCAAAAAATGCTAATTGTTCTGGTTTCGGCCAGTACCACCACAGAGTATGCTCTTGGGAGTAGCTTTGGTTTTGTAAAGTGTGATTAACTCCAGGACTGTTGCAGACTAATGCAACTGATCCCCTTAGAAAACTTTGCTAAAACCTTAACCATATACTCCTGCTAAAATCCAGAGCTATGGAGAATACGTGGAATATAATCTACATTTCTTTTCTGCCCTAATTCCTCCTGTTCCCCTCCCTTAAATTCCACCGAGTTCTCTATTTTACCAGGATTGGCAGAGCTGAGAATTCTCCGAGTTCAAAATGATCTTCTTCCCATCAGCAATTCTGCGACCTTCTATTTCACACACCGGACATTCTTCAAGTTTGATGCAAGACTCAGAAAGCTCATCGAGAATTTTTCCTGTTTTACAAAATTGTTGGAGAAGGAGTTTAATTTCTTTTTTAAAAATGCAACAATATACCTTGTCCCAAAGGTGCTTTTTTCACGAGGCAACTGGAGTACTCTCGTTTTTCTTTGAAGACGTTTTGCTTCTTATCCAAGGAACTTCGTCTCTGACTGAATGGTGGGGAGTGGAAGAATTTATATTCCTTCAATCATTTATAAACCTCCAAGTGGCCTCAATGACTCTCTAAAAGGAGGCAAAGGACCAGCTGTCTGCAAGGAGTATCAATCCTTCCATTCCCCACCATCCAGTCAGAGCTGAAGAAGCCTCTGGGATGAGAAGCGAAATGTCTTCAAAGAGGAACTTCATGGGGTAGAGTTGAGCCTTCTAACCACGCAACCACATTTCCCAAATCTGAATTATGTTGTAACCCCAACCAGCCATGACTGAATGTCATTACTGATCAAAGGACACCTGGAAAACCCCTAACTTGCTTCTCCCTACTTTACAGGAGAGAAAACTATCCTATTATTTAAGTAAGAGTGGAACTCCAAGTAAAGTCCTCTTGACCAGACGTTACGCATGGAGTGGAGATGCTTACCTGCGGGACAGTGGGGATGACATCCTTCAACACACTTGACAGGACATGAAATTGGATCCATGTGCTGGCACGTCCTTGGACAGGCCGGGCCACAGCTGTTGTATCGCCATTCACATTGATATTCTTCCTCCACTTTGTTCATACTTTCACAACTTTGTGCTACAAAGCATCAAATAAAAAATGATGGGAATCTTGTGCCATGTAATCATTCCATATTTTTTAAAAATGAACATCTGCAGATGAGGGGTCCTTGGTGCTCTCTGAGCTTGGCTGTTTTCTTGCAGATGTTTCATTACCCAGCGCAAGGAATTTTTTTTCTATACTTCATATATATTAATTTTCTGCAATTCTCAAACTAACAAAAATTGATGGGATTAATATATAGTGTATTCTGTGGTGGCACAGTGGTTAGAATCCAACATTGCAGGCTGACTCTGCCCACTGTCAGGAGTTCGATCCTGACCGGCTCAAGGTTGACTCAGCCTTCCATCCTTCTGAGGTCAGTAAAAATTAGGACCCAGATTGTTGGGGGGCAACAGGCTGACTCTGTAAAGTGCTCAGAGAAGGCCATGAAGCACAATGGAGTGATATATAAGTCTTACTGCGATTGCTATTGCTATACAGGTAGTCCTCAACTTACAACAGTTCACTTAGTGACTGTTCAAAGTTACAACAGCACTGAAAACAGCACTGTTTTTCACTGTTGTAGCATCCCCATGGTCACATGATCAAAATTCGGACACTTGGCAACTGACTCATTTCTGCTCTCTCTCTTTCTCTCTTTCTCTCTTTCACTTTCTGTCTCTGTCTGTCTGTCTGTCTCTCTGTCTCTGTCTCTGTCTCTCTCTCTCTTTCTCCCTGTGTGTGTGTCTGTGTTGTGTGAGAAAGGAGATTAGTTCATTCTGTCCCCAGCACTTACGGCATAGAGTAGGAGACCTCCAATGGATCACTGCGCCTTTCTGAGCACACACATGGGCGTAAGCAGCAATGGCGTCACAGAAACAAGCACAGTCCCCAATGGACTCACATGCACAGGTGTCATACATGCAGATTTCCACATAAGGCTCAGGATCCACCTATGATGGAAGTAGTACGAGTCAAACTCTTGCGCTCTTGAGAAGATCTCCACAGCCTCCAAGAAACAAGGTCCCTCACAATACAAACTCTAAATTTTAGAAGGTCCCATAAACCAGCTCCCACCAACAGTGAACTCTTCAGGGCAAGGAATCTATCTCAAGGGCAGACACTGGCATCCCCCCTAAACTTTGCTGAAGATGTCACCTAGCCTGGTAACAACACATTCAGAAACCAACCCACATGCTTGGAGTATGAACCTTTACCCCCTAAGCAAACACTAAGCATCTACAGGATCCAATCTGGGTTGGTCACTGGGACCAGAGGTTTAATCTTCCAAGCTTTTGGACTCGTGATGGATCCCATCCTCAGGAAATTTCTCAGGATTTCTCAGTCCCTAAGGATGGGCTCCAGAACATGTCTGAAAGGTCAGAATACTAACCCTTTGGTCCCGGTGACCAACGAAGATTAGATCCTGCAACATTATCCTGGGACCAGTGGTGGGATTCAAATCCCTGAACAACTGGTTCTCTGCATGGATGCAGGCCTGGGCCTCCGAGGCCTAGAACGGACTTCTGGAAGTGGCATCCACGCACTTCTGGCAGGCCGTTCCAGATCTGGGAGGCCTCCTCCAGGCTTCCCAGGCCTAGAACGGACTTCCGGAAGCAGTATGCATTCAGCCGGTTCTCCGAACTCAACAAAATTTAGCTACTGGTTCTGCTGAACCGGTGCAAACCAGCTGAACGCCATCACTGCCTTGGATGCATATATTCACCTTCATTCGTACTAAGCATCTGGGTTAGTTATTACGAGGGCAATTCGGAATCAAACCTCCATTTAGTTATCAAAGACAGGCACTCGCAGATACAGAACTTGTATTATACACATTAGAAAACTACAACATGCCATGACTTTTCGACATAATCGCCATTCAAATTGAGGCCCTTGTCACCACTTCTCACAAAGTTTGAAATTCCTTCTGGAAAAAAAAAATCTCCCGCCTGGGAATGAAGCCACCCCACAATAGCATCCTGAAGCGGATTGTCATTGTCAAACCGGTGCGCGACGCAAGCCATTGTTTCATTGAAAAAAATGGTTCATTTTCAATTAATCTAGTGGATGAGTCAACTGCAACGCAACCTTCTCCTTCCACTACTCACTGCCTACTGAACTACTGCGCACGGCACCTTAGGACGGGTATTGCTATCCACGCCTATTTCTCCCACAGGCTCAAATGGAAGTTTATTTCTGAATTGCCCTCGTGATTCAGATGGCAAACAGTTGCCCAGCCACTGGCGCCCGAATGGGGGTTATCAGCTGGATAAGAAAGGGCTTACCAGTTTTTTGCATTCTTTGAAGAGATCGCTATTCAAGACACTGCAGGAAGTCTCCACCTTCACCTGTTTTATTGCGTGGCCATTGCACAGCGAAGCTGCCAGGTCCTGTCCTTGGGAAAGCTGCAAAAAGAGAAGAAATATGTTACAACACCGAGAAGTGTATCTATATCGATTACCTGTCAACTTAGCCTCTTCATAGCAATGAGAGATGAACGTTCCTTCTCGGAAATCACAGACATGCATCTCAATACATGGGAGCAAATTGAAAGATCTGGTTTTCATTTCTTACGAAAAAGTTAATAAAATCTGATTCTCACACAACGAAAAGCCAAGATTTTTTTTTCTTAACGGTAACTTTCTGGACAAAAGTATAAAGGCAGTCCTCGACTTAACCACAGTTCATTTAGGGACTGTTCAGAGTTACACAACAGCACTGAAAAAAAAAGTGACTTATGACCATTTTCAACACACGACACATAACACTCCCCCGCAATGGTCATGTGAACAAAATTCAGGCCCTTGGCAGCTGACATGATGGTTAAAATGTCCTAAGATCATGTGATCCCCTTTTGTGACTTTCTAACAATGGGGAAGCTGGATTCTCTTAACAACCATGTTATAACTTCACAACTGCAGCAACTCGCTTAACTATGGCAAGAAAAGTCGTAAAATTGGGGGGTAAAACTCACTTAACAAATGACTCGCTTAACAAGAGAGATTTTGAGCTAAGTTCTGTTCGTAAGTTGAGGTCTACCTGTTTTTGAAGCTGTTTTGATTCTGGCCTGTCCCACTAATCAGAAAAATAATGATATTTCTTTTAGTGTTAACTTGTATCCCTCCTGCAATTCCATATCACTCATATCTATAATCCCATTCTGTAATTTCATATAAATTATTTGATCTCAGACAGGGAGTAAATAACATCTTGCATTCTGAAGACACTGTAGTTTGAATTTTGCTTTGGATAAATAATCTAATTGAAGTTGCAAATTCTTTTGATTTCCCTGAATTTCCTGTAGCAGCATAATTCTATACACTTGGAAACCAGGACCGTGAGTAAAGTTTCCATTGCACTTAACCCCCAAACGCTAGGATAATTATACTATTTTGTGTAACGAATAATATAAAAGATGATTTACTGAGCCTTCAAGGAACAAAATCACTGTGGCCAATCTGTGGGCTCTTCAGTGGAAAAAACCCCCTGCTAATTCACTTTTATTCTACTAATAATGCAAGTGATACAATAATACAACAGCCTTCCTATTGGTCTAGTGTAGCGTTTCTCAACCTTGGCAATTTTAAGATGTGCGGATCTCAATTGGCTGGGAAATTCTGGGAGTTGAAGTCCACGTGTCTTAAACTGACCAAGTTTGAGGAACAGCGCTTAACCGCCATTCCAAACCTCGCAGAAATTAAGATAGTTTTCCATATTATTTCTAGGCATCATGGCAAAGGGAGTTTTCCTCCTTTATCATTGGATAAAGAGTTACGGTTGGATACTAGGATACACTGCTGCTTTTCCTACCCTGACATTAAAACATTTTGAAAATGGAGACAGGCACCACCTCCACCCCCAATCCCAACACCAGGTGCAACACATTTTTACACCTACCTTTCCGACATCAGCACACTGTGAGTGAACTTTCCAAGAATTCCCAAAGTCACTTGGATCAACTTCAATCTGCTTCCGGCTACTTCTCAGATCGTTGTTTGGGATGCCATCAAAATTCCCACACAGACCACAGACTTTATCCTTTCAAGGGACAAGCCAAAGAAATGTCATCTTCCTTCTCCTTCAACAGGAAGACGATTAATTCATTGATATTAATTAAGACCATTAATTAACGGGTAGTAGCGTTCCAATATTTGAGGGGCTGCCACAAAGAAGTTGGTCTTGCCTTCAAGTGCTTTGAAGAATAAGTTGATTCTCCAAAGCCACCTGAAGGCAGGACGAGAAACAACGGATGGATACTCATCAAGGAGAGAAGCAACCTGGAACTAAGGAGAAACTTCCTGACAGTCAAAACAATTAACCAGTGGAACAACCTGCCTCCAGAAGCGGTGAATGCTCCAACACTGGAGGTTTTTAGGAAGAAATTGGATAACCATTTGTCTGAAATAGTATAGCAATAGCATTTAGATATATACCGCTTCACAGTGCTTTACAACCCCTTCTAAGTGGTTTACAGAGTCAACACATATTGCCCCCAACAATCTGGGTTCTCCTTTTACCAACCCCAGAAGGATAGAAGGCTGAGTCAACCTTGAGCCGGTGAGGATCGAACTCCTGGCAGTGGGCAGAGTTAGCCTGCAATACTGCATTCTAACCACTACACCACTTAGATAGCAATAGCAACAGCACTTAGACTTATATACCGCTTCACAGTGCTTTACAGCCCTCTCTAAGGGGTTTACAGAATCAGCCTATTTGCCCCCAACAATCTGGGTCCTCCTTTACCAATCTTGGAGGGACGGAAGGCTGAATCAACCTTGAGCCGGTGAGGATCGAACTGCTGGCAGTCGGCAGAATGAGCTTGCAATACCGCATTCTCACCACTGCGCCACCACGGCTCTATAGGGTCTCCTGTTTGAGCAGAGGGTTGGACTAGAAGACCTCCAAGGTCCCTTCCAACTTTGTTAACTAATTTGATATTTGCTCATTGAGAATGTAATTGTGATGTGCTTTTTTTAAAACATTTTTGCCTTGTGCTAAATAAATAATCCTGCCTGAATTCTTGACTTTTCTAGTAACCATGCAGTAAACAAGCTATTGCTAATCCGGAATCAGAGTTGTGCCAACCGGAGTTTTTGTTTCTTTTTTGGAAGTCTGAAAGTTTTCGCAGTTTCTCCAAGGAGCTTGTCCCATCCGGGGGTCTCCCTGCCCAGCTGGCTCAGATGGAAGAAGCTCCTTAGAGAAGCAGTGAGATGTTGTGAACCCCAAAACGAAAAGAAGCTCATTGCTCAACTTCCAGACAACTCTCTCTGGAGGACACCGAATCTTCATCGACGTACATGGTGTTAAAAAAATGTAATAAATCTGAAAGGACTTACTCTGTAGTGTTCTTTCAAGATAACGGTAATTCCCATGTTTTGATCCCAAGACAGGGAGATTCTTCCTCGCCCCAATATCAGAATATAGTAGCGGCCAGACTTCAAAATCTCCACGTTGCCTTCTTCTCTTGGAGGTGTGAGGACATTAACCTTCACAAGGAAAAAAATTGAAGCACTTTCAACAATGGGACGCCACATCGGCCTCTAGTAATCGGTCTGCTTTCAACTTTAACGAACAACAGACTATTCCATGGGGCAAGAAACGTTGGCTAACGTTCATTCCATTGTGAGAAAAATGGACAGGTCGTCCTCGATTTACAACAGTTGATGTTAGAACGAAAGTTATCCTTCTGGTTTGGAGACAACACGATAACCTGAAGCTTCCTAAAGCTCTGGTCAAGTGGCACATATTTAATCCACATCTTTCAGCTTCAGAGGTCAAATTTGCCTCCAGCCGTTCAGCTAGTTTCGATGTAACTTGGTCATTCCACAGTCTGACCAGTTTCAACAGAAGTCCCTTTGGACTCCCTCTCAACAGAAGCCTTCAAAACCCCCTCTTCCACACACGAGCTGGTGGAAGCCGTGAGGAGGGGATGAACTTACTTCTCCGTCGTGTAACTCAATCTCTCCCCTGTCGAACAAAACAGTGATCCTTCGAGTGCACGTCTCTTTGGCGAAGCCACACCCTTCGTTGGCCACAAGGATCCAAAAGGACCCAGGAACGTCCTCTTCGCAGTGGTCCTTGAAAAGAAAAGAAGGATCGACATTAGACTTTTGAACTTGGCCTACAAAACTTCATCTTCAAAGATGTCCTGTCCAGAGGTTGCAATGAAAGTCTAAAGCATGGTTCCCAAACTATGTTCCATGGAAGCCTAGCCTCGTAGGGGATTCTGCAAAAAAAAAAATCTCAAAAATCAATTTTTAAAACAGATTTTAAAATAAAACCACATAAGGCCAGCTCTGTTGTACCAAAATAAAAATTAGTGGTTATATTTAAAATGTTTTTGTCTTTTCCAAGGCAAGACAAGAAACAACAGTTGGAAACTGACCAAAGAGAGAAGCAACCTGGAAATAAGGAGAAACTTGTTGACAGTCAGGACAATCAACCAGTGGAATAGCTTGCCTTGAGAAATCATGGGTGCGCTATCACTGGAAATTTTCAAGAAGAGACTGGACAATCACCTGTCTGAGATGGTATAGGTTCTGCTTGAGCAGGGGGCTGGACTAGAAGACCTCCAAGGTCCCTTCCAGCTCCATTCTATTCTATTCTATTCTATTCTATTCTATTCTATTCTATTCTATTCTATTCCATTCCATTTCATTCCATTCCATTCTATTCCACTCCACTCTATATTATCTTCTCTTCTCTTCTCTTCTTTTCTCTTCTCTTCTCTTTTCTTCTCTTCCTTATTCTGTTCTATTCTGCTCTGCTCTACTCTACTCTATTCCTATATTCTATTCTATTCTATTCTATTCTATTCTATTCTATTCTATTCTATTCTATTCTATTCTATTCTATTCCATTCCATTCCATTCCATTCCATTCCATTCATTTCTTATTCTATTCTATTCCACTGATTTTCCTTTATCTGCTTTCCTGCCTCCCTTCTTCTTCTCAGTGGTTCAGACCAAGAGCACCAAAATCTGAGCTTTATTAAAGATCCCCAGCAGTGTAACCTAGCGCAAAACCTGCGGTGAAGTCAATTCCTTCCAACAACATTTCTATAAAGCATCCAAACAAAAGCAACATTTTCTTTATGGCCTGGGTCCTTTTACTCTCGGTGTGATCCGAACCACCACTGCGTTTCCCCTCAGAGCATCACATCCCAAATCTTTACCTGAACAAGCACATACTGACAGTTGCCGGGAAATCTGTACTTCAGCCCATCGAAGGTCAAATAGTGCGCTGTGCCGATGACCGAGCACTTTCCATCGCAGACGTTTTCCGTGCATTCCCATTTTCTAGCGCGGCAGGTGCTGTGGGAGACCAGCGGCTATTATTGTTTCAGAGGTTACCAAAAGTCCATTTTTGTATTTTGGTGTTAGCACGAAAGTTATCTCTCTTCTTTGAAGAAGACACGATAACCTGATGCTTCATAAACCTCTGGTCAGGTGGCGTGTATTTAATCCACATTTTTCAGCTTCAGAGGTCCAATTTGCCTCCGCCCGTTCAGCTAGTTCCGATCAAATCACATCAAATCGACCTTTATTGTCGAAGTACAATGTGGCGTGGTTGTTCCACAAAGCACCCTGAACCTCTGCAAACAGCCGGCGTTGCTCAAAGCGTAACCGGTTTTAAGACCTAAACAAAGCTGGAAGACCTTCCTTGCCCACCTCATTCACTTTTCTGAGCACATTTTCCCCAAATCTCTAGCGGGATTTTATTTTGATTTAGAGCCGTGGTGGGGCAGTGGTTACAATGCGGTGTTGCAGGCAAACTCTGCCCATTGTCAGGAGTTCGATCCTGACCGGCTCAAGGTTATTGACTCAGCCTTCCTTCCACCTTTCTGAGGTCACTAAAATGAAGGGCCAGATTGTGGGGGAAAATGGGGGTGACTCTATAAAAACAGCTTACAGAGGGCTGTAAAGCACTGTGAAACGGTATATAAGTTTAAGTGCTATTGTTGTTCCTTCCTTCCTTCCTTCCCTCCTCCTCCTCCTCCCTCCCCTCCCCCCTCCTCCCTCCCTTTCTCCCTTCCTTCCTTCCTTCCTTCCTTCCTTCCTTCCTTCCTTTCTCCCTTCCTTCCTTCCTTCCTTCCTTCCTTCCTTCCTTCCTTCCATTGTGGCACATTGATTAGAATATGATATTGCAAGCTAATTCTGCCCAAAGCCTGGAGTTCAATCCTGACTGGCTCAGGATTGACTCAGCCTTCCATCCTTCCAAGGTCAGTAAAAGGAGGACCCAGATTGTTGGGGGCCAAAAGGCTGACTCTGTAAACCGCTTACAGAGAGCTGGAAAGAATTATGAAGCAGTATATAAGACTAAGTTCTATTGCTATTGCTATCTAAGCCCTGGTGGCGCGGTGGTTAAAGTGCAGCATTGCAGGCTGACTCTGCCCACTGCCAGCAGTACAATCCTGACCGGCTCAAGGTTGACTCAGCCTTCCATCCTTCCGAGGTCCGTAAAAGGAGGACCCAGATTGTTGGGGGCAGCATGCAAATAATGCTTCCACGTTGTACTTAGAGGGTGCTGTAAAGCAGAGATACTTAAGCCTAAATTAGGGGTAGGCAACCTCGGCTCTTTTATGACTCATGGACTTCAACTCCCAGAATTCCTGAGTCAGCATGGCTCAGCTTGGAAACCCTTGGAATTCTGGGAGTTGAAGTCCATGTGTCATAAAAGAGCCGAGGTTGCCTACCCCTGGCCTCAGTGCTATTGCTAGGGCATTGTAGGACTCACTCTGCTTTTTAAACAAAAAAACAAAAAAACAGGACCAGGACTAGCCCACAAAGTGTGCTTCTCTTTACTCAAACTGAAGGAGAACTGGTGAAGGGAAACCAGGCAGGTTAATTTCCTGCTCAACCCTGTAGTAAGTTTTACTCCCCATTTTTTCTAAGGAGGAAAGGGAAAGATTAACACCCTGTTTGATCCATGTTTGCTTTAACCAGGCTGTGTTGCCTGTCCATTTTTTTTTTTACATGCTATCTCCGTCACCTGAAAAATATGTGGCTGTTTATTGGCAGTGCCTCAAAATGATGGGTTTTTTTTTAAAGGTCCAAGGGGAAATCAAGGTCAAAGAGGTTAGTTCCTTACCACGTATTGCAGTCCTTGGTCACTGTTTGCCCTGGTGCATATTCCTGTCCGTTGTGGAAACAGGGGCAATTCTCAGGGACCACGCATTTGTTCCCATGTCGCACCTAGAACAGAAATGGACGCATATTTAATTTTTATACCCAGTAAAATGTAAGTGGCTGCAGAAAAACTCATGAAAACAAGCGTCCTCCACAAGGAAACCAACAAGGGGTACTTGTTTGTTTTAACCTGATTGCTTTCAGTTTTGAAGCTTGCAAGAGTCTGAACACTTAGATGTTGTAAACCAGGGCCCTGTGCAAGGGGAAGAGGGTAATTTAAAAAAAAACCCAGGAAATTCATAAAACTTGGGGTCCTTGGTCCTCTCTGAGCTTGGTGGTTTTCTTGCAGGTGTTTCATTACCAAACTAGCATTGATGATGTTACCTAGTTTGGTAATGAAACGTCTGCAAGAAAACCACCAAGCTCAGAGAGCACCAAGGACCCCACAGTCCTCCTCCTCCTCCTCCTCCTCCTCCTCCTCCTCCTCCTCCTCCTCCTCCTCTCCTCCTCCTCCTCCTCCTCTCCACAAACCCTACTCCTTTCTATCCCTGATGATGTTCCCTAGTTGGGTCATGAAACATCTGCAAGAAAACCACCAAGCTCCTAGAGCACCAAGGACCCCTCATTTCAACCCTGAGCTGCAAATATTCTCTTGTGTTAGTAGCCATGAAATGTCCCAACCTGAATCAAGAAGGCATTCTAGTTTAGAGTCCTGAAGCTAAAATTTAAAAGTATCCAATTGACATCATTTGATGCTACAAAGAAGAGCGGGTCTGAAGGCAACTTCTGTTCCACTGATCAATTGTTCTAATTGTCAGGAAATTCCTCCTTAGTTCCAGGTTGCTTCTCTCTTTGATGAGTTTCCATCCGTTGCTTCTTGTCCTGCCTTCAGGGGCTTTGGAGAATAGCTTGACTCCCTCTTCTTTGGGGCAGCCCCTGAGATACTGGAATACTGCTATCATGTCCCCCCTGGTCCTTCTCTTCATTAAACTAGACATCCCCAATTCTAGCAACCGTTCCTTATATGTTTTAGCCTCCAGTCCCCTAATCATCTTTGTTGCTCTTCTCTGTACTCTTTCTAGAGTTTCAACATCTTTTTTACATCGCGGTGACCAAAACTGGATGCCGTATTCCAAGTGTGCCCTTACTAAGAGCATCAAGATGGGGGCCTTTATCTCCACAGAGATGATATTCCACAGGGAGGGAGCCACCACAGAGAAGGCCCTTGTTCTTGGCCCCACTAGATGGACTTCATAAGCGACGGGACCTTGCAGGATTCCTTGCCTGCCTGCTCTGGTGTATTACCTAATTTGGTGTATGTATACCAAATATCCCACAAAGCTAAGACACTCAGTCTGGTAACCTATATTCTTCTTAAAAAGTCATTATGGTGTCATTCCCTCATGAAGGGTAGAGAAGAATTGTTTTCTCTCCTCACGGCTATTCAGCCGAGCTCCCCTCATGACGTGGCTTTATTGGCACGTCCACTAAGCACTGTTGGTTTAATGTATGGAATTAAGGCCGCACAGTTTACTGAATTCACATTTGTAAAAACAAAATTAGATTAAGAGATTAAATTAATTCAGTACAGCATGTCTTGATGAATTGCATTTAAGCCACTTGCCTGCTGAACAAATTGCAATGGGCCAGTTTGACAGAACGAAGTAAATCGTAAATATGAATTGACAGCTCTCAGTGGCTAGAGCTGAAATTAAAGAGGCCAGACTGTGGAGGTACAGCAAGAGTGGAAAATAATCTGCTGTTATTTCATACAGTTTGTCTTTGAAAATGACTGTTAAACCTGGAATAAAGCAAATGGAAAACAACTCCATTCCATTCCATTCCATATTTTCTATTCTATTCTATTCTATTCTATTCTATTCTATTCTATTCTATTCTATTCTATTCTATTCTATTCTATTCCATTCCATTCCATTCCATTCCATATTCTGTTCTATTCTATTTATTATTTGTTATTCATTATTCATTATTCTATTCTATTCTGTTCTGTTGTTCTGTTCTGTTCTATTCTATTCTATTCTACTCTACTCTACTCTACTCTGTTCTATTCTATTCTATTCTATTCTATTCTATTCTTTCTTCATTATTCTATTCTACTCTACTCTACTCTACTCTACTCTACTCTACTCTACTCTACTCTACTCTACTCCTACTTCTTATTCTTATTTTATTCTAATTGGGAAAACATTGAAACTACTAATGATTTTGTTTTCGTAACATTAAACACCGTAAAGTCATCTGGCCTTTGACAGATCAATTGACCAATTTTTTTTTTTATCAATCCTAAGTGTGCTTAAGACTCTGGACCATCAACTCTCTGCAAAGAAGACAATTGGTTAAAGACTAGTGCAGACCCTTGGCTAAAAATATCAAATGTGATCTGCAGCCTTATATAGCATAAATCATCATCATCATCATCATCATCATCCCCTCTTAACACTGGGGATATTCTCAGTCTTCCCTAGCATTTTTTTTTTTTTCGTTTTTGACATGCAGGGGTACCCAACGCTACAGAAATTCCTAAGTTTTAAAGCAGAAAAGTCACAACAAACTCAAGCAGCAGAAAGATGTGAGCAATAGCGCCCTCGTGTGGCAGTAAAATTCTACTCCTACTTTATCCATTCTGATCCCATCAGATAATTCTGCAACCCCAACATCACGAAGGGCTTCAGTTGTGTTACCGCCATTGCTACCTTGACTTCTTCAGTTCCACAGACGTACATTCACACCAACCCCAGAATCCTTGGGAAGGCTAGGGCTACTCCTGCTGCATCCACATAATAAAGGTAAACTCAAAGGTGCTTTTTTTTTTGAGAAGGCAACTGGACTTTTCTTGTTTTTTCTTTGAAGACGTTTCCCTTCTCATTCCAGAAGCTTCTTCAGGTTCTGACTGGATGGTGGGGAACGGGAGGATTTATACTCCTTGCAGACAGCCGGTCCTTCGCCTTCTTTTAGAGAGTCGTTCAGGCCACTTGGAGGTTTATAAATGATTGAAGGGGTATAAATCCTTCCACTCCACGCCATCCAGTCAGAGCTGAAGAAGCTTCTTGGATGAGAAGCGAAACATCTTCAAAGAAAAACAAGAAAGTCATGTTGCCTCATGAAAAAAAAAAAAACACCTTTCAGACAACCAGGACCTGGAAGACTGAGCGTCTCCATAGCCAAATAAAGTTTTCCCATGTCTGGACGTGTCCAATTCTCATCTCTGTTTGTTTGCAAAGCATTGTCCGAAAACATTTACATGGTCATGTGATGGGTCAGGTGTGGGTGTGTCAAGTAAGGGTCTTGTGGTGGGTCTTGTGATGGGTCAGGTGTGGATGTGTCAAGTAAGGGTCTTGTGGTGGGTCTTGTGATGGGTCAGGTGAGGGTCTTGTGGTGGATCAGGTGAGGGTCTTGTGGTGGATCAGGTGTGGGTGTGTCAAGTGAGGGTCTTGTGGTGGGTCTTGTGATGGGTCAGGTATGGGTGTGTCAAGTGAGGGTCTTGTGGTGGGTCTTGTGATGGGTCAGGTGTGGGTGTGTCAAGTGAGGGTCTTGTGGTGAGTCTTGTGAGGGGTCAGGTGAGGGTCTTGTGGTGGATCAGGTGAGGGTCTTGTGGTGGATCAGGTGTGGGTGTGTCAAGTGAGGGTCTTGTGGTGGGTCTTGTGATGAGTCAGGTGTGGGTGTGTCAAGCGAGGGTCTTGTGGTGAGTCGTGTAATGGATCAGGTGTGGGTCACCAGTGAGAGTCTTGTGGTGTATATTGTGATGTGTCAGGTGTAGGTGCATCAAGTGAGGGTCTTGTGGTGGGTCTTGTGATGGATCAGGTGTGAGTCTGTAGGATGAGGGTGAGGCTCCTTCTCCAAGCTTCTGGGTTGGTTTCCCAATGCTTCATTTCCAGGCTGGCTAATGTCTTCAGGGGAGTTTAGGGGGGATGTCAGTGTTCTTTTGTCTTTAAGGGCTTCAAGTGTGGGTGTGTGTCAAGTGAGGGTCTTATGCTGGGTCTTGTGATGGGTCAGTGTGAGTCCCATTGGTGATGGGTCTTCTGATGGGGAAGAGCCATCAAGTCAAGGTCACTGGGAGGTGAACTACTGTTAGATGACCCTGAGGATCCCTGCAGACATTTTCTTGAGGAACCTCAACTTTCTTACCCATCCAGTAGGGCAGAGGCAGCCGGAGATGCATCCGTGACTGATGCAGCCCAGATTGTATGTCTGACAGGTCTTCATGCATTCCACTCCTTTCGCCCTCGGGTCATTTGGTGGACAGACAAACATGGTCATCGGATGCTTGCAGGAGACACTCCGCTTTGCTTTAAGGAATGGAAGAAGGGTGTGGTCAATCTGAGAAAGATCTTTGCACAGGCACAGAAAGGCCCAACAGCTCAATGTTGCAGCAAGACGGCTGCAGTGGCAAATGCGCAGTTGCAACGCTGGTAATCAAACTGCTACACAGCGTGTGTTGAAAAGAGGTTAATCGATTAAAGGTAAGGATAAAATCAGTCACAGAAAATGGAAATGCAGTATAGAATTGGGAAGAGTCCCAGATAAAACACAGCCTAATTTAATAGGATATCCAAATTAATTAGTATATTAAGAATATAGACTACAATTAGAATAGAATAGAATATAGAAATGAAGAATAGAATAGAATATAGAAATGAAGAATAGAATAAAATAGAATAGAATATAGAATAGAATAGAATATAGAAATGAAGAATAGAATAGAATAAAATAGAATAGAATATAGAAATGAAGAATAGAATAGAATAGTATAGAATAGAATAGAATAGAATAGAATATAGAAATGAAGAATAGAATAGAATAAAATAGAATAGAATATAGAAATGAAGAACAGAACAGAATAGAATAGAATAGAATAGAATAGAATATGAAATGGAGAGAAGAGAAGAGAATATGAAATGGAGAGAATAAATAGAATAGAATAGAATAGAATAGAATAGAATAGAATAGAATAGAATAGAATAGAATAGAATAGAGCTGAAAGGGACCTTGGAGGTCTTCTAGTCCAGCCCCCTGCTCAAACAGGAGAACCTATACCATTTTCAGACAAATGGTTGTCCAGTCTCTTCTTAAAAACTCTTTTTTAGGTGATAGGAATAGGTGATTGGAATAAAGACATCAACAAGAAAAAAAAATCAATTTATCCATCCATTCATTTATTACATTTGCCTTCATCCTGGGTGCGTTACAATATGTAAAATACAGAACTTAAAGGAATGTAATTACCTGGATGAAGCAACAGTAATGCTGCAAAATAATAAAAAAAAAATGACAGGGACTCCATAAGAACCTTAACCCCAGGCCTGGGAAGAGCAACTATGGGACCTTTGGAACATTTGAAATACAGCAGCCATAGTGTGAACAAGACCCTTTGGCTGTTAAATTTGCAACAAAACCGTGATTAAAATTGGTGCCAAAGATGTCCGATAGTTTTTGAAGGGCTCCCATGCTGATCCTTCTAATTGTGCTTCTCGTGATTTAGACATGGCCACCTAGGTTTGGTAGAGAAACAGACATGACACTACGCATCCAGTGTGAAAGCTGTTGTTGTAACATCGCTGATATATTAATGCCCAGAAGAAGAAAAAAGTTTCATTGGAATACTTATCGAGAGAATTAAAACATGCGAATAAAATAAAAACCCAGGTTTTACAGATTTCCGTGTTAAAGCTAATGTAGGAGAGACTTACTGTAACTGGACCCCCTTATAAATTGTCCATCTATTGGGTGATTTTAGAATATAAAATTCCTCATTGTCGGTAGCACATTAAAATATCATTTAAATAAAACCTGGGCACCCCTCCAGCTGCTCTGATACCCAAAATCTTGTGTTTGCTTAGCAGAATGGGCCAACAGTTCTAATATCAAATTAAATCGAGCAGAAGAGCGGGAATCAACTTTCCTTCGACTAATGAGCGGACTGATGCCATTTATAATAACCCCCAGGAAAGGATCATAACAGCAGATTTTAAGTCCTTCTCTTTGAATTGGGGATGTCTAGTTTAATGAAGAGAAGGATGGGGGGGGACATGATAGCAGTCTTCCAGTATCTCAGGGGCTGCCCCAAAGAAGAGGCAGTCAAGCTATTCTCCAAAGCGCCTGAAGGCAGGACAAGAAGCAACGGATGGAAATTAACCAAGGAGAGAAGCAACCTGGAACTAAGGAGAAACTTCCTGACAGTGAGAACAATTAACCAGTGGAACAACCTGCCTCCAGAAGCTGTGAATGCTCCAACATGGAAATTTTAAAGAAGAGACTGGACAACCTTTTGTCTGAAATGGTCTAGGGTTTCCTGCCTGAGCAGGGGGTTGGACTGGATGACCTCCAAAGTACCTTCCAACTTTACTACTACTACTACTATTACTACTACTACTACTACTATTATTATTATTATTATTATTATGGATCATCGCACAGTCAGCCAGATGTTCAGACTGGATTTGGCATTTTGTCTACCTATCGAGTCCTTACCCAGGACCTGGGATAGGCAGATGTGGATGTTGGATGGTATTATAGGTATCGTCGCAGGATGGAAGCAGTTCCTAGTAAGGCCGCCTTTTGCAATTGACTAATGGTGAATTTGTCAATGCTAATGGTGTTCAAGTGGTGCTCCAGTTGTTTTGGGATTGCACCCAAGGCACCTATGACTATTGGTACTACCCTTGCTTGCTTTTGCCACAGTCTTTCTATTTCTATTTGTAGGTCTTTGTATTTTGTTATCTTCTCCAGTTCTTTTTCTTCTATTCTGCTGTCTCCAGGCACTGCCACGTCCACTATCCAGACTTTTTTGTCTTTTTTATTGACAATTATTATTATTATTATTATTATTATTATTATTATTATTATTATTATTATTATTAATCCAATCAAAAGCAGGGAAATCTTTTTTGCCAAAAACTTCCTTTCAAGCGTTCCACACTGTAACATATCAAAGACTTTCCCCACATTTAGCAAAAGCACCATTGCCAATTTCAGTTTTACTGATAGGTTATTAATGATTCATCTAATATTATCTGAGGCTTGTCAGCCTGTGGAAAGAGGTAATTAAATATCACCTGTTCTCTATGGTGCCATCAACATTTTGGCTCAACTTCTAAGAAGATTGGGCAATAGCTTACACTCAGCAGAATCTTCACCCATCTCCAAGCTCATGGTTATATAATGGGGGTCTTCAAACTTGGCCCTTTTATGACTTAAATTTTCAAACAGAAGGAACTTTAATTTTATTGAAATCCAGGATCCAGCTTTGGAGTGAAAATTAATTCACAGGTGCAAAGCTCCTGCAAGCCACCTCCCTCCCTCTTTGCAAAATAAGAAGCCAATAACAGAAAGATGTTGAGAGAGAGAAAAAAAGAAATGTACTTGTCTAAAAAGAAAAAACAGACTTACGTACCTCTGGCAGAACGATGAACTGGGAAAAGAACATCTGGAAAGAAACTTCCCGGAAGTCTTTGTGAGCTGCAGTGCATCAGGCCGTTTTCACAATAGCTAGAAAGATAAATTTTAAAGCAGAAGGCTTTTTAAAAATAATGGCTACATCTTCCTTAAGCACCATGGACTTTCCTGGTTGATCTCTGGAATCAACGACCTTCATCCCTCAAACATGCAAGCTGCCAGCTCTGGAGGCCAAAATGTGTTTTGCAGAAATGCTGGGGAAATGGACATGGATCGACCAGGTCGACCCATCAACACTGATAGGGCAAATCACTTCATATAAATGGGTAGCAAACTCTCCTCCCTTCTAACACTGATGATGTTGCTTAGTTTGGTGATGAAACGTCTGCAAGAAAACAAGCTCAGAGAGCATCAAGGATCCCACAGCTGTCTTCTTCTTCTTCTTCTTCTTCTTCTTCTTCTTCTTCTTCTTCTTCTTCTTCTTCTTCTTCTTCTTCTTCTTCTTCTTCTTCTTCTTCTTCTTCTTCTTCTTCCTTCTTCTTCTTCTTCTTCTTCTTCTTCTTCTTCTTCTTCTTCTTCTTCTTCTTCTTCTTCTTCTTCTTCTTCTTCTCCTTCTCCTTCTCCTCCTTCTCCTTCTTCTTCTTCCTCCTCCTCCTCCTCCTCCTCCTCCTCCTTCTCCTCCTCCTCCATCATTCCACAAATGGCCAAGCTCAGAGAGCAGCAATGTGAGGATGACGAAACACTGAATCCTTCTTGGTCTGACACAGTTTTCGGGGTTATCTAGTTCTCATCCAATGGCATGAATCAATGCAGCTAGAGGGAAGGGCTGCTGGTTCCCTTTTCACTCTTGGCCATTTTGGAGATGGCCTGTTCTGCAGTCAAACTACCTGGACTAGAAGACCTCCAAGATCCTCTGTTCTGTTCTATCCTATCCTATCCTATCCTATCCTATCCTATTCCTATTCTTATTCCTATTCCATCTCATCCCATTCCATTACCATAATATTCTATTCTCTTCTACTCTACTCTACTCTACTCTACTCTACTCTACTCTACTCTACTCTACTCTATGGAAGAGAAGAGAAGAGAAGAGGAGAGGAGAGGAGAGGAGAGGAGATGAAATGGATAGAATAGAATAGAATAGAATGGAATGGAATGGAATGGAATGGAATGGAATGGAATGGAGTAGAGTAGAGTAGAGTAGAGTAGAGTAGAGTAGAGTAGAGTAGAGTAGAGTAGAGTAGAGTAGAATAGAATAGAATAGAATAGAATAGAATAGAATAGAATAGAGCTGGAAGGGACCTTGGAGGTCTTCTAGTCCAGCCCCCTACTCCAGCAGGAGAACCTATACCATCTCAGACAAGGTTCTGTCTACCCTCTTCTTAAAAATCTCCAGTGACGGAGCGCCCTATACTGCTGTCACGTCTCCCCTACTTCTTCTTTTCTTTAGACTAGCCAAACCCACATCCTGCAGCCCTTCTTCGTGTGTTTCAGGGCTCCCCACTTACCACATGGTGTGGTGATCGGAGAAGACGTCATCTGGCTGGAAGATCTCGCCATCGTAGTAACAAGAACACTGAGATCTGGGCACACAGTCGCCCTGTTGGTCGAGGTACGTCCCCAGTGGGCAAAAACAGCCCTCGGTACAAAATTCCTGGCAATCTGTGTCCGGATGTCCGAGCGACCGGCAGGTCTGATTGCACGGACTTCCACACTGTCGGTAAAGTTGGCCTTCTGGACAATTCATGGCTGCAAAACAATTTTTTAAAAAAATGGGTCAGAGAACGTTTGGAGTTACTACTCAATCGATTCGTCAACGCCTCCTCCTATTCTGCGACTGCTGGATGAAAAGAATATATTTGAAAGGATGAATTACTAATTTTTAAATGCTTGGAAGAAGGAAATATCTCTGGAAAAAAAGAGGCATGGCTTTAAGGAAGGGGGGGGTTCACATGACACAGGAAAACCCAAGTGAAGATGGCCCTGGACCTCTGAGTTTATATGGGAGAAATCCAATATTATTGTCCCAATATTGTCCTTGTGGATGCTGGGGCAGGTCTGGCGTGGGATGGCGTTGAATCGTGGATTTCAAATTTCTGATTTGGACTGTCTTCTGCCCCCTTTTTTTCATTTTGTGCAGGAAGAAAGTGCAGTGCAACAGGTTCTTCCGCTTTCTAGAGATAACCATGGATTCCAAGCAGCAAATGAACTTTTATTTCTGGCTTGTCTACCTTGGGAGTGAAAAAGCAAAACCTAAGACAGCCACTCTAGAAAGAGTGCAGAGAAGAGCAACAAAGATAATCAGGGAGCTGGAGGCTAAAACATATAACGAACAGTTGCTGGAATTGGGTATGTCTAGTTTAATGAAGAGAAGGATGAGGGGTGACAGGATAACAGTGCTCCAGTATCTCAGGGGCTGCCACAAAGAAGAGGGAGTCAAGCTATTCTCCAAAGCCCCTGAAGGCAGGACAAGAAGAAATGGATGGAAACTAACCAAGGAGAGAAGCAACCTGGAACTAAGGAGAAACTTTCTGACAGTTAGAACAATTACCCAGTGGAACCACCTGCCTCCAGAAGCCGTGAATACTCCAACACTGGAAGTTTTTAAGAAGAAACTGGACAGCCATTTGTCCAAAATGGTACAGGGTTTCCTGCTGGACTAGATAACCTCCAAGGTCCTTTCCAACTTTATTATTATTATTATTGATCATCGCACAGTCAGCCAGATGTTCAGACTGGATTTGGCATTTTGTCTACCTATCGAGTCCTTATCCAGGACCTGGGATAGGCAGATGTGGATGTTTGATGGTATTACAGATATCGTCGCAGGATGGAAGCAGTTCCTAGTAAGGCCACCTTTTGCAATTGACTAATAGAGAATTTGTCAATGCTAATGGTGTTCAAGTGGTGCTCCAGTTGTTTTGGGATTGCACCCAAGGAGCCTATGACTATTGGTACTATCCTTGCTTGCTTTTGCCACAGTCTTTCTATTTCTATTTGTAGTTCTTTGTATTTTGTTATCTTCTCCAGTTATTTCTCGTCTATTCTGCTGTCTCCAGGCACTGCCATGTCCACTATCCAGACTTTTTTGTCTTTCTTATCGACAATTGTTAAGTCTGGGGTGTTATGTTGCAGGTGCTTGTCTGTTTGAATTATTATTATTAATAATAATAATAATAATAATAATAATAATAATAATAATAATAACAACAACAACACTGATGGTGCTGTATCTCCAGAGGCCAAATTCTTCCTATCGTCCAGCTCCATTTTCTGTCTTAAGCAGGCAGAAAAATAGGAGATTTCCTAAATCAATTTTGGGCTGTTCAAAACCAATTAAGTGGAAGTGTCCTCAGAAAAACGTACGCTGCAAAGAACAAGTTCCATTTAACGTATAAAACACGAATAGAACTTGCTGTTAGTAAGTCTACAACGTACAGTCCCACCACTCTTTCCAAACTCTAGATGGCAGCAATTCCAACATTATGCTCTTTTCACAAAACAGCTTCCCCCAAACTCAACAGCATTGAGACAAAAAAGTTTTGATGAGAAGGGAGTTTACATTAGCTGAGATTTCATATTCATTGGCTTTAAAGATATACTTCGTAGCATATACAGGGAGATAAGATTGAATTTGTGAAAGAAAGTATAAGGTATATTTTATAAAATATAATTTCTCCTTAGTTGGGTATATCTAGTCTAGTGAAAAGAAGGACTAGGAGTGACAGGATAGCAGTCTTCCAGTATCTCAGGGGTTGCCCCAAAGAAGAGGCAGTCAAGCTATTCTCCAAAGTGCCTGAAAGCAGGACAAGAAGCAACGGGTGGAAACTAACCAAGGAGAGAAGCAACCTGGAATTAAGGAGAAACTTCTTCACAGTGAGGACAATTAACCAGTGGAACAACCTGCCTCCAGAAGCTGTGAATGCTTCAACACTGGACGTTTTTAAGAAAAGACTGGACAGCCATTTGTCTGAAATGCTGTAGGATTTCCTGCCTGAGCAGGGGGTTGGACTAGATGACCTCCAAGGTCCTTTCCAAGTCTCTTACCCTGTTATTCTTCTTTTTTGGGAGTTGAGCATCTACTAAACAAAGCAGCCACCCACTTCATCATTGAAGAATGCCTGTCCTGGAGCCAGAGGCATTCTTGAAATGAGAGCTGTTGCTTTCGGAATGCCAGCACCCCCCTTCTCTTGGATAATTAAAATAATTGGTTTAAATGTTAGCATTCAGATGGGGGCGGGGAACACATGGAATATGCAGAAAAATGACAGCAGCTGGACAAGGCAATCCAGCATTAGTTTTCAACTAATTTAGATTTGGTTTTCAACTAATTAGAATTCAACAATCAAGCCTGTAAGAAAACCCAGGAGAAGTGGATTAACTCCAAGGTCACCTTCAGACCCACAATCAAGTAAGCAAGACCCCAATCAAGAACTGCCAAAGAGACATCAGCAAACAGCCCAACCAAAGACCCCCACTCACCCACAGAGACAAACAAAACACCAGAACATATATTAACAGCAAACAACACTCCTTACTAGCACTGATGATGTTACCTAGTTGGGTCATGAAACGTCTGCAAGAAAACAAGCAAGTTCAGAGAGCACCAAAGACCCCATAGCTCAGGCAGGAGAACCTACACCATTTCAGACAAGTAACTGTCCAGCCTCTTCTTAAAACCTCCAGTGATGGAGCACCCATGATTTCTGGTGGCCAGCGGTTCCACTGGTTAATTATCCTCACAGTCAGGAAGTTTCTCCTTAAATCCAGGTTGCTTCTCTCTTGGCTCTTTTCTGGGATGGATGGATAGATTGTAGAGAAGGAGGTATGGATAGATGGGAGGAAGGAATGGGGGGATAGATAGATAGATAGATAGATAGATAGATAGATAGATAGATAGACAGACAGACAGACAGACAGACAGACAGACAGACAGACAGACAGACAGATAGATAGATGGATTAGAGAGAAGGAGGGATGGATAGATGGGATGAAGGAATGGGGGATAGATAGATGGATGGATGGATGGATGGATGGATGGATGGATGGATGGATTAGAGGGAAGGAAGGAAGGAAGGAAGGAAGGAAGGAAGGATGGATTAGAGGGAAGGAGGGATAGATAGATTTGATGGAGGGATGGGGGATAGATGATAGATGATAGAAGATAGATAGATAGATAGATAGATAGATAGATAGATAGATAGATAGAGATAGATAGATAGATAGATAGATAGATAGATAGATAGATAGATAGATAGATAGGGAGATAGAGAGATAGATAGACAGCCTCCTTGATCCAAATAATAATAATAATAATAATAATAATAGACTTGGAGGGGATCTTGGAGGTCATCTAGTCCAACCCCCTGCTCAGGAAGGAAACCCTATACCATTTTGGACAAATGGCTGTCCAGTCTCTTCTTAAAAACCTCCAGTGTTGGAGCATTCACCGCTTCTGGAGGTGAAGTGAGCGAGACACATTTTAGTGCTACACATTCACACAACCTCGCTGTCCCTTAACAACCCACTCCCAGGCCTGACTTTATTGAGCCCATGTTTGGTCCAGAAGCACCTACCACAAAATTCCGGCTTCCTCCAGTTGATCAGCACCCCTTTGCGGGCGCAAGCCATGGCATAGGCCGAGACCGCCGTGCACAAGCAGTCTCTGCCATCCGCGCAGGAGCAGACGTCGTAGCGGCAGTTCTTCAGGTAAGGAGAAGGGCTGACCTCCGGGTGGCAGGGCGCGAACAGGGGTGACAGCAGGACCGAGCAGGAGCTGTCCGCGTACCTGGCTGGAAGGACAGCAGGTTCAACACAGGAGCCACGGAGCAAGAATTGCAACTCATCGCAAATACGGTAACTGTGCTGTTTGGGCAGGGAGGGATTATTTTATTGATGTTTCGAAAACACCCGTCTCCCTCAAAGAGGGGCTTGGATCCTTATTGCTGATCAGCCTTGTTTATTTATCCAGTTTTGGTCAGCACAATGTAAAAAAGAGGTGGAGACTCTAGAAAGAGTGTAGAGAAGAGCAACAAAGATGATCAGGGGGCTGGAGGCTAAAACATATAAGGAACGGCTGCTGGAATTGGGTCTGTCCAGTTCTCACCCCTCGTCCTTCTCTTCGTTAAACTGGACATACCCAATTCCAGTCACCGTTCCTTATATGCTTTAGCCTCCAGTCCCCTGATCATCTTGGTTGCTCTTCTCTGTACTCTTTCTAGAGTCTCAACCTCTTTTTTACATCGTGGTGACCAAAACTGGATGCCGTATTCCAAGTGTGGCCTTACCAAGGCATTGTAAAGTGGTATTAACACTTCATGTGATCTTGATTCTACCCCTTTTTTAATGCAGCCTAGCACTGTGTTGGCCTTTTTGGCAGCTGCAGCACACGGCTGGCTCATATTTAGGTGATTGTCCACTAGGACTCCAAGATCCCTCCCGCAGTTACTACTATTGAGCAAGGTACCACCTATACTGTATCTGTGCCTTTGGTTTTTCTTGCCTAAATGTAGAACCTTGCTTTTTTCACCATTGAATTTAATTTTGTTAGATAGCGTCCAGTGTTCAAGTCTGTCCAGATCCTCCTGTATCCTAAGCCTGTAACTTCTGGAGTGTTGGCTATTCCTGCCAGCTAGATATCGTCTGCAAATTTGATGAGTTCCCCATCTATCTCCTCATCCAAATCGTTGATGAAGATGTTGAAGAGCACGGCGCCCTTCCTGCGATGGGGCAGAGAGACGCAGGTAGAGAAACCAAATCAGGAAATCTCTTTTAAGTATTTTTTTTTTTAACAGGGTGAATTGGGGAGAGGTAAGAAATAACCTTTCATCTTTTTGTTGTGTGTGTGTGTGTAGCCTTGGGTAGCCTGCCAAAGCAACATTCCTAAAGTGGGCCCAGCCAAGGAGGAAAAAAAAAAAAAAAGGAAGGGCCAAGAGAATAACAAAACTCGTTTTAATGCAAAAAGTGGATATTACGCATTTAATCGCGTCCCGCTTTGGCCGTGCTAAAAGCTACACTCCAGCGCATAAACCAGAATCCTGATTTAATGCGTGGAGTGGAGTGGACTCTTGTCCCTAAAAGGGAGAATTGTGTCTGCCTTTAACGTGCACAGAACTCTTGGCTGGATCAAAATAAGACCCTGCTATTTTAAATCACAGCCCACAAGGGCTCTGTCATAAGCACACCCACCTAAGCGAGGATTGAGGCTGCAGGAATTGCTGTCTTGTTTTTGCAGATCTTCACAGTCCCCCTTCAGCTTCCAAGAATTTCCAAAGTCCTCCACAAGGGTTTCCACCAGTCCAGAAGGGGTGAGGAAATCATCTCCTTGATTGCCATTGTAGTTGCCACACAAGCCACAAATTTGTTCGGTGTATTCTGAAGATAACTAGAACAAAGGCGGAGGCGGAAAAAAAAAAAAGCTTATTTTCCTTTGCAGGAGTTTGAAAATAGAAAACAACAACAAATAAATAAAACAGTGTACACAACTGGAAGACAGGAAAGCCTGGAGCAGTGGTTCTCAACCTGTGGGTCGGGACCCCATTTGGGGTCGAACGACCATTTCACGGGGGTCGCCAAACAAGGCTGTCCGCCATTTTTTCCCCCTTTTCTTTGGCCACGCCCCTGGCACCCGGTGATGTATAAGTGGTTGGGGGTCACCACAACATGGGGAACTGTATTATGGGGTCGCGGCATTAGAAAGGTTGAGAACTACTGCCCTGGAGGAACGTTGTCCATGGGGTCGCGATGGGTCGGACACAACTTTGCAACTAACAACACACAACTGGAAACGTCCACTAAACGTGCCTGGAGCTAGTTGTCGTATTTATTGGATATCTAGGTAGTGCTTGACTTAACAACAATAGTCTGTGGTTAAGTGAAACATTGTTAAGTGGATTTTGCTCCATTTTGTGAACTTTCTTTCCACAGATCACTGAAGTTGTTAAGTGAGTAACCTGGTTGTTAAGTGGATCTGGCTTCCCCCATTGACTTTGCTTGTCCAAAGGCAGCAAAAAGGGGATCACGTGATCCTGAGAGGCTGCGACCGTCGTAAGTATGAACCAGTTGCCCAGCGTCCGAATTTTGATCACGTGACCCGGGCGAGGCTGCAAGGGGTCGGAAGTGTGAAAAACGGCCATAGGTCCCCTTTTATTTCAGTGCCATTGTTAACTCTGAACCGTCCCTAAAGGAACCGTTGTAAGTTCGAGGAGCAGCTGAACTTAAAGGCTGCTTCTTAGATCAAAACATCTCTTAAGAGGCTCATACTCAAAACAGGTGTATATTCCATAAGAGGAAGGGGGTTCAATCATTCTTAATTTTTTAAAAAAGGGAATGGGGGAAGAGGGAAAAAAGATTCTTTTCGTGTCCATCCGGGGAAAGCCTGGATGGAAGCAAAAGTGAATTTATTACAAGCCCCTAAAACGGCGATTGGTTTGGCGAAAGAGGGAAGAGAGAAAAAAAAACTTTGTGAAGCACAAACATCACCCCGAAAAAGTCTTCCCCGTATTCAGGGTGCATTCTGGGACCTTCTCTTGTGCTCCTCCCCAACGGTTTGAACCCAAGGAGAAGTTGGGGATTCACTAAACACCAAAACCACACACACAACCTCATTATTTGCTTCTAAAACTCTACAGTTACTGAAAACATGAGAGTAGAAAGACAAGTTTTTCCTGTCTGCTCATGCCATGGAATATCTTAAATTCAGGATCATCTTCTTTTGGCTTAAACGTTCAAAAAAAAAAGTCTTCCAGAAGGATTTATATTTTTAATAATAATAATAATAATAATAATAATAATAATAATAATAATAATAATAATGTTGGAAGGTACCTTGGAGGTCATCTAGTCCAACCCCCTGCTCAGGCAGGAAACCCTACACCATTTCGGACAAATGGCTGTCCAGTCTCTTCTTAAAAACTTCCAGTGTTTGCTTCTGACAAGCGAAGTCAATGCCGGATCCACTTCCCAGCTGGGTTACTAACTTATCAACTGCAGCAATTTGTCTAACGACTGGGGCAAGAACAGTTGTAAAATGGGGCAAAACTCACTTAATAATTATCTCGTTTAACCAAAATTTGGGCTTCAGCTGTGGTCATTAAGTCGAGAACTAACTGTATATTTTTAGTGCTGGCTTCTTAAAGGATAAAGCAAAATCTACTCAGTTTAGACAGATTTACTTCTATGCAGATAAAAGCTCATAGGTATGGACAGCAACTAAATCCAGGCAAATTTAAAGAAGAAATTTCTACAAGATAGATACTCTTTTGATATTAATACTAAATATATTACAGTTACCAACTGTGAGAAAAGGGAGATGGGGCATATGAAATAATGCTGTAATTGGGGGAGTGAAAGGATTTCTGGGATGTTTTAGGAACTTGTCTATTTTTTATAATATTTCTTTTCATGTATATTTCAGTGTATTTGTTGAAAATGGTGGCTGAGCATTGAAAGTTGGAAGGGCACGGAGGGAAAAGATGCCATTGTTTGGGAACGTAGCAGGAAACTCAGATTATGCAACATTTGTCATAAATATGTCTGCTACGTTCGTTGGGAATGACTCGCTTCCCCCAATTGTCTAAAATATTTGGCACTGTCTCCTGTTGTGCCTGGGCATTAAAATTATTTTTTTCATCCTCCAAAGCAGCCACCCACCAATGTTGAAGGAACAGAAGCATTTGGGAAAAGAAAAAGAAAAAAAAAACAGGAGAAAATCAGATGGTACATTGGAAATATAGGTAGTCCTTCATTTATGACCACGATTGAGCTCAACATTTGTGTTGTGTTGTTAAGTGGATTTTGCCCTATTTTTCTGAACTTTCTTGCCACTAGTATTAAATTGTTAAGTCAGTAACACTGTTGTTAAACAAATCTGGCTCCTCCATTAACTTTGCTTGTCGGAAGGTCACCAAAGGTGATGTTCACATGACTCCAGGACACTGCAACCATCATAAAAATGAATCAGTTGGCTCAAATGCTGGAACACTGCTATCATGTCACCCCTGTTTCTTCTTTTCTTTAGACTAGCCAAACCCAAGTCCCACAGCCGTTCTTCGTATGTTTTGGTCTCCAGGCCTTGGATCCTCTTAGTTGCTCTTCTCTGGGTTTTTTTTCCAAGGTCTCAACATCTTTTTTGTGATATGGTGACCAAAATTGGCTGCAGTATTCCAGGTGTGGCCTCACTAGGGTTTTATAAAGTGGTACTAATCACTAATCTAGTGATGCTGTAACAGTCACAAGTGTGAGGATCAGTCTTTTTTCAGCACCATAACTTTGAACAGATTCTAAATGAACGGTCATAAGTGGAGTTTGTTTCAGGATCTGGGTTGACTTCTGTCAAGAAGAGAGCACAAAGTTTGCTCCTGACAGGCCACTAAATACACATCTATAAAGAGTCTATTTTATAGAGAGAGAATAGAGCTGGAAGGAACCCTGGAGGTCTTCTAGTCCAACCCCCTGCTCAAGCAGGAGAATCTACTCCATCTCAGACAGGTGACTGTCCAGTCTCTTCTTAAAAACCTCCAGTGATGGAGCGCCCACAATTTCTGGTGGCAAGATGTTCCCCTGGTTAATTGTCCTCACTGTCAGGAAGTTTCTCCTTAATTCCAGGTTGCTTCTCTCTTTGGTCAGTTTCCAACCATTGTTTCTTGTCCTGCCCTCTGGTGCTTTGGAGAATAACATGACCCCCTCTTCCTTGTGGCAGCCCCTCAAATACTGGAACACTGCTATCATGTCTCCCCTATTTCTTCTTTTCTTTAGACTAGCCAGATCCAAGTCCCGCAGCTGTTCTTCGTATGTTTTAGTCTCCAAGCCTTGGATCATCTTAGTTTCTTTGCTCTGAATTTTTTCCAAACTCTCAACATCTTTTCTTTTTTGTGTGTGTGTGATATGGTGAACAAAATTGGCTGCAGTATTCCAGGTGTGGCCTCACTAGGGTTTTTATAAAGCAGTACTAATACTTTGCGTGATCTTGATTATTCGGGGATAACAATCACAGGTCCGCAAACTAGAAATCCACACATGGCAAGGTTTTTGATGTGCCTCTACAATTTGCCCTCACCTCCCTCTCAAGTTCAAATTGTTTATTTGGCTCTGCTAAATGGACCAAACGTGGCACAGATCTTTTCAGAGTTGGCCAATTTGTTTCTAACTCAGTAACTCGTCCTGACCAGTGATTTGAATCTGAGGAAATTCTGCCTTGCCTTCAATTCTACAAACCCCCAGAAAAGTTCCTGATCAAGGTTAAAAACCAAAAAACTAAAACTAAACGTCTATTTTAATGTAGTAACATTTAGCACGGATCATCATCTTTTGAAATCAAGGAAAAAAGCGATCAGACAAGAAAACAAAGTGACCTTTAAGAACAAATTGCTGGAACAGGAAATGATGTAAACAAAGAATCTTTTACTCATAATTTCATGGAAAGAAAATATAAAGAGAGGAGAGAAAGGGGGGGAGGGGGGGACAGTGTAGAATTTCACTATTATTTGGCTTTCTTTAATGAAATTAATCTACCTGCAGGAATCGTTAAGCACAATGTACTCCAGGAAACGCAGTTGCTATTGAAGTTTTAGTGATCCTAAAAAGCAGTCTGCTTGAGATTCTCCAAGTCTTATGTCCTGGGTAGTCTTTTCTGCAATGATGAATTGTTAGATTTCACCCAGAGAGTTTATTGGTTTCTTGCAGAAAAAAAGGTGTTACTTTTATTTAAAGTTCTAATTATGTACCTTGTATGAATATATGTATTATGAAGAGCGGTTGCAGAAATTGGGTATGCCTACCTTAATGAAAAGAAGGACTAGAGGTGACATGATAGCAGTCTTCCAATATTTGAGGGGCTTCCACAGAGAAGAGGGGGTCAACCTATTCTCCAAAGCCCCTGAGGGCAGGACAAGAAGCAACGGATGGAAACTAATCAAGGAAAGGAGCAACCTGGAATTAAGGAGGAATTTCCTGACAGAACAATTAACCAATATAACAGAAGTTGCCTCCAGAAGTTGTGGGTGCTCCAACACTGAAAGTTTTTAAGAGATTGGGCATTTGTCCAGAATAATGTAGAGTTTCCAGCTTGTGCTGGAGGTTGGACTAGAAGATCTCCAAGGTCCCTTCCAATTCTGTTATTCTGTTATATAAGTTTATGTAATATAATAGAGCATAATACCCATCTTGCCAGTTATTCTTTTGCCTCATTCCTCACCCACAATTCCATGTTTTCTGCATAGTGAGAAATGCTGTCAAAGGCTGTATCCACATGAAACACTTAATTATGGCTTAAGAAATTCTAAACTCAACATTTTAACTTTGTACAACATACTATACCTAACCAAAGATCCTGGAGTTGCCCAAACGTAAGGCAAAATGGGATCAATTTATTTAGGTTCAATATGTCATACAAACATTTCTGTGCCAGCACTTCCATGTTTTTTCTTTAAATCAGGAATTCCATTATCAATCTTATCCAAGTGTAAAAATGAAGTCATTTTGGACATTTCATTAGTCCTTGATTAGAAAACCAGCAAAAAAAAAAAAAAGTTTAGGGATAGTGTAAGAAAACACTTAGGTGGGATTGCCAAAAAAAACCTACGTAGATGGTTTCATGAAGTCAACAGTAAGTCTTCATCTTTTCAAAAAAAGAAATAAACATTTGACATGTTCTCAGCTCTGGAGATATTTCAGCCTAGGAACTTGTTTTATGTATCCAATTTATATGGTGGATGAGAAAAGGGACAATTTAATCAACATGACCTTATCCCATGCACTCCCAACTTTCCACTAAATTTATTTCCTGTCTCCATAGGAGCAGAGGATTAACGCAGAATTGTTTTTTGTACCTGAAGAACTTTTGACTTCAATAATAAACAAAACTGTACAAAACAAGGACGTTTTTTTTTTAACAATGGAAGATCTGAATTTTCATCTTAGTGATGCATAAAAAAAAGCCTAGGCTGCATTGACAGTGGGATAGAAACAAGATCACATGGAACCCTAAGGCCACACGTGGAATCCTGCATCCACTTTTGGTCACCACGATGGGAAAAAGACGTGGAGACTCCAGAAAGAGTGCAGAGAAGAGCAACAAAGAGGATTAAGGGACTGGAGGCTAAAATCCTGTCTATCCAGAAGGAAAACTCCAGTGACCCTTACTCCATATAGTTATAAGAGGGATTGTAATTTTGAAGTCTAAATGACATTTCTTGACCCTGAGGTGGGCTGCAAAATCATGAGAGCTACTAGAAGACGGGATTTAGTCTCTTAGCGAGATCCTGAATCATATATGTATGACTTGACTACAACCACCCTTGCTCAGCTGAGCACAGGGAGAAAAATCAAGATGCCAGCCTCCCCTCCACACACATACACACACACAAACACACACAATGCCCTTGTGCATTCAGGGTTACCCTGTCAACTAACGGCATCGTTTCTTTAGTCCACAAAAGTTCCAGGGAAATGACTCAACTGGGTCCCAGCCGAAGGCCCCAAAGTTGCATCCTCAAGGCTGAGACACTTTCTTACCGAGAAATCTTTGGGAAACAGAACATGACAGTTTTGCGGTGTGAACGCACCGTGTTGAAGTGCCAGATGTTGGTCCATGCTCAGATTTCCCAACAAGCCACGGTCGTGTAACCGAGCTAGAACGAAGAAGGAATTTCCTGACGGTGAGAACAATTAACCAGTGGAAAAACCCTGCCTCCAGAAGTTGTGGATGCTCCAACACGGGAAGTTTTTAAGAAGAGACTGGACAGCCCTTTGTCTGGAATGGTGTAGGGTTTCCTGCCTGAACAGGGGGTTGGACTAGATGACCTCCAAGGTCCCTTCCAACTCTGTTATTGGATGGTGTGGCTTTTCTCCTTTTTTTTAAAAAAAAAAAATGGAAACACCAGAGGAAGAAGGAAATGTCAACTCTACCTTCATTACAAGAGTTCCCAGCCCATCCCAGTCCAGATGCATATTCTCCTTATAGCTGAGGCGAACAGCTGGCAGCACCGTATGCTGGATGTGCAGAGTATCTGGAAGAAACAAGGGCACGGCCTAAGCTAAGGTATCTCCTTCGCAAGCATTAGCAACTCAGCAAATGGCCCTTCCAGACAACCATGCCTTCGGGCCCCTTGTGTGAAAAAGGTAACCAGGATTGACCTCATTTGATCCCCTGGAAGCTCATTCTTCCAACAAAAAGGAATATATATATATGTAGGTCTTTGGTTATTCGGGTTTTCTCCCGAGTAAAATTGGAAGTGTCTTGGCGACGTTTCAACGAAGTCCCATTCGTCATCTTCAGGCTGGTGTTTTCAGCTTCGTGCTTCGAGGAGCAATGTGTGGTCCTCGAAGCACGAAGCTGAAAACACCAGCCTGAAGATGACGAATGGGACTTCGCCGAAACGTCGCCAAGACACTTCCAATTTTACGCGGGAGAAAACCCGAATAACCAAAGACCTATATATTGCTTCTCCTATTTGAATCATCTGAAATTGCTAAGGTCTGGGCACTCGGTCTCTAAAAGGTTCGCCATCACTGGTATAAGGTCTTCTGCTAGAGCAGGGTTTAGACTAGAAGACCTCCAAGGTCCCTTCCAATTCTGTTAAAAAATAACCCCATGCTCTACAGTTAAAAGCTCTGTTTAGCCCTAGCAGAGCAAAATAACTTTGCTCTAATTCAAAGAAAAGTTATCCCAGCAAAGCACATGACAACTTGCATGATTCTCAGCAGCAACCCGTGACGATTAAATCAGTCTGAAATTGAAGCATCTGAAGCTCTTAGAGGGCCACGTTACGTGGAAACACCCGCAGTTGTTTTGTAATCCTCCCTTTCCTTCTGGTAAGGAAATGTAGGTGGACCAGTGGTGACCCTTACTCACAACTCCTTTCCAGTTCAAGGACAAAGGGGGTGTATTTTTTGCTTTCTGAATTTCCCCAGAAACGGCAACTGGTTGTGGAAAAACAAAGCAAAATGTTTAGGCTTCCCTTCCAGGACAGACGATGATCTAACAGCACAGTTCTTCACGGCAATTAGTGGTGACTGGAAATTGATTTTCAAATGCTCAAGGCCAATGACCGGTTTTCTTAACAGCTGTTGTTGGTTGTTTTTTTTTTTTGTTTTTTTTTTGCAGAGGTCCAATTTTCTCTGCTTTTGCTTTCGCCCTGCCTCTCTTGGAAGCTAAACCTTTTCCCTAAAATGAGGACGCCTCCATTTCATTTTCTGCTGTAGGTTTCCAACTGTGCCACAGATCCTGGGGAACGTAGATGAGGGAAACAGACTAGCTCAGGGATCTTCAAACTTGGCCCTTTGATGACATGTGGACTTCAACTCAACAGAATTCAACAGAATTCTGGAGTTAAAATCCACAAGTCATCAAAGGGTCAAGTTCGAAGACCGCTACTTGTGGTCTTCAACTCCCAGAATTCCTCAGCCAGGATGCTTTAAAACAGGGGTCTTCAAACTTGGCCCTTTGATGACTTGTGGACTTCAACTCCCAGAATTCCTCAGCCAGGATGCTTTACGACAGGGTCTTCAAACTTGGCTCTTTGATGACTTGTGGACTTCAACTCCCAGAATTCCTCAGCCAGGCACGCTGGCTGAGGAATTCTGGGAGTTGGAAGTCCACAAGTCATCAAAGGGCCAAGTTTGAAGACCTCTACTTGTGGTCTTCAACTCCCAGATTTCCTCAGCCAGGATGCTTTACGACGGGTCTTCAAACTTGGCCCTTTGATGACTTGTGGACTTCAACTCCCAGAATTCCTCAGCCAGGCACGCTGGCTGAGGAATTCTGGGAGTTGGAAGTCCACAAGTCATCAAAGGGCCAAGTTTGAAGACCCCTACTTGTGGTCTTCAACTCCCAGAATTCCTCAGCCAGGATGCCTTAAGACAGGGCTCTTCAAACTTGGCCTTTTGATGACTTGTGGACTTCAACTTCCAGAATTCCTCAGCCAGGCACGCTGGCTCAGGAATTCTGGGAGTTGGAAGTCCACAAGTCATCAAAGGGCCAAGTTGGAAGACCCCTGGACTAGCCCATCCCAGGAAGCAAAATCTGAAGTCTCCAAAGCTGCATAAAACCTCCTGAACTTTCTTCTCTCTCGTAATGTCTAGGGAGATTCTTCATCCTCCAGGTCCTGGTTGTCCCAAAGCTGCTTTTTTTTTCTTCAGGAGGAGACTGGACTTCCTTTGTTTTTCTTTGAAGGCATTTCACTTCTTCTCCAAGAAGCTTTTTCAGCTCTGACCGGATGGTAGGGAGATGGAAGGATTTATATTGCAGAAAAACTGGTCATTTGCCTCCTTTTGGCGAGTCGTTGAGGCCATTTGGAGGCTTATCTGTGTTGTCAGATAACAGTTCCAAGAAGGCTCCATAGCCATTTGCACATCTACTCAGGTGCTTCATTGCTGGAGGTTTTTCAGAAAAGACTGGACAGCCCCCTGTCTGAAATAATATAGGGTCTCCTGCTTGAGCAGGGGGCTGGACTAGAAGACCTCCAAGGGCCCTTCCAGCCCTATTCCGATTGATTGAGATGTTTTGGGATTCCTGACGTTGAACCTGTGAGCCAGAAGTGGGGAATGATGGCCCCTTTCATGACTTGTGGACTTCAACTCCCAGAATTCCTGAGCTGGCTCAAGAATTCTGGGAGTTGAAGTCCACAAGTCATGAAAGGGGCCATCGTTCCCCAGCCCCGCGGTAAGCCAACATGAGCTGGAGGCCTTCCTCCTGGGGAGGCAGAAGACAACGTGAGCAAGAAGGCTACGCACTTAGTATGAAGGGAATCTGAACGTCTTGGCCGTTCACAGAAACACCCCCGCCGTGTTTCAGTTTGATAGTGAAGTTCTCCTCCTGGAGCTGCACGGAGACTGAGCGGGTGCACACAGCATCCCGGTCATCAGCACACTGGAGAGACAAGGAGAAGGAAATGTCAGTTTAGATATAGCTTCAGGAGTTCAGTGGCAGGAATGGAATCTCTCTCTTTTTCTCTTTTTCTGTCTCTGTCTCTTTGTGTCTCTTTCTCTTTCTCTCTCTCTCTCTCTCTCTCTGTGTCTCTCTTTTTCTCTGTTTCTGTCTCTCTCTGTCTCTCTGTCTGTTTCTCTGTCTCTGTGTCTCTTTCTCTCTCTCTCTCTCTCTATGTCTCTGACTCTCTGTCTCTGTCTCCCTCTCTTTCTCTCTCCCTCTCCATCTCTGTCTCTCTCTTTCTTTCTCTCTGTCTCTGTCTTTCTATTTCTCTGTCTTATTCTCTCTCTCCCCCCCCATGTCTCTGACTCTCTCTCTCTTTCTCTGTCTCTCTCCCTCTCTTTCTCTCTCTCCCTCTCCATCTGTCTCTCTCTTTCTTTCTCTCTGTCTCTGTCTTTCTATTTCTCTGTGTCTCATTCTCTCTCTCTCTCTCCCCCTCTCTATGTCTCTGACTCTCCCCCTCTCTCTTTCTCTCTCTCCCTCTCCATCTCTGTCTCTCTCTCTGTCTCTGTCTTTCTATTTCTCTCTGTGTGTCTCGTTCTCTCTCCCTCTCCCCCTCTCTATGTCTCTGACTCTCTCTCTCTCTGTGTTATTCTGTTACTCTGTTATTCTGTTCATCTCAAGGCTATCATGCTTGATCAGCATCCTTCAGCTGAACATGTCTTTCCTTGTTCTTAACAGCAATTCACCACTTCTGCTTTCCTACTTGACTTCTGTTGTGGTGAGCCATAAAACGTTGCTCTTTTGGGGATTTTCTCACGTCTCCTTTTTTTTACAAACAATATTTTGTGTTCTCAGAAGTTCCGAATCCATGGTGACTCCTTCTCCAAAGGCCCCTTGCCAAAGACGCAACAGAAGGATTGTGGGTTTGTGGGCTCCCTTTCCTTCCTGATTCTGTACATCAGCACAGATGCAAAACAGTTTTAGCGTGAGACGGATTTTGACACATATTCCATGTTTACTACTGGATGAAAGCCACACTTCACCTTTGTGTGGGACTCAGACACAAATGCAATGTGAGTGTTCAATTGAAATTCACCGACAAAGAACTAAAGGGAGACTAGTACAGCAGTATGTAAGAGGAAGCAGTATGCTCCCTTCCATATTTGCGGTTGCCCTGATAGACCGGCCTCACCGAAAAACAAACAAATGAAATGTGTTTTCATTTAAATAAAACACACATATACAGCTTCCTTAAATACTCTTAAAATGAGGAACTTCAAATATTTAATAGCTTTGCTTCTTGCCTTCAGACTTACAATGAGTTGTAAGTTTGAGAAGGTTACAGGTGAGGAAGGGGCGGACTGGGGCTATGATTGTGTATCTCTGAACTGATTTTTGTGAGGCGACAGGATGGAGAATTATTCTGTGGGGTCCTTGGTGCTCTCTGAGCTTGGCGTTTTTCTTGCAGATGTTTCATTACCAAACTAGGTAACATCATCAGTGCTAGAAGGGGGTGGGGTTTGTGGAATGGAGGAGGAGGAGGAGGAGGAGGAGGAGGAGGAGGAGGAGGAGGAGAAGAAGAAGAAGAAGAAGAAGAAGAAGAAGAAGAAGGAGAAGGAGAAGGAGAAGGAGAAGGAGAAGGAGAAGGAGAAGGAGAAGGAGAAGGAGAAGGAGAAGAAGTAATAATGTGGGGTCTTTGGTGCTCTCTGAGCTTGGAGGTTTTCTTGGAGACATTTCATTACCAAACTAGGTAACATCATCAGTGGTAGAAAGGAATGGGGTTAGTGAAGAGGAGGAGGAGGAGGAGGAGGAAGAAGAAGAAGAGGAAGAGGAAGAAGAAGAGGAAGAGGAGGAGGAGAACTGTGGGGTCCTTGGTGCTGTCTGAGCTTGGTGGTTTTCTTGCAGATATTTCATTACCAAACTAGGTAACATCATCAGTGCTAAAAGGGAGTGACGTTTGTGGAATGGAGGAGGAGGAGGAGGAGGAGAACTGTGGAGTCCTTGATGCTGTCTGAGCTTGCTTGTTTTCTTGCAGACGTCTCATCTCCCAACTAGGTGATGTCATCAGTGCTAGCCCTGAGCTGCAGAGATTCTATCGGAGACCTGTTCCCTGGTACCCACATTTTTTTCCCACCGGCGTTTTCTCTTTCAACAAACTTGCTCTTACCTGGACTGTCTCAATGAAGACCGAAAAGGCGTTCCCCTCGCAGTCTCCAGCAAACAAGTAATGGCAGATTCCACTGAAGGTGAAGTGTTTGTTGTCAAAGCTTTTGAAGTGGGACTGGCCAGTGACAGAGCACTCTCCTGGAGAAGGAAAAAATGAAAGACTCATCTGCAAATAAACCGCACGTAACAATTTTACATTAGGCTACATTCTCTGCTTTGATTAAAATAATAATAAAAAAAAGAACCCACGTTCTGGATTTCAAATAATTGCGTGGTTGATTTGTTTGTGGTTAAGAGTCTAAAGCTTTACTGAACTCCAATGACGTTATCAGAAAACGCTCTGGCCCAGCTTTTTTTTTTTTCCCCTCTTTCCCCTAAAATTGATTCACGAAAATGAATGGATGGATGGATGGATGGACAGACAGACAGGAGGTGGGATAGATAGACAGACAGACAGACAGACAGACAGACAGACAGACGGACGGACGGACGGACGGATGGGTGGGTGGACGAGCAGGCGGGCAGGCAGACAGACAGATAGACAGAGAATGGTGGGATAGATAGACAGACAGACAGGCAGATAGGCAGGCAGGCAGACAGACAGACAGACAGACAGACAGTGGTGAGAATCATCCGGTTCGCACCAATTAGGCAGGTAGCTAATTTTTGGTCGCCCAGGCCCAAAACGGACTTCTGGAAGCGGCACCCATGCAGAGAACCGGATGTTCACCTATTTGAATCCCACCACTGATCAGGGAGGTGACATGATAGCGGTCTTCCAATATTTGACGGGCTGTCATGGAGAAGGGGGGGGGGGTTCCACCTATTCTCCAAAGCACCTGAAGGCAGGACTTTGGAAAACAGGTTGACCCCACCCCCCTCCTCTCTGTGACGTGCAAAAAAGTGCAAAGAAGAGAAAGACTCCTGACAAGACTCTGAAGGCCTACTTTGAGAAAGAAAAAAGCCAGAAGGCAAGGGAAACCTGTATTTGAAATAAGCAGCGATTCGTTCACTGGAGGGTGCAAGGACCACAACATACCTGGGCAGGCTTCATTGTTGCAGACCCACGCGCCATGCCTGCAAATACTAAGGGGGCAAGAAAAAATGTTTCTCTGTTAGGGTTAGGGACAAAGTGAATCCTGTTCCTATTCTATTCTATTCTATTCTATTCTATTCTATTCTATTCTATTCTATTCTATTCTGTTCTGTTCTGTTCTGTTCTGTTCTGTTCTTTTCTGTTCTATTCTATTTTCTATTCTATTCTATTTTCTGTTCTATTCTGTTCTGTTCTGTTCTACTCTGCTCTATTCTATTTTCTATTTTGTTCTGTTCTATTCTATTTTCTATTCTATTCTATTTTCTGTTCTACTCTATTCTGTTCTGTTCTATTCTATTCTCCATTCAATTCCACTCCACTCCACTCCATTCCATCCCATGTTATTCTATTCTATTCTATTCTATTCTATTCTATTCTATTCTATTCTATTCTATATTTCTATCCTATTCTTTCTCTTCTCTTCTCTTCTACTCCTTATTCTATTCTATTCTATTCTATTCTATTCTACTCTACTCTACTCTATTCTATTCTATTCTATTCTATTCTATATTTCTATCCTATTCTTTCTCTTCTCTTCTCTTCTCCTCCTTATTCTATTCTATTCTATTCTATTCTATTCTATTCTATTCTATTCTATTCTATTCTATTCTATCCTATTCTATTCTATTCTATTCTATTCCTATTCTATTCTATATTTCTATCCTATTCTCTTTCTCTTCTCTTCTCTTCTCTTCTCTTCTCTTCTCTTCTCTTCTCTTCTATTCTATTCTATTCTATTCTATTCTATTCTATTCTATATTTCTATCCTATTCTCTTTCTCTTCTCTTCTCTTCTCTTCTCTTCTCTTCTCTTCTCTTCTCTTCTCTTCTCTTCTCTTCTATTCTATTCTATTCTATTCTATATTTCTATCCTATTCTCTTTCTCTTCTCTTCTCTTCTATTCCATCTTCTATTCTATTTTCACACCAGGTGTACTCTAGAAAGACCTGCCCCGCCCCCCCCCCCGCGGCTCACACCAAAGGGTAGACCAGAAGGAAAGGTGTCACCACAAGCCACCCACGATGACCATCGTACGTGGTTCATGTGTCATTCGCGAAGGGTGTGAATTATGCCGTTTGCATGATGACACCCGGGCAGAGTGACGTCGTTCTTGTTTGTGCAAGGCAGCTGGGGGTGTTTCGATGGTTGAAAGGGAAAAAAAAGGTGTATTTTATCCACAAGGTTTGAAAAAAAGGGGGGGGGATGAAGTAGATCAGTGTTTGTCAACCTTGGCAAGTTGAAGTCCAGACCTTTTCAACTCGCCAAGGCTGGCAAACACAGAAATAGACGAATGGACATGTGTTTCTGACATGGTTGCATTCTGGCTCCAAAGTGGGACCACCTAAACTGCCAGGTGGTTAGGAGCCAGATCCAGATCTCTGCAGGTGAGCCTCCGGGGATCCACTTTGGGGCATCCTCTTGCCCAGCACCCTGAACTGGAAGACCCCTGACTTGGCCTCGCCCCATGGGGGAGGGTCCCCTCCATCTTTCATCCGAGGATCGTGCTTACCATGAGTTGCAGTCCTGATAAACTGAAGAGCCAGGCGGGTATTTCTTGCCTGCATTTATGCAGGAGCAATCTGGGGCATCGACACAAACGTCCCCGTCCAGGAGCTTTCCCTCTGCAAAAGAAAGAAGGAAAGGAAAGGAAAAGAAAGGAAAGGAAAGGAAAGGAAAGGAAAGGAAAGAAAGAAAGAAAGAAAGAAAGAAAGAAAGAAAGAGGGAGGGAGGGAGGGAGGGAGGGAGGGAGGGAGGGAGGGAGGGAGGGAGAGAAGGAAGGGAGGGAGGGAGGGAGGGAGGGAGGAAGGAAGGAAGGAAGGAAGGAAGGAAGGAAGGAAGGAAGGAAGGAAGGAAGGGGAAAGGGAGGGGAAGGGAGGGAGGGAGGGAAGGAAGGAAGGAAGATTGGAAGGAAGGAAGGAAGGAAGGAAGGAGAAAGGGAGGGGAAGGGAGGGAGGGAGGGAAGGAAGGAAGGAAGGAAGGAAGGAAGGAAGGAAGGAAGGAAGGAAGGAAGGAAGGAAGGAAGGAAGGAAGGAAAGTTGGTTTCAGTTTCAATTCTGCAGACTGACTCTATTTAGCAAAACTGGCCTGACAGTGAGGACAATCAACTTGTGGAACAGAAGTTGCATCCAGAAATCATGGGCGCTCCATTATTGGAGATCTTTTAAGAAGAGCCTGGACATCACTTGTCTGAGATGGTGTAGGTACTCCGGCTTGAGCAGGGGGCTGGACTAGAAGACCTCCAAGGTCCCTTTCAACTCTACTCTACTCTACTCTACTCTACTCTACTCTTCTATTCTATTCTATTCTATTCTATTCTATTCTATTCTATTCTATTCTATTCTATTCTATTCTACTCTATTCTACTCTGTTCTATTTTCTATTCCATTTTCTTTTCTATTCTTTTCTATTCTATTCTGTAATTCTATTCTATTCTGCAATTCTATTCTATTCTATTTTCTATTACATTTTCTATTCTGTTCTATTCTATTCAGAATTCATGCACCCACCAGGTAATGTTGGAATGCGCCCAATCCCTTTCCCCCCACCCCCCTTTTTAATTTTATTTTATTAAAGAGTGGTCCTTTGGGAGAAAACACACACACACACACACACACACACACACACACACACAGGCAGAGGGATAAATCAATAGTTGCAAGCATTCCAAAGTGCTTTCCTTCTCCCGAGTAAAAGGAGAAACAGCAAAGCCCCAAAGATTCCTGCTGTGCCCAAAGCTGCAAATCGATTTACCAGGGCAGCTGCAACCATCGACACACAGATCCGGACACACTTCGTTGATATTCAGGCTCTGGCAGGTCTTGGCACAGGCGGATGTGCACTCGTTGTACTGCAAGCCATTCGGGCACGCGGGTCCTGAAAAGGGAGAGGGAGGGAGAGGGAGAAAGAGGAGAAAGAGGGAGAAATGAAACCTTTGCGGGCATCCGTTAAGCGTGGCCCCCAAAGATGCATTCGCAGGAGGCAACTGGGCTTTCTTCTGAAGACGTTTTCGCTTCTCATCCAAGAAGCTTCTTCAGCTCTGACTGGATCGTTCCAATCTTTCCATTCTTCAGTCAGAGCTGAAGAAGCTTCTGAGATGAGAAGCAAAATGTCTTCAAAGAAAAACAAAGAAGTCCAGTTGACTCCTGAAAAAAGCACCTTTGGAAGACATCTTGGTGTCTGTGGAGGTTCTCGGTCCTCCATGTCATGGCTGTCCCCAAGGTGCTTCTTTCACGAGGCAACTGGGCTTCCTGTCCATCTATAGATAAACAAAGGAAGACATAAATCCTTTATAATTGCAATTATCCAGTTTGGGTAACCGTTCACCTTGGAGATACGTCTATACCATGGGTAGGCAACCTTGGCTCTTTTATGACTCGGGGACTTCAACTCCCAGAATTCCTCAGCCAGCCATGCTGAGGGGAAAGGGAGAGGTTTCCATGCTGAGCCATGCTGGCTCAGGAATTCTGGGAGTTGAAGTCCACAAGGCATGAGGGGGCCATAGTTCCTCCATGCTGGCTGAGGAATTCTGGGAGTTGAAGTCCACCAGTCATAAAAGGGCCAAGTTTGAAGACCCCTGGTTGAAATATTTAAATATTTTTTCCTCACGGTCACATGATCAAAATTCAGGCATTTGGGCAGGGGTAGGCAGCCTTAGTTCTTTTATGACTCGTGCACTTCAACTCCCAGAATTCCTGAGCCAGCCTGGCTCAGCTTGGAAACCTCTCCCTTTCCCCTCAGCTTGGTTGGCTCGGGAATTCTGGGAGTTGAAGTCCACCAGTCCTAAAAGAGCCATGGTTGCCTACCCCTGGTCTATACCCTTAGTTAGCAGGATGTTACAAGTCACGCCACAGAAGGGAGGGAAGATAAGACAGGAAAAAGGGGCCCTTTTTGATCTAATAATTGGAGGGTTTGGTAATTGTAATAGTTGCTAGGTGTTGGAAAGCAAGTGACCGGCTGGGCCTATTCAACTGGGCTCCCTTTGGAAGGATGTGGCGTGATGCACGGGACAAGATATAAAAACCTATGCCAGTGGTGGCAAACCTATGGTACAGGTGCCAGAGGCGGCACTCGGAGCCCTCTCTGTGGGCACACGTGCCGTTGCCGCAGCCTTGCCTCCCCCTGCAACCCCCTCCTCTCCAGCAGCCCCCCCTGGAGTAGAGTCGCCCCCAAGCATGGCCCACGCGGAGCAGCGCAGCCAAGGACATGGCAGCCAGGCGGCGGAGACAAGACTCTGCCCTCACGCCCCATTGTGCACAGTTGATGCTGCGGGGCGCCGGCAGAGGGCGTGGCTGCTGGGCAATCTGCAGCGGGCCCTGGAGGTGGTGAGTGGCCCTGCGGGCAGGCGGGGTGGGGGGCGGAGTGGGGACAGGGCCAGTTTTGGGGCACTTGGTCTCTAAAAGGTTCGCCATCACTGACCTATGCAAAAACTGATTCAGGTGTGGACTCTGGGATTTGCCATCACCAGGAGTTCCACCCAGCTTTTGCAAAAAGCTTTCATAAAACTCGCTTTGTTTTCCAACACCCTTGGAGTTGAATTTGTATTCCTCACAGAATCTCGAACCGGGAAGCCCGTCACCCCGAGAACATTAACCCTGAAGACTTACTGCAGCCGCTGCTGGCGGGCCATCCTTTCAAAATCACACCTTGCTGCGCACAGCTTCGCGCATACTCCAGAAAAACTGGGCAGTGGCAATTCCTCTCCCGAGCACATCTGCACATGTCTTCTTCACAGAGGCCCACGAACTTTTCGGGGTCCACCAGGTGATGGCACTTTGAAAAGACCGATGAAGTTCTCAGCAGCTGGCAGTTTTCTATGAAGTCCTGCAGGAAGAGGAAAACTGGAATGAGCAGAGTCCGTAACTGACTGAAAACGGGGAAGAAGGGTGATATGCTATTATTTTCCAGACCAAGAGTTATTAACCACCATTTCTTCCTGGTTGATCTTCATAGTGTCTTTCTTAAAGACTTCTCCTTACAGAAGAAGCAAGACAAGGTCAGGCTGGGTGAGCTTTTATTTTGATGTTTTATATACTTCATGCCCAAAAAACCCAGAAGGATAGTTGGATTCCCCACCGTGGACGAATGGCTGCAAAAGGTGAGGGAGTTAGCAGGGGTGGCTAAATTGGCTGCTTTGATTAAAGAAAAAGAAATACAATTAATTTTGTTTCTACTTGGAAACCACTTTTGGACTTTGTGCTTGAGGTGGGGGAAAAAAATGAAACTTTGATTTTGGGTTTTGCTGAGTAGATAGCTTTGTTTTATAGGAATATGCCAGCATATGTTATTATGTAAAATGGCCAGTATATATTATTATGTACTGTGAAATGGACAGTATATATTATTATGTAAAAATAAAAAGTTGAAATTGTACAGTATTACCTTAGTCTACTGTACCAAAAAGAGTCAGAAGGCAAGGGGGCTGGACTAGAAGACCTCCAAGGTCCCTTTCAGCTTCTATTCTATTCTATTCTACTCTACTCTACTCTACTCTACTCTACTCTACTTTATTCTACCCAACCCTACCCTACCCTACCCTACCCTACCCTACCCTACCCTACCCTACTCTACTCTATTCTATTCTATTCTTCATCCCTATATTCTATTCTATTCTATTCTACTCTACTCTACCCTACCCTACCCTACCCTACCCTACCCTACCCTACCCTACCCTACCCTACTCTATTCTATTCTATTCTATTCTATTCTATTCTATTCTATTCTATTCTATTCTATTCTTCATTCCTATATTCTATTCTATTCTATTCTGTTCTAGTCTAGTCTAGTCTAGTCTAGTCTAGTCTAGTCTCTATTCTATTCTAGTCTAGTCTAGTTTACATTCCTATATTCTATTCTATTCTATTCTATTCTATTCTATTCTATTCTATTCTATTCTATTCTATTCTATTCTATTCTATTCTATTCTATTCTTGTTTTCCCCTTTACTCTTCACTTTTTCCTCTTCTCCATCCTTATTTTTCCATTATTTTCATTTTTCTTTGTATTTCTGTATTTTATATTTTGGTAAACTAATAAAAAAAAATCCTTGAATTATGAGAACCAGACTAGGTGATCTTTTTAAAACAATAACCAAACAACAACAAAAAAGAAAAGTGTTACTCCTGAGGAGTTAACTTGCCTCCAAAAATACAAGGCACCATTTATCTCACAAATAGACAAGAGACAAATGACAACCTGGTTCTGGGGAAAGAGTATTTCTTGTGTTGTTGCATTGAGCTATTATGACTGACTTGTTGTTTTGTGCTTTTCTGTTCTTTTCTGTGGTTTTTAATCCTTATTTTTGCTGTATGCCACTCAAATGCAGTGAGGAAAAATAAATGAATAATAAATTCTATTGTTCTGGAGATTTATGTCTGTCTCCACTAGGAAGAAGGAAACAAATTAATATAATTCAGAATCCCTCCTTAAATAAATACGTGTTTAAACAGGAAGAAAGAAACACAGATCCTGTGGAACAAAATAAATCAAAGAATGAAACACTGGTGTGAGATCCATTTTTGATCCAAAACTAACAGTACATTACATTTTGGAAATACTTCAGTTCTAACTGTCTGCTCATTTTAAACCCCAGATTTTTCAGGTCAAAAGTTGAAGTTCTGAAGATTAAAACGAGAGAGGATGTTATAAAAAGATTTACTAGCTGCAAGCTTGATCTCAATGAGCCTTTGGTTTTCATTTGTGTATTCAAAAGAACGTAAATATTTGCGACTTGTTTCCAAAAACTTAATCTCTGCATAGCAGGCTCTACCCCAGAACAATGGAGAGTTACAGTATGGAATTTGCTGCTGTTGGCTTTGAGGCAATAACCATTATGGGATGACGGGTTGTTGGTTTTTTTTGCCCCCATGGCTACTGAATGTTCTCAAAAGATGAAGCCAACTTTGTTTGTCTTTGTTTTTAAAGAAATGTGTAGCTCCAAGCTGTATGTAAAGAAAACTAGGTGCAAAGGTTATTACCGTACATCAAATGACAAAATGTTACCTAGCTGGGTCATGAAACGTCTGCAAGAAAACAAGCAAGCTCAGAGAACACCAAGGACTTTACAATTATCCTTCTCCTCCCCCTCCATCTCCTCTTCCTCATCCTCATCCATCATTCCACAAGCTCTACTAGCACTGATGATGTTACCTAGTTGGGTCATGAAACGTCTGTAAGAAAACCAGCAAGCTCAGAGAGCACCAAGGACCCCACAGTTCTTCTCTTTTTCTTCTTCTCCTTCTCCTTCTTCTTCTTCTTCTTCTTCTTCTTCTTCTTCTTCTTCTTCTTCTTCTTCTTCTTCTTCTTCTTCTTCTTCTTCTTCTTCTTCTTCTCCTCTTCCTTCCACCTCCTCCTCCTCCTCCTCCTTCTTCTTCTTCTTCTTCTTCTTCTTCTTCTTCTTCTTCTCCTCCTCCTCCTCCTCCTCCTCCTTCCTCCTCCTCCTCCTCCTCCTTCTTCTTCTTCTTCTTCCTTCTTCTTCTTCTTCTTCTTCTTCTTCTCCTCCTCCTCATCCTCTCCTCCTCCTCCTCCTCCTCCTCCTCCTCCTCCTCCTCCTCCTCCTCCTCCTCCATCATTCCACAAACCCTAATCCCTTCTAGCACTGATTATGTTACCTAGTTGGGTCATGAAACGTCTGTAAGAAAACCAGCAAGCTCAGAGAGCACCAAGGACCCCACAGTTCTCTTCCTCCTCCTCCTTCTCCTCCTCCTCCTCCTCCTCCCCCTCCTCCTCTTCCTCCTCCTCATCCATCATTCCACAAACTCCACTTCCTTGTAGCACTGATGATGTTACCTAGTTTGGGTCATGAAATGTCTGCAAGAAAACCAGCAAGCTCAGAGAGCACCCAGGACCCCATACCTAATAACCAAATCCAAAAGTAACAAACACATTAGCCTCGTTGAGTTGGTCATCTTCCTGTCTGGCAATTACTCTTTGGCTTGTTCAAGACTCCCCTCCGGACATTTCTGACTCCCAAGGAGAGGCCAGGCATCCCCTGAAGTCTCCGCAAGAGCAAGGGAAGGTCTATTTCGTTACTGGAGGTTTTTTAGCAGAGACTGGAGAGCCTCTTGTCTGAAATGATATAGGATCTCCTGCCTGAGCAGAGGGCTGGACTAGAAGACCTCCAAGGTCCCTTCCAGCTCTATTCTGATTAAATTGATTGAAGAGATAGATAGACAGACAGACAGACAGACAGATAGATAGATAGATAGATAGATAGATAGATAGATAGATGCTAAAGATGATAGAGATAGATAGATAGATAGACAGACAGACAGATAGAAGCTAAAGATGATAGCTAGCTAGCTAGCTAGATAGATAGATAGATAGATAGATAGATAGATAGATAGATAGATAGATAGATGCTAAAGATGATAGATAGTTAGATAGATAGAGAGATAGATAGATAGATGATAGAAGCTAAAGATGATAGATAGATAGACAGATGCTAAAGATGATAGATAGATAGATAAATAGATAGAAGCTAAAGATGATAGACAGACAGATAGAAGCTAAAGATGATAGATAGATAGATAGATAGATAGATAGATAGATAGATAGATAGATAGATAGATAGATAGATAGATAGACAGATGCTAAAGATGATAGATAGATAGGTAGGTAGGTAGGTAGGTAGGTAGGTAGGTAGGTAGGTAGGTAGGTAGGTAGATAGATAGATAGATAGATAGATAGATAGATAGAAGCTAAAGATGATAGATAGACAGATGCTAAAGATGATAGAGAGAGAGAGAGATAGATAGATGATAGAAGCTAAAGATGATAGATAGATAGATAGATAGATAGATAGATAGATGATAGAAGCTAAAGATGATAGATAGATAGACAGATGCTAAAGATGATAGATAGATAGATAAATAGATAGATAGAAGCTAAAGATGATAGACAGACAGATAGAAGCTAAAGATGATAGATAGATAGATAGATAGATAGATAGATAGATAGATAGATAGATAGATAGATAGATAGATAGATAGATAGGTAGATAGATAGTCAGTCAGAATTGTGGGTGCTTCATCACTGGAGATTTTTCAGAAGAGATTGAAATGATATAGGGACCCCAGCATGAGCAGGGGGCTGGACTAGAAGACCTCCCAGGTCCCTTCCAGCTCGACTCTGATTCCGATCCTGATTCTCAAAGACGCCTCCTGCTTCGGGGCCTGCAGAGGCCGAGAAATGAGAAGAGGAATTCTTTGGCCTGGCCTATTGTGCCCGGGTCTCGGCAGCTGACGGTGGCAGCCTGACACCAGCAGAGGTAGGAGCAGCCCTGCCTTGCCAAGGCTGAAACTGGCAAACAAAGACAAGTCTTTTCTTCGTGGAAAACGAAATTCTTCCAAGGAGTCTGGCATCGCCAGGGCCACTATTAATAGAACAATGTCCTGCTTTGACAGCAAATACATGTCGGACAATGCCGTAATGTCTTCTGAATGCGCCTAATTCGGACAGCTGCTCTTCTGCAGCCCTTTCTTTTTTGGGGAGGGGGGTCTTTTAATTTGTGCTGCTTTTGGGAGGGGGGGGAGAAGGCAAGTTTTAAATTGGGGGCCTCTTGCTGTTCTTGAGGTGGGTCTCTCGCCCGCCGAGGGCCCTTGACTTGTGACTGCAATTAAAGGCCAGAATTTTCGTTGCTCAGGGAGGCATTTGTTAAAAAAAGCTTTGCTCCGTTTTACAACCCTTCCTTGCTTGCTGCAGTCGTTAAGCAAATCGCTGCCATTGTTAAGTTAGTAACACGGGTGTTAAGTGAATCTGGATGCCCCATGGCTTATCGGAAGGTCACGAAAGACGATCACAGGACTCCTGGACACTGCAACCGTCCTAAGTACATGTCAGTTGCCAAGCGACCCTAGGACACTGCAACCGTCCTAAGTACATGTCAGTTGCCAAGCGTCCAAATTTTGAACACGTGATCCTGGGGATGCTTGAATGGTTAAGTGTGACAAACGGTCGTAAGTCGCTGTTTTGCAATGGCGTTGTCCCTTGGATATGGTCATGCGATGGATCAATTAAAGTTAGGCCTGGGCTAACAACCGTTGGCGTAGCAATTGTTCAAAGTTACAACAGCAACTGAAAAAGGGTGACAGGACTGGCAGATTGGCAGCTGGTCTGTATTTATGACAGTTGCTGCGTCCCAGAATCTTGTGGTTCCCCTTTGGCGAAAGCCGTTGTAACTTTGAACGATCTGCTGTTAAGTTGAGGGCTACCTATATTGAAATCTTCTGCAGGATTTAACACACACAAACTGTCTTATTTCAGATAAGGGAGGGCCCCTCGTCTCGCACGGCTGCACCAACCTGGTCTGTAGCTTCTGAGATGTTGCATGTGTGGCTGGGAGGCACCACGCGCTGGCATTTCTTCTGCTCGTTGCTCATGCCCCAGGAGTTGGCGAAAGTGTAGCTGTTCTCTTCCAATATCCCTGAAGTGGACAGGAGAGAGAAGGCAACAGTATTACGACAACCTGATTAGAATCCCCTTGTGAATACACATTTTTAGTGGGTCACGGAGAGACCTGCGTTGTAACCCACTAGCCAAAGCAGATCATTCTCTTTGGAAGCAGTGGGACAACCAGCCTCCAGAAGTTGTGGATGGTCCAAGACTGGAGGCTTTTAAGGAGAGATTGGACAACCATTTGTCTGAAATGGTAACGGTTGAAGACCTCCAAGGTCCCTATTCCATTCCATTCCATTCCATTCCATTCTATTCTATAATTCTACTCTACTCTACTCTACTCTACTCTACTCTACTCTACTCTATTCCATTCCATTCCATTCTATTCTACAATTCTACTCTACTCTACTCTACTCTACTCTACTCTATTCTATTCCATTCCATTCCATTCTATTCTATATAAAGATTCTATTCTAATTTCTATTCTATATTTCTATTCTCTTCTATTCTAATTTCTATTCTAATTTCTATTCCATTCCATTCTATTCTATTCTATTCTATTCTATTCTATTCTATAATTCTACTCTACTCTACTCTACTCTACACTACTCTACTCTACTCTACTCTACTCTACTCTATTCTATTCTATTCTATTCTATTCTATTCTATTCTATTCATTTCTTATCTCATTCCTCCTCCTCCTCTTTCTTCTTCTTCTTCTTCTTCTTCTTCTTCTTCTTCTTCTTCTTCTTCTTCTTCTTCTTCTTCTTCTTCTTCTTCTTCTTCTTCTTCTTCTTCTTCTTCTCCTCCTCCTCCTCCTCCTCCTCCTCCTCCTCCTCCTCCTCCTCCTCCTCCCAACAACTTTAAGATGTGAGGATTTGCCAAGTTGGCAGAGGCTGAGAAATTAGCTGCTTTAATCAGCTAATTCAAGTTTATTTACTTAGAACCGTTTCTATCTTTACTTTTACTAGTACTCCCAGTTGCCAGAGCCATTTTGAAGGAAAACATTGGAGGGCAGTGTAATAAGTGACTAAATCTATGTGGCTTCCTTCAACTCTCCAGTGGCATTAAGGCTCAGCTTCTCCTTCTGCTCTAAGCCAGGGGTCTTCAAACTCGGCCCTTTTATGACTCGTGGACTTCAACTCCCAGAATTCCTCAACCTCATGAGATGTATTTGGACAAGAAAGAAAGCAGAAGGATGGAGGGAGCTCCTGAATGAAAAGCAGGATGTAACCCTGATCAGTCAACATTGCCCTGCTTTGCCATCCACTTATATTCCACGCGCTCCCAAATTCTTTGGAAAATAAAGCTTTATATCACAAGGGCGCTGCTCAACACACATTGACTTCCTTGCACAAGAGTCCTACTTTATTCCCCAAGCATGGAAGGCCTGGCTAAAGGAGAGAGGGAACCATAAGAGCATCAGACTCTCTCTAAAGCAGTGGTTCTCAACCTGTGGGTCAGGACCCCATTTGGGGTCGAACAACCATTTCACGGGGGTCGCCAAACAATGCAGTCCGCCATTTTTCCCCCCTTTTCTTAGCTGTGCTACTCCCTTTTATTCTATTGGCTTTTGAAAGCCAATAGAAGAGACTCTCTTGAATAGAGTCTAATTCGATTGGCTTTCCAAAGCCAATAGGAATTGTCCAGGCTGTCTCTGCCCTGTTGAGCCCGCCAAAAGTCCCAGTCTGCAAACGGTGCTGCACCAGTTGAGTAGTCCTCGACTTACGAACGGTTGAGTAGTCCTCGAAATGGAAAGCATTGTGGAGATAGGAGGCAATCCGTTGCTGGATGGACTAAAACAGTAGTTCTCAACCTTTTTAATGCCGTGACCCCCAACCGGTCGTAAGTCGAGGCAGGGCGGCTGCGGGCGGGGGCATGTAAGCATAATTACAATATAAAATGTTATTGTTACAAATGTTTTTTATTATGCATTTATCATACCAGTGTATAAGGAGCAAAACGGAAAAGGCCAGCGCATAGCACAATTCAATATGTGGCTAAAGGAGTGGTGTAAAGGGGAAGGCTTCGGATATATTAGTCACGATGACAGTAGCTGGTCCAATCAAAAGATGTACAAAAGAGATGGTTTGCATCCATCAAAAAAAGGGACTGAGTTACTCGGCTATAAATTCACAGATTTTCTGGAGGGAAATTTAAACTAAACAGCGGGGACAGGGAGTTAATTGATACGGAACAACCCTGTCCCCGGCAATTTAAAAACTATAGGGCTATCAGTGCATGTAGCATAGATGTGTGTGTGGACAAGAATACCAACCTTGCTACCAATCAAAATGAAGCCTCTAATAGCGAGTGCCACATAAAGTGCACTAACCAAATAGGTGGTAAGACAATAGGGGAACTCAGGCACCACACAGGTTATGTAGAAAGGAAACACAGGGCCACCCACAAAGGACTCAAATGTTTATACACCAATGCACAGAGTATGAACAGCAAACAGGGTGAACTAGAAATTCAGGTTAACGAGGGCAGATACGATATTGTTGCCATTACGGAAACATGGTGGGATGAAACTCACACATGGAACACACAGCTAGAGGGATTTAAATTATTTAAAAGAAACAGACCAAATAAAAGAGGAGGTGGAGTTGCTCTCTATATAAGAAATAACTACATCTCCACAGAAATAGAGTACAACAATGATAAAAACTCTCTTGAATGCATTTGGGTCAATATAAAAGGGGGGGGGAAATGACATTGCCATAGGTGTATACTACAGACCACCCAACCAAACAGAGGAAATAGATGAACTTTTTGCTAGTCAGCTAACTAAGGTATGTAGGAAGCACACCACAATAGTAATGGGGGACTTTAACTACCCTGACATCAACTGGGAGACAAACTCCGCACCAAGTGGAAGATCAAACAGGTTCCTGGCAAACCTAGCAGACAACTTTGTCTCCCAAAAAGTAGAGAAGGGAACTAGGGGATTAGCCATTTTGGATCTAATTCTCACTAACAGAGATGAAATGATAGACGGTGTTGAAGCCATAGGAACCCTGGGAGGAAGTGATCATGCAATATTAGAATTCAACATTATAGAAGCACAACCAATAGAACACAGTCAAACTAGAGTCTTGGACTTCAAGAGAGCTAATTTCAATAAACTTAGAGAGGGCTTGGGAAGGATTCCATGGATGAGAATCCTCAAGGGGAAAACAACTCAAGAAGCTTGGGAAATTTTGAAAAATGAGATAATAAAAGCACAGTCTAGCACAATACCAACAAAGAGGAAAAATAACAGCTCTCAAAAGAAACCAGCATGGCTGCATAAAGAACTCTCTGACAAATTGAAAGATAAAAAGGACAAGTACAGAAAGTAGAAAGAGGGGAACATAACTAAGTCAGAATATCAGCAAATAGCCCGAGCCTGCAAAGATGAAGTGAAGAAAGCCAAGGCTCAAAATGAACTAAGGCTTGCGACCAAAGTCAAAAATAACAAAAAAAGCTTCTTTCAACATGTAAAAAACAAGAAAAAAGTGAAGGAAATGATTGGTCCATTAGTGGGTGAAAGTGGCAAGAAGGTGACAAGCAACAGGGAGAAAGCAGAACTATTTAACTCATTTTTTGCATCTGTCTTTACACAAAGGGAAAAAAACAGACCAACCTATCAAAAATAGTGCCATAAAAAACAAAACAGAAACACAAGTTAAGATAGGCAAGAAAATGGTTAGGGAGCACCTGTCCAGCCTAGATGAGTTCAAATCGCCAGGACCAGATGGATTACACCCCAGAGTTCTCAAGGAACTGGCAGATGTGATATCGGAGCCACTGAACTATATTTTTCAAAGATCCTGGAACACAGGGGAACTACCAGAGGACTGGAAAAGAGCTGATGTAGTTCCCATCCTCAAAAAAGGAAAAAAAATGGATCCAGGAAATTACAGACCTATCAGCCTGACCTCAATACCTGGGAAGATCCTGGAAAAGATAATCAAACAACGAATCAACGAACACCTAGAGGCAAACAAAGTCATTACTAAAAGCCAACATGGGTTTGTCAAAAATAGATCATGCCAGACAAATCTTATTGCATTCTTTGACCAAGTGACAAAATTAGTGGATCAGAGGAATGCTGTGGACATAATTTACTTGGACTTCAGTAAGGCATTTGATAAAGTAGATCACAACCTACTACTTGACAAGATAGAAAAATGTGGGGTAGACAGAACCACCACCAGATGGATCCGTAGCTGGCTGACCGGCCGTACTCAGCGAGTGGTCCTCAATGGAACTGCATCTATATGGAGGGAAGTGTGTAGTGGGGTGCCCCAGGGCTCTGTTCTGGGCCCAGTACTCTTCAACATCATTCATCAACGATTTGGATGAAGGGATAGATGGGGAACTCATCAAATTTGCAGATGACACCAAGCTGGCAGGAATAGCCAACACTCCAGAAGACAGGCTTCAGGTACAGAAGGATCTGGACAGACTTGAACACTGGGCACTAACTAACAAAATGAAATTCAATGGTGAAAAAAGCAAGGTTCTACATTTAGGCAAGAAAAACCAAATGCACAAGTACAGCATAGGTGGCACCATGCTCAATAGTAGTAACTGTGAGAGGGACCTCGGAGTCCTAGTAGACAATCACTTAAATATGAGCCAGCAGTGTGCTGCAGCTGCCAAAAAGGCCAACACAGTGCTAGGCTGCATTAACAGAGGGATAGAATCAAGATCACGCGAAGTATTAATACCACTCTTCAATGCCTTGGTAAGGCCACACTTGGAATACTGCATCCAGTTTTGGTCACCACGATGTAAAAAAGATGTTGAGACTCTAGAAAGAGTACAGAGAAGAGCAACAAAGATGATTAGGGGACTGGAGGCTAAAACATATAAGGAACGGTTGCGAGAATTGGGTATGTCTAGTTTAACGAAGAGAAGGACAAGGGGGGACATGATAGCAGTATTCCAATATCTCAGGGGCTGCCATAAAGAAGAGGGAATTAAGCTATTTTCCAAAGCACCTGAAGGCAGGACAAGAAGCAACGGGTGGAAACTAATCAAGGAGAGAAGCAACCTAGAACTAAGGAGAAACTTCCTGACAGTGAGAACAATTAATCAGTGGAACAGCTTGCCTCCAGAAGCAGTAAATGCTCCAACACTGGAAGTTTTTAAGAAGAGACTGGACAGCCATTTGTCCGAAATGGTGTAGGGTTTCCTGCCCGAGCAGGGGGTTGGACTAGATGACCTCCAAGGTCCCTTCCAACTTTACTATTATTATTATTATTATTATATTATAGTGTATTGTGTATTATTGTTGCAATGAATAAAATGTTTCTTTTATTTACGATATTTTTTTCTTCAATTTATTTGTGTCCTCCTTTTCATTGTAAAAAAGTTGGTCACCTTATTTCTACGGGGGGGGGGAACCCATTGCTATCTGATCACAGATTTGGAAAACTACTGCAGTTTCTGGATTATCTTTTTTTTTTTTTTTAAAGAGAACAATTAAGCTTCAAACATGTTTTACACAGGGTGCTTTTTTTCCCATGAGAAAGCAAACTGGAAATTTCCTTCCTAAAAATAATAGGAGCATGTTTTGTTTTGTTTTACGGCTTATTCACTGACCTTCCTTGGAAGAAGAAAAACCAGAAAAGTGACTCAGCTCTTCAAGCGGGAAGCATGTGGATTTCACCCTGTTTTGGGGCCTGGGGGCAGATCTTGATTTTCTAGAGCACGTCAGCATTCACAAAACACAGCCGCCACCACGCCAAAGTACATTTAGGCAAGAAAAACCAAATGCACAGGTACAGTATAGGTGATACCTTGCTCAATAGTAGCAACTGTGAGAGGGATCTGGGAGTCCTAGTGGACGATCCCTTAGATAGGAGCCAGCCGTGTGCTGCAGCTGCCAAAAAGGCCAACACAGTGCTGGGCTGCATTAAGAGAGGGAGAGAATCAAGATCATGTCAAGTGTTAATACCACTTTACAAGGCTTTGGTAAGGCCAAACTTGGAATACGGCATCCAGTTTTGGTCACTACGATGTGAAAAAGATGTTGGGACTCTAGAAAGAGTACAGAGAAAAGCAACAAAGATGATCAGGGGACTGGAGGCTAAAGCATATAAGGAACGGTTGCTGGAATTGGGTATGTCTAGTTTAACAAAGAGAAGGACAAGGGGGGACATGATAGCAGTCTTACAGTATCTCAGGGGCTGCCCCAAAGAAGAGGGAGTCAAGCTATTCTCCAAAGTGCCTGAAGGCAGGACAAGAAGCTAATCAAGGAGAGAAGCAACCTGGAACTAAGGATAAACTTCCTAACAGTTAAAACAATTAACCAGTGGAATAAATTGCCTCGAGAAGTTGCGAATGCTCCAACACTGGAAGTTTTTAAGAAGAGGCTGGACAGCCATTTCTTTGATCTCCCTCTACACACACATACACACACCCATCCCTCTCTTCTTTTCAAGACACAGCTCAGGTGGAAGGGAGCCTTTTCTATCCTCCTACATTTCTATTAAAGCTGGCTTTTATTTCAAACAACATATTCCTTTGCTAGCATTCCTTGATAGCCGGACTTCGTCCAGGCTTTGGATCCAAAACAACATCATCATCATGAAAACAAGTTATATGGGATTTCCACTACTTAGTTGCTCCATATTTTTTTTTCAGTCCTATGCTAACATTATGCGCTCTCACAAGAGGTCTTGTTAAGGCCAGGTCTTCCACAGATGCCCCACTACTGGGCTGGTATTTAAAAGTGTAAATTCAGACCAGAATTTTGGGAGGGGCCTTTTTGCATTACCATCAGCATCTGAAAAAAAAAGTAGCCAGCATGCTTGTGAATGACATAATAATAATAATAATAATAATAATAATAATAATAATAATAATGATGATGATGATGATGATGATGATGATGATGATGATGATGATAATGATAATAATAATAATAGACCAAAAAAAGTCTGGATAGTGGACGTGGCAGTGCCTGGAGACAGCAGAATAGACGAGAAAGAACTGGAGAAGATAACAAAATAAAAAGACCTACAAAAAGCCATTTTTTCCCCAGTGGGAAGAACCCGCAGTCCCAGATCTGGATCTCTCTTCCAAAAGAAAATGGCTAAAAAAAAAAAAAAAAAGTCAACTTTGAGCAAAATGGGCTTGAGAGACTGAACACCCTGGAAGAGAGTCTGTTCAGGGATCGACAATGAAGGAGCTGATCTGGAAACATCTTTATAGCCAGCATAATAATCAGCAGAAACCAGCTAAGAAATCAATCTTGCTAAAGCAATATATCCCTTTTTATTCATTAGACTAGGAACAGCTTCCATCCTGCAATGAGATCTGTAATACCATCAATTCAAACATCCACATCTGTCTCCCCCAGGTCCTTGATAAGGACTCGATGGGTAGACAAAAATGTCAAATCCAGTCTGAACATCTGGCTGACTGTGCGATGAATAATAATAATAATAATAATAATAATAATAATAATAATAATAATAATAATGACGATATCTGTAATACCATCAAACATCCACATCTGCCTATCCCAGGTCCTGGGTAAGGACTCGATAGGTAGACAAAATGCCAAATCCAGTCTGAACATCTGGCTGACTGTGCGATGATCCATAATAATAATAATAATAATAGTTGGAAGGGACCTTGGAGGTCATCTAGTCCAACCCCCTGCTCGGGCAGGAAACCCTACACCATTTCAGACAAATGGCTGTCCAATCTCTTCTTAAAAACTTCCAGTGTTGGAGCATTCACCGCTTCTGGAGGCAGGTTGTTCCACTGGTTAATTGTTCTCTCTGTCAGGAAGTTTCTCCTTAGTTCTAGGTTGCTTCTCTCCTTGATTAGTTTCCATCCGTTGCTTCTTGTCCTGCCTTCAGGCGCTTTGGAGAAGAGCTTGACTGCCTCTTCTTTGGGGCAGCCCCTGAGATACTGGAAGACTGCTATCCTGTCCCCCCTAGTCCTTCTCTTCATTAAACTAGACCTACCCAATTCTAGCAACCATTCTTTGCATATTTTAGCCTCCAGTCCCCTGATCATCTTTGTTGCTCTTCTCTCTACTCTTTCTAGAGTCTCAACATCATGAGCGGAATCTCAAGGTCTTAGGTACTCTTCAACATCTTCATAAAACATTTAAATGAGGGGATAGAAGAGGAAGTCTATCAAATTCGCAGACAGCACTAAGCTAGGAGGAACAGCCAACCCTTGAGAAGATAGACTCTTGACGCAGAACACTGGGACCTATCCAACAAAACGCAACTCAGTGGCAAGAAAAGGAAGTGGTCTTATACTTAGGCAAGGAAAAACCAAACGCACAGGTGTAGAATAGGTGGCAGTAGGCTCAACAATAGTAGCTGTGACAAGGCTCTAGGAATCCTAGTGGACACCACTTATGGATGAGCCACCAGTGTGATGCCATTGCCAAAAAAGCCAACTCAATTCTTGACTGCCTCAAGAGAGGAACAGCATCGAGATCACATGTGATATTAGCACCGCTTGGTAAGACCACCCTTGGGATAATGTGGTTTACCAAGTGATGCTAATATTACCTGTGATCTCGCTACTACTCCTCTGTTGAGGCAGTCGCCACGATCTAGTTTACCCCACGAGGCTGACATGGATGTCTTGCAAAGCGATGCACTCCAGACAAAATGTAGAGCTGCATAATGTGTGGGCAATATTGGAAGCTTTCAAGTAAACGTTACCGGAAAGAATGTAGGGCTGTGAATGTTGGACCATCAGAAAGGCTGAGCACCAAAGAATGGAGGCCTTTGAACTCTGGTGCTGGAGAAGACGCCTGCGAGTCCCCTGGACTGGAAGGCGATCAAACCGGTCAATCCTAGAGGAGATCAACCCCGACTGCTCCTTAGAAGGCCAGATCCTGAAGTTGAAACTCAAGTACTTTGGCCACCTAACGAGAAGGAAGGACTCACTGGAGAAGAGAAGATGCTGGGAAAGATGGAGGGCAAGAGAAGAAGAAGGGGACGACAGAGAATGAGGTGGCTGGATGGAGTCACTGAAGCAGTAGGTGAGAGCTTCAATGGACTACAGAAGATGGTAGAGGACAGGAAGGCCTGGAGGAACGTGGTCCATGGGGTCACGATGGGTCGGACACGACTTCGCAACTAACAACAACAACCTACTGAATGCTCACCTTCCTGCGTCATGAAGTCATCCTCAGCAAATCTGTTGAAGTTCCCACAGAGTCCACACGTCCTGTTGTAATGCTTTTCTGCAAGGCTCAGAAGGATGTTCCCACTGGTGTCAATCTTCACCACAAAGCCTTGTTCCTCACCGGACAGCTTATAATAGCCGGCTTCCTTTTCCAAAAAGACTCCGTTGGAGGCGTAGGGTACCAAAACCCTGTTACAAGAGGAAGGACAGATTCTCTTACTACGAGGTGTAGAAAATAACACATTTTTTTTTTGATGCTGGGATACAGCATGGTCCTCCACTTAGGACCCCACTTGAGCCCAGAATTTCTGTTGCTAAACGAGACAGTGGGTTCAGTGAGCTTTGCCCCGTTTTATGACCTCTCTTGCGACCGTTGTTAAATGAATCCCTGCAGTTGTTAAGTTAGAAACCCGGTTGTTAAGTGAATGTGGCTTCCCCCGTTGATTTTGCTTGTCAGAAGGTCACAAAAAGGGGATCACGACCGTCATAAGTATGAATCAGTTGCCAAGGGTCTGAATTTGGATCACGTGACCATGGGGGATGCTGCAACGGTCGTAAGTGTGAATAATGGCCATAAGTCCCTTTTTTCAGCACCCTTGTAATTTCAAGCAGCCACTAAAGGAAGGGTTGTAAGTCAAGGACTTCCTGCACTGCTGTTGTTGTGACCCAGATGTTTACCTTTTTTCACCTTGAGTCACGGTTCCATTTAAGAATAAATGAATCTCAAAATACTCTCCCAGGTACAGAGAAAGGCTGATTCTTTTGCCATTGTGATAGTCACCTGAAACGAAACAAAAGGTGAGTGGCATTTCTGCTAACAATCTTTGGCTTGCTCTCCTTTTTTTTTTTTTTTAGCAACTCGGAGTAAATTATGAGAAGCGATTGTTCCTGTTTTGTAAAACTTGCCTTTAGTATATAATTACCAGCTCTTCGGTGGGCTAATTTCCAAACGTCATGCAAAAGCTACAAGGCCAGGGGTGTCCACAGAAAACAGGTTGTTGTTTTTTTTTTAAAGAAAGAAAAGGTAAAGATGAACACCCAATCAAAAGTTTGCACTTTATAGGCAGAACAAATGAAAAAGGCAAAGCAGGTATCAGTGTGGCGAAAAGTTCAAAATGAAAGAATTTCTCCGCCGTTTTTACCCGAAGTGCAAAATGGCTTCTCTTGTAAGTTTGTGGAATCATTGGAAAAATCTGCAGGAGTCCCCTCCCCTGGGACATTGACAGAACAAAAAATCTAGTGGCATGCCATTCAGGATAGAAAGATGTCAAAAATCTGTCTGAAATCTCTAGCAAAGGAGGATCCAGTAGGGCTGAGAAGAGCAAAAGTGATGATAAAAGGTTTGGAGGCTAAAGCAAAAGAATGAACAATTGAAGGATGCAGATTCATTTAGTCTAATAAAGAGGAGGACTAGGGTGATCTGATAGCGGTGTTCCAGGACTTGAGGGACTATCGAAGAGAAGGGGGTCACCCTGTTCTCCAAAGCGCCTGAAGGCAGAACACGAAGCAATGGATGGAAACTAAGCAAGGAGAGAAGCAACCTGGAATTAAGGAGAAACTTCCTGATAGTGAGAACAGTTAACCAGTGGAACAGCTTCCCTCCAGAAGCTGTGGGTGCTTCATCACTGGAAGTTTTCAAGAAGAAACTTGGACAGCCCATTTATCTAGGGTGGTATGGGGTCTCCTGCTTGAGCAGGGCATTCTACTAGAAGACCTTCAAGGTCCTTTCCAACCCTATTATTTTATATTCTACATTTTGTTAGAGCAAGAGGTATTTTTGTAGTTGCACTTAGAAGAGAAGAGAAGAGAAAATAGAAGAGAAGAGAAGAGAAGAGAAGAGAAGAGAAGAGAAAATAGAAGAGAAGAGAAGAGAAGAGAAGAGAAGAGGAATGGGAATGGAATGGAATGGAATAGAATAGAATAGAATAGAATAGAATAGAATAGAATAGAATAGAATAGAATAGAATAGAATAATGGAATGAAGAATAGAACAGAATAGAATAGAATAGAATAGAATAGAATAGAATAGAATAGAATAGAATAGAATAATGGAATGAAGAATAGAATAGAGTAGAAGAGAAGAGAAGAGAATAATGGAATGAAGAATAGAATAGAATAGAATAGAATAGAATAGAATAGAATAGAATAGAATAGAATAGAATAGAATAGAATAGAATAGAATAATGGAATGAATAATAGAATAGAAGAGAAGAGAAGAGAAGAGAAGAGAATAATGGAATGAAGAATAGAATAGAATAGAATAGAATAGAATAGAATAGAATAGAATAGAATCTGAAAGGGACCTTGGAGGTCTTCTAGTCCAACCCCCTGCTCAAGCAGGAGAGCCTATAACATTTCAAACAAGTGACTGTCCAGTCTCTTCTCATTGAACATCTCCCATCTCTAAACAAGCTCCCTTATATTGTGCCTAATTGCTCATTCTTCTAATTTGGAGAGTCTCAGACAACGTTCAGGAAGCATTCCACAGCACATCCAAAATGCAGCATATTAAACTCACCAAGTAAGAGGAAAGACCTCTTCTCACAGTCTCCAGCGAGCAGGTAGCTGCAGTCTCCGGCAAAATCATACAGCAGTTCGTCGAAGGTTTTAATGTGATCGTCTCCAAAAAGGCTACAGCGTGCAAATGACGGAGAGAAATCTTTTTGCCCTGCAAGATCAGGATTAGTTAACATAGGACGTCCGGAGCAGAGAAACGATCGTGAAGTTCTACCATTTTCAGATAGCAATAGCACTTAAGACTTATATGCCGCTTCACTGTGCTTTACAGCCCTCTCTAAGCGGTTTACAGAGTCAGCCTGTTGCCCCCAACAATCCGGGTCCTCATTTTACCGACCTCGGAAGGACGGAAGGCTGAGTCAACCTTGAGCCGGTGAGAATCGGACTGCTGGCAGTCGGCAGAATTAGCCTGCAATACTGCATTCTAACCACCGTGCTACCACGGCTCCTGTTTATGCTATTTAGATTATTATTATTATTTTATTTTGTGTGTTTGTTGCTTAATGTAACGTGTGTGTGTCTATGTCTGTGTATGTCTGTGTATGTCTATGCTATTCCCAAGCTAGCAAAGGGGTTTAATTAATGTAAGTGTGGGTAATAATAATAATAATAGCCAAAAAAAAAAACCCTCCAAAGAACAGTGGATAATTTTTAAAATTAGCCTACGCTAAAACAGTTTAACGACTTTTTAAAATAGTACGTATTCATAAAACATTTAAGGCTCAAACTTATGAGCAAAGACCTTGCGTTTGGTTTGGTTTTGTCAAATGTGGCAATAGCGATAGCACGTAGACTTATATACTGCTTTACGGTGCTTTTACAGCCCTCTCTAAGCAGTTTACAGAGTCAGCCTCTTGCCCCCAACAATCTGGGTCCTCGTTTTACCGACCTCGGAAGGATGGAAGGAGGAGGTGACAAATATCAGCAACCCTCAGGCATTCAAACTAAAAATCGAAAGCCAGCACAGCCAGTCCCATTTAAAAAAAAAAGATCTTTTCTACCCTCAACCCCTCCATAAAACAAACTCCGGATAAAGATGGGCAGAGTTTCCACCAAAGGTGTCCATCGTGAGCTCCAGAGCAAAAGAAGAAAAACCACCTGGCAAACTAGCTCTTGGGGGTTCCCTAGTTTTCTTTTGGCAAAGCTCACAGACTTGGGATGTGACAAAGACTGAAAAACAGCGGGGGTCCTTTCCTCTCCTGTGGTTTTACAGTGGGTCGAGTAGGAAATGTCACGTTTCTTGTTCATATACTACTAAGCCGCCATGTAGTTTGCTAGGATTAGCCCCAAGATTCCTGAATTGGGTAGGAAAGTCAATAACAAAGGTTCAGATTCAAAGGACTTTCAATTCTCTGTCCAGGTCACTGCGGGGGACAAAAATGGATCTAATTGGAGAGTAGAAAGAGGGTGGTAAAATACTAATACGTGCTAATGACTCGACATTCACCAACAGGCAACGATATTTTGCAGAGTGACTCTGCTCTGGGCAAAAAACTTGTACTAAATGCACAGGTTGTTTGAACAAGAACGACATGAGGGTAGCACAACCAAGCGGGCAAATTAGGGTCTTCTTACCCAGCATCGATTGAGGCAGAGCTAAGAGCAGCAGTAGTAAATATCTGGGACCAATCATCTGTGGAGTAAATGTTAAAAACAAGAGTCATTCGGAGAAAAATCCCAACGGCGCAGGCCAATCCTGTGGTCACTGGATTACACTGGGTTTGCTTCAAAGAAGGGTAGACCGAAAAATCCTATCCATTGCTCTTTTTTTTTTTCCAGTTGTGTGCATTTACATCTAGTCAACTCAGCTCCCCCCCCCCATTAAACCGTTTGAAACCTGTATAGCAATATTGCTGGTAAGTCACTCCAACAGTTTCTAAATACAGCAGTCAAAAAAGTCCTAGAAATTAAGGAGAGCATTATTATTATTTTTTGTAATCACAAATCAGTTCTAAACTACTTTGAGCTCAACGCAACCTTACAAAGGATCCCATTGGAGGATCTAGGAGAAGACAGTCTAGTTGAACTTGACTGCCCAGTAGGAATCCAACACAAGAATAACAATCTGCTAAGCTCTAGGGATCCTGGTCCTATCCAAAATTCAAGAAGGATCACTGCGCCCAACACCTTGTTCCTCGGGAATTCTGCTCCGTTAAAAGTGCCCAATCCTTATTCCAGGCATGGTTGTTTGCCTCCAATAAAATCAGAACCGTAAGGTTAAACCGGTATTCATCTTAAAGATCTCCCCCTCCTGGCATTTATTGACAGACCCTGGAGTTAGAGTTGGCCTGTTGGCCAACACTCAACTGCGTTGTGTGTTGGCCGTGTGGTCTCTTTTTAAGAAGAACTTAGATACCTTTGCTTTGTGCCAAAATCCGTTGCCCATCACTTATGAGCCTGTCGGAGCCCGCTCAGCTTCACGAGGCTACATTGGACTGGCCTTGCCGACTATTTATTCCAATTGTACAAGCCAGGCAGGAACTCTTGTTCGTTGGAAGAGAAGATAAAGGCAAGGCTGTTCCTTCCGCCCAGTCCTTCACACAATGCTGTGATCGGGAAAATCAGCTGCTTTAATGGTGCGCAAGGAACAATGAAAGGAAGTCGTATTAAATACTTTCGCAGGACAGATCAACCTTTGAAATAAAAATTCTGCTGGGGTACGGCGAGTAAGATGTGAAAGTCCATTAAGGGAAGAGGGAAATGCTGGGATCAGAGGGCAGGGCAAAAAGTAATGGATGGAAAGTTGTTAAACAGAGAAGCAACGTAGACGTATGGGGAAAATTCCCGACATTGAGAACAATTAACCAGTTGGAAAGCTTATCTCCAGAAGTTGTGGGTGCTCCATCACTGGAGGTTTTCAAGAAGAAACTGGACTAGCATTTGTCTGGGGGGATATATAGTCTCTGCTTGAGCAGGGAGTTGGACTAGAAGACCAACTGGACTAGAAGCCTGCCTCCAGAAGCAGTAAATGCTCCAACACTGGAAGTTTTTAAGAAGAGACTGGACAGCCATTTGTCCGAGCAGAGGGTTGGACTAGATGACCTCCAAGGTCCCTTCCAACTTTACTACTATTACTATTACCTCTAGGGTCCCTTCCAGATCTATGCTTCTATATTCTAAAGTCCTGAGTGTGTGAATGGATCATAAATTCAATACTCCTCAGTTTTTTTCTATGCATTTATCTAGTTTGAGTGAATCAGAAAAAAATTGTGTGTTAGGAGGAAAGTGCAAAAGGATGCATCTGATTGGTACACATTTGTTCCTACAGACCGAGATGAATGAGTGAACGGGGCTCAAATAGATGTTATGGAGTCAGAAATATGAGTACTTAAGCAATTGCTTCCACCTCGTCACCCAACTCGTGAATAAGAATGTTACGGAGTTGATGGGGCTAAGACTGAGCACTTGATGCTTCCTTTGTGTTTGTTTTCATCATGAGCCTCTTCACCACCCTGCTAATCAGCGTGTCATTGGGTAATTCAGCAAAGGCTTTCCTGAAAAATAAGATGTACTGTATATAATCTACAACACTCTGAAACTTAGGAAGGACATTTGAACTTCTGTGCCCAACCCATCCCTTGGTCCATTAAGTTTCGTTCTAGAATCTTCTCCAAATTTCCACTGCAATGAGAATTTGTTGTTCACTGAATCCACTTTCTCAAGGTGCCATTGAGCACTTCACCAATTTTCCAGGAAGCTCACCTTTACAGGTGGGCCCCTTTACCTCCCTCCGTTCCAGCTGCTTGTCACCAGTTCAATTTTCAACAGTGTCTTTCACAGAATAGCAAAATGACACAGTTGGAAGGGACCTTGGAGGTCATCTAGTCCAACCCCTTGCTTAGGCAGGAAACCCTATACCATTTCAGACAAACTGCTGTCCAATCTCTTCTTACAAACCTCCAGTGTTGGAGCACCCACAACTTCTGGAGGCAGGTTGTTTCACTGATTAACTGTTCTCACTGTCTGGAAATTTAGTTCCAGGTTGCTTCTCTCCTTGGTTAGTTTCCATCCATTGCTTCTTGTCCTGACTTCAGGGGCTTTGGAGAATAGCTTGACTCCCTCTTTTGGGGGGCAGCCCCTGAGATATTGGAACACAGCTATCCTGTCCCCCCTCGTCCTTCTCTTCATTAAACTAGACATACCCAATTCCAGCAACCGTTCATTATGTGTTTTAGCCTCCAGTCCCCTGATCATCTTTGTGGCTCTTCTCTGCACTCTTTCTAGAGTCTCAACATCTTTTTTACGTTGTCTATTGTTGAATATGAGCCTCTCCAATGCATGGGTAATCCGTTTCCAATAAACACAGCATGTTCAACCTTGACAGCAGGAGGCACCAGTTCCCTTATCCCGGTGTCTCTTCTCCCGGTGCCGAACCTGATTCTATTTAGGCAACTTGGCAAACACAATCCTACACTAGCTTGTTCTATCGAGAAGTAAGTCCCACTGACTTTAATGGGACTTTTCCCCAGAATGCTTTGCAGTCTCGGAAATGGAAGTTGAGTCATATTCTGACTACATCAGATGCATGTCTGTCCTCCCCTTTTGTTTATTATCTCCATTTATAGGACAGCCCGTCTCAAATTCATGATTTTGGCTGCTTACAACAATTAAAAAACTATGGAGCTTCTTCTTTAGAGTTTGCTTATAGACAGAACAAAAAGCAATATTGAAGTATATATATAAAACAGCCATACAAATTATATGGCAATGGACATATATCTCAGAGGTCCCCAACCCCGGGTACACACGCACATGCATCTTGACTTGCGTGAGTGGCAGGCTGGCACAAGTGCACACGGACAGGCAACTCAGCTTGCGCAAGTCAAGCTGTGCATGCGTGCATGTGCACACCAGCCTGCCACTCACACAAGTCAAGCTGCACGAGCATGCACACACACGCATGCTGGCCTGCCACTTGCACAGCCCAGTCCCCCTCCTCTCCCCTCCAGCCAGGCCACCAAGCTGCAAAGGTTGAGGACCACTGTCCTAGTTGGTGGACATTGATTGCCAGGTGAGACTGTGGCTTGCACTGAATAGTGTGAGCATCATGCTTGCCTTTGTTGTGTTCTTGGCACACAATCCAAATTAACAGATACTGGCCATAGAATAGAATAGAATAGAATAGAATAGAATAGAATAGAATAGAATAGAATAGAATAGAATAGAATAGAAGCTGGAAGGGATGTTGGAGGTCTTCTAGTCCAGTCTACGACAGCAGGCAGTGTCAGATATAGAGAAAATCGTAAAGAATCAAGCTACTTCTACGGTAGCAAAGAACAGACTAGCTAAAGCAATAGTTTTTCTTAGTAAAATACGACTCTTAGTAAAATATGAGAGTGAGTGAAAGACGCTCGTTGCCTTTACGTTATGGATTTGAAGCTGGTTAATGAACGCACTGCAGTCTGCAAGAATAAACCATCAATCAACCCTGAAGGAAGTAAAGATTGGCAGCTTCCCTGAGTTAGTGATGAGCAAGCAGGAACTCAAAAGCTTTTGTGATGTAAGTAAATGATGGATAAGAAAGGAAAATGTATGACAGAGTTGGAAGGGACCTTGGAGATCATCTAGTCCAACCCCCTGCTCAAGCAGGAGACCCTATACCATTTCAGTCAAATGGCTGTCCAGTCTCTTCTTAAAAACCTCCAGTGTTGGAGCATCCACAACTTCTGGAGGCAGGTTGTTCCACTGGTTAATTGTTCTCCCTGTCAGGAAATTTCTCCTTAGTTCTAGGTTGCTTCTCTCCTTGATCAGTTTCCATCCAAAGCCTTCAGGGGCTTTGGAGAATAGCTTGACTCCCTCTTCTTTGAGGCAGCCCCTGAGATATTGGGAAACTGCTATTATGTCACCTCTATATATAATGGGGTCTCACTGAACAGCACCTAGTTCCTCAGACCCCTTGACTTTCTCTTAGGGAAACAGTATCGTATCCACAACCTGGCTGCCCAAGATCCATATAGTCAAAGCTATGGTCTTCCTAGTAGGGAGAGGACAGATAATTAAGCTGAAGCTCAAAGACCAAGGCCACTCTTTCGAAGACAGCAAAGTCCACATACTGGACAGAGAGGACCGCTGGCTTGAAAGAGGGGTCAAAGAGGCCATCTAGCTCAACACTGACAGCCCTCCCTCAACAGAGGGGGAGGGATATGACATCCTCTATCTTCGGTTCACAACACAATCCTTGCAGCTATTCCAAGAAGGCTCCTCGCTCATCCATGGGGTCACGAAGAGTCGGACACAATCTAACAACTGGACAACAACGAATCCATCCAAAAGATGGGAGCGTGCAACATTCACAATTCAACAGCCGCAAGAAATTATCCAGTTTGTGGCAACGTGTAAGGAATAGAGAATTTGGGGCAGATACTCTAAATAGTCCTGCTTCTTAATCTTAGTATCGCAGGAATAATAATAATAAAAAGCAATGGATTCTTTGTAATCTCACAAAAAATAGGCGCCGTTTCCCATCGCAACAAGCCTTTGAAACAGAAACTGATGCAAACAAAAAGGCTTATCTATTACTCAGGGCAGTGTTGCAACCTCAATAAAAACCTGAATAAAATCTTCCGGGAAGGCTTCTGTAAATCTACCTGTCAACTTCCTGATGATGCCAAGCTAGTCCAAGGTGAAAGACTTCAATTCTTCAAGAGCCCGTCAGATGTCACAACTCTATTTATTCCATCAGCAACTGGCTAAAAGTCTGCCTTCAGGCAAAACAGAATAATAAGTAGTGCATTTAGTCAATCCTCAGGGGAACCAATCCTGGCTGTTCTTTGGAAGGACAGATCCGGAAGCTTGAAAGCTCAAAGTCTTTGGCCACCAAATAAGAAAAGACATCCTGCTTAGACAGGAAACTCTGTACCATTTCAGACAAATGGCTGTCCAATTTAAAACTTCCAGTGTAGGAGCATTCACAGCTTCTGGAGGCAGGTTGTTCCACGGGTTAATTGTTCTAACTTCTTAGTTCTAGGTTGCTTCTCTCCTTGATGAGTTTCCATCTGTTGCTTCTTGTCCTGCCTTCAGGCGCTTTGGAGAATAGCTTGACTCCCTCTTCTTTGGGGCAGCCCCTGAGATACTGGAAGACTGCTATCATGTCACCCTTAGTCCTTCTCTTCATTAAACTGGACAGACCCAATTCCAGCGACCGTTCTTTATATGTTTTAGCCTCCAGTCCCCTGATCATCTTTGTTGCTCTTTGTATAGGTTTAGTCCGGTCTGATTTTGTCTGTATCCAGGGTTTCCAGATTTGGCACCTTTAAGGCTTGTGGATGTCAACTCCCAGAATTCGTCAGCCAGCACAGGGATTCTGGGAGTTGAAGTCCACAAGACTTAAAGTTGCCTGGTTTGGAGACCCCTCTGGTCTATATGCTGTGAGCAAATTAAAAAAAAAAACCCTGTACTTTAGCTAGATGTTGGTTCTTGGGCTGGGCCTAACACAGTCCAAACACAGAATTATTTAACAAAGTCCCGTGCATCCTGGATGCTGTCAAAGCAGAATACCTTATATCAGGCGTCTTCAAACTTGGCCCTTTGATGACTTGTGGACTTTAACTCCCAGAATTCTGGGAGCTGAAGACCACAAGTCATCAAAGGGCCAAGTTTGAAG